TCCGAGACACCTGTGAACCAAGACCTGGTAATTCTTGCAATACGGTCTTCAGACTGTGAGTATCTAGCAACAGCTGTTGACAACAACAACAACACAAATGACCAGAGGGAAATAAAGAAATATATACATTTGTAAAGAAGAAAAAACGGAAAAAAAAATTATTTATTGCCTGCCATGTTTTGCTGTATAGGGAGTTGACTTGGTGGCGGCTAGATGCCTGCCTGCAGATCGGAAGGTCGTGGGTTTGGTCCTAAAGGAGCCGGACTTTAAAAAAAAAATGACCTTGACTCTCAGGTCGACCCAGCCTTAAGTGGGTACCAGGTGCAGTCCTGGAAAGTAAAGACGGCCTGCATGATACTGACTACATCACCCACCAAGTGCCGATTGGCTTATAAAAAATATAGGTCTAGCCCTATATTCCCAAAACGCCTAAAGGCATGGAAAAGGGACCCTTTATGTTTTGTGGTTATGCTATACATATGTCAAAGTTAACCCACCATATAATAAAAGAACACTAATTAATCCTATTAGTTGAAACACAGCAGCCATCACATCTTGTCTCAATGTCAGCACAGAAAACCATCCACACCCTCTGATTACGTCCAGGTGAATCACTCTCTCTCCAGATATGGAAGCTCTGTCTGTTCTGCTGCACTGTTGACCTGATCCTAGAGAGGCTTCACCATGTCCGCTTTATCGTACAGTAGCTTACCACCCAGAAGGATAGCAGCAGCTAATCTATCAGCCTCCTTATTACCATGTTCACCTGAATATACTGGGCAGAATATCCACTATATGCTTCTTTTCAAGTCTTAATGAAGTGATGCAAGCTGCTCTGAGTCCAAGACACCGATTTAAAGCATTGCTGTAAAAGTACTTGGATAAAGGAAAATTTGCTTAGCCTCTTCTACTTCTTGGTGTTCACTGGCCGTAAACTCTGGTTAAAAGTTCTAGTTGTTAGTTCACTTCTAGACTTTTAATTGTCCCAGAACACTACAGATCTGGCTTATTTGTATGCAGACTGTTGGTTCCTCACCTCTCCGGCAGATGCACTCCATCTTCAAACAATTCATCCCTAATTAGGAGACATTTTATGACATGCTTGTTGAAGAGCGGGCGGTGCAGTGGGTCTATTCCCCCCCCCCCCCATAATGGGGCCCCAGACTACCTATGTTCTGCCCCTGCCTTTCCTTGATGGCCAAACTGCAAAAAATGGATCACGTGGACAGGCTGCTGACAGGTATCCCATGTAGATGAAAACAAAATGACATCACTACAATGAGGTTTTGAAACTCTCCATTCCGGAGTTGAGGGGCAGACGAAGTGGAAGGGGGTTCATAGCAAAGGTAAATGGATGTCGCTTAGTGCAGCAAAGCCTTGCAAATGATATCACAACGTCTAGTTTGAGAATGGAGGTGGAGGCAGTCTCTGCTGCCTTCCTCTGACTTGAGAATCAGTAGTAAACACATGCCATGATTGTAACTGACTCACAGTGCGTGTTGAGAAAGGTGAAGACAGGCCTCCTTCGTACAAAGTGGCAAGCATCACTTAAGAGGTCCCTGGTAGTTAGCATCCTTTGGATATTTTCTCCAAGTCATGCGGGTGTGTTGGGAAAGGAGCAGGTAGATAGACTGGCCAGCTCTGCAACACTTGGTCATGAACTGATGTATGACAAGCTAGATATTGTGAGGGCCCTCTGGGAATGAGTGAACAGTGCGAAGGCACAGACAGATCATTACGATCTGAGAAGAATGGCGCTGCGAGGAGTTAACAGGGGATCTGGCCGACGCTCAACACTCAGGGAAAGGATCAGACGGATATACGGATATTTCAGATGGTCACAGGTGCTATCGGATCTGGAACTCTTCGCTTGCTGCTGAAGATGGGGACGGAGCACTTATGGAAGTGTCCTGAGTGCTGTGATGTCGATTCTTAATTCAACACTTCTGCAATTTGATGTGTTAAGCAGAAATGCGCAAAAATCACAGTCTAGCTGTAAACTACAACAAAGTGTCCTTTTAAGGGTGGACATAGAAAAAAGACAAAGGATTTGAAATTGCCCTAAAAAAAACCAGACAGCAAACGCTCAAAGAAGTCAGAAGTGCCGGCTAAAAGCCACAAACACCTCAGCTTTTCTGTACACAGCACAATATTATTATGTAACCCCCCCCCCCCCTCCTCCTTTTCCTAAACAGGACATATACCAAGTTGGATTTATTAGAAAGCTGACATCTACCAAAGTACTACATATTAGAACTGCAGAAAGGATGGCATTTTAAAAATGCAGTTTAAACAAAATGATTTCACTGATTCCTTAAATTATTTCTGCATACCACAAAAGAAGGGAGGTGGAGAGAGGAGGGGGGAGACACTAGGCTATTTATATTCTTACCTGTTCAGCCGCTACAGTGCTGTTTGGTCTACATTTGTACAGAGTGCCAATAAACTTGGGAATGAAGGAGCTGCAAGAAAGAAGCCAATCTTCAAATTAATATTCTTGTGCATCTGGCTGTTCTTGTTCTTTCTTTCTCAGTTCAATTCACACCTGGAGATGCTTACCTGATAAGCTAGGAAGTATGTTTAATTGTCTGTCTATTCATCTTTTGTGAAGGAAAAAAGATGGGAGACGACAATCACAAAGCCAGCACAGCGACTTGATAGTTACAGTTTTTCACCTTCCATCATGCACATAAGCGGGCACACCCAGGTGGGGGAGTACGGAAAGCTCATCCATAGTTTTTGTGTGCTTGGTGAGTGGTACTATAAACAGCTTTATTTCTCTTTGTGAAGGAAGGAACAATCGGATTCAGCTAAGAGCCTTATGCTTTCTTTCTACAATGTAAGTCTGTGCTTTCTGTTCAGAACTATCATAGCAGTCCTCTGCTTTTCAGGCAAAAATATGTGAATGGCTTTACTGTTACATGCTAGAATCCTTTCTGAAAAGTGTGTACCCTTTTGATACAGCTTTTTCTGAGTACCTATGTTGGTTGATGTGAGAAGGAGAGGTGGGAAAGGCGGTTATATTTAGTTCTGGATTTTTTAAACACCTTTGTATTTTTTCTCAGGGTGTGGCCTCTTCATCTGCCTAAAGAGTTTTATACCAGAAGAAATAACAGAATCAAAGCCTGTGTTGCCCAGGCCCTTAACCAATGTTTCAAACCAACAGCTACACATAACTGTAAACTGACCAATGCGACAAGTTCCTTTCTCCACGCCATGTTTGCCAATAACTCACACATGGGACTTTTAAAGGGAGCTGAAAATTCATCATCATCATCAATGGCACCACTGCTCTATCGCTGAATTGATCCAACCAGATCTAAAGTACATGTGTGCCTGTTTTTCCTTTGGCTGAATCATTAGTATCCAACCTATTTAGATTACACGATTGCACACATCCAGTTGTGTTTCTTTAGGCTATTCTTTTATTCCAGGAATATTATGATTTTAATGGGACTTTGCGTCCAAAATGTATGTGATTTAATTCATTGTATCCATTGTGGAAGGATATGGTATAGATTGCACAGAACAACTTTCCAGTCATTGTGTAGAGTGGATAATGAATGGATTGTCAGTGTAAATCCAACCAGCAGGTTTTGCAGCAGAGGATCAATTATATGTAATCAGGGTTGCCTAATGTTTAAATTACCTCATCACAGGAGTGGCGGCATCAGATGGTTTGGGAATCGTGGGATATACTGATTAGACCAATGTGAGCCACCATCTCACATAATAGCAACTCCTGAGTGCGGAGGTCCCTCGTCCTGACATGTGACACATCCCCTTTTTGTTTTACTTCCTTTGTCTCTCTTAATATGCCCTTTGCTGTCTCTCTCTCTACTCTCAATTTTATATGCCCTCTTATATCATTCGTCGGCGTCTGTGGCTTAGGTGTTGCGAACAAGCTTCGTAATGCCAGGGTGACAGGTTCAATCCCAGCAGCTGGCCATGTGCTGGTTTTGACAGTGGTATCGAGATAGTAAACAGCTGCAAGACCACATGAACCTACTACACGACAGTTGCCTCAAGCATCATATGAAGATCAATACTGAAAAGACAGAAGTCATGAGCATAAGTAGAGAGCAACAGACCATCGACATAAAGATTCTAGATCACAGCCTAAAACAAGTGCAAGAATTTAAATACCTGGGAAGTATCTTTACATCCAATGGTAAAATAGACAGAGAGATTGAAGCAAGAATCCAACAAGCCAACAATGTCGCATACCAGCTTGGCCCAATTTTAAAACACCCTGCTGTCCCAGCTGAGATAAAAAGACAAATTATAAATACAATCTTTATACCGACATTAGGTTATCAATGTCAGACTTGGACATTAACAAAAGAACATGAAAGAAGACTAACCACCTGTGAAATGAGATGTTTGAGAATGGCTGCGAATAAAACCAGAAGAGATCGAGTGAGAAACGATGTGATTACAAGAACTATTGGAACCATACCCATCGTTAAATTTATTGAGAAGCAAAGAATGAAATGGTTTGGTCACCTAATGAGAATGGAACCAACGATGCCAGCATCAAGAGCATACAACATGAAAATCGAAACAACAAGAGGCAGGGGAAGACCAAGAAGAAGATGGATTGAAGGAGTCACGGACAACTTGAGACTTCATAACATCACGGCATATGAAGCGACTGAGCGCGCCCTGGCTCGGTTGCCGATCATCTGATAGACTGCGACGCCTAGCGGCACAAGCAGATTTTGACAAAAGAAGAAAGAAGATCGAGAAGCCGACCATCCAGGAAGCAATGGCAAACTACTGGAGGTAAATATGCCTAGAAAAACCACAACAACCAAAAAATGCTGGGTTTTAGTTCTGCAATGTCCTGTAAAGGATACACAACCAACTTTAACTTTTAACTTATATCATTCTCACCAACTTCTCTTTCCGTTCTGCCTCCTTTCTCCAAACTCTCTCAATTGCTTTCTTTTCTCTTTCTACCTTTCTAGCCTCTCAGATATACCAGTGTTAGTGCTTACTTGGCAAACTTGACACAGAACTGCGTGAAGTATTTCCTTGACGAAACAAGATTATCTCTGATTACTGGCAGGTTCTGCTTCAGATGGGAAGTTATTGCAGTTACATAACCGCTCTGGTCTCCAACTGCTTCAATGCTAGACCATGGCATCTGTGACAGAACACAATGACAAAACTGTAAAACATTTTACTTACAATAAAAACTTTTACTCACCAGAACTTCTCACGTGAATTCTAGGTCCCCATTTTTTGGTGGAAAAAGAATATAAATATGTTGTAAAACGTGGTCTCCAAACTGGCAGCCGCAAGGAGGTTTTTTTTTCTTTGGGTGGGGTACAATTTTTGAAATTGGGTGTCAGATGACAGAGAGGTAAAAACTGTATACACAAAGAAGCTGAATGGTCGTAGAACACAGGGCAGACCAAGAAGACGATGGAAAGATAATGTCCAGACAAACCTGCAAACACTTGGTGTCAGCAACTGGAAAGAGAAGGCCAACCAGAGAAATGAGTGGAAGCTGTTGATATCTGCACCAATGAACCTCAAGGGCTTGAAATGCTAAAGAAGGAGAGTGCATCTGTATTTATAATAATCCGTCATATTATTTTTTCACTTTAATTATAAATAAAAGAATACAATATTTTTTAAACCTATCTATAAAACAAAATTCCCAGGAATTTTTTTTTGTTTTTATAAGCAGTTTGAATATCTACAGTTAAAAATCTAATAAATATGATTGCACATGCATTTAATTACAAAAAACCCATTCTGACCAAATCGTATTTCCATACTATCTGTTTCTCTTGTTGCAGAGACTGCCTCCACTTCCATTATCAAACTAGACGTTGTGAATCTATTGTCCTCCTCTTTTTAATCAAAATTTTTTTTTATTGGGGAGGGGTGTCTTGCCATATACTCAAGGTGGGGGGTTTTGCAGTGTACTCATGGGGGGGGGGGGGGCGTGGTCTTGCAGTGTACTGGGAAGGAGGGCCCACAGGGGGTTGTATATACTTAAAATGGACACGACCTGAAAAAGGTTGGAGATCCCTGTTGCAAAAGCTGACTAAAATTAGTGATTTGCCGAAACTGGATGCGGAGGCAAAAGGTGCAGATATCGCAGCCTAGATGTAAACCCCAATACAACATGCCATGACCTTTTAAGGATGAATGCAGGAGAAGAAAAATCACCACAACAGTTTGCACAGATATCTCCCACCTCCATTCATCTTTGTGATTGACCTTTTTCTTTATTTTTCTCCAGCTGGTAATTTTAAGACTTTGCATATCTGCTTATATATGATCTCTTCACTGTCTTCTTGGTCTGCCTCCTGGTCTCCTCCCATTCAATGAATCTCTCTCTCTGTCATACATGTGCAGGCACAGAGAATGAAAGAGCTTTATTTCCAATAGGTTACAAATTGGACAGGTAGGCAGAGAGAGAAAGAGAGAGAGAGAGAGAGAGAGAGAGAGAGAGAGAGAGAGAGAGAGAGAGAGAGAGAGAGAGAGAGAGAGAGAGAGAGAGAAAGAGAGAGAGAGAGGGGGGAGGGGAGAGAAGATAATGTAGACAACAAAAGTCTGACAACTGCAATAACATTTATGAACATAAAGGTATCTATTTAAAAAAAAAAAAAAATCCAAACAGCTGAAGTTGACTTACTGGGGAGTTTTTGTTTTATCATATAAAAGAAACAATGCTGGGATCTTCTTCTCCTTCATCTTTGCACTCTCCTGCTGCAAACTCTGGCAGACAGTTATGGTTGTCCACCCACTTCTAGTCTTGTTCCAGAAATGTGCTTGCACCTCCAGTCTAAAGATCTGGCTTATTTGTATGCAGACAGCTGGTTCCTTGCCTCTTAGAGCAGATGCACTCCGACTTCGAAGGAAAACCTTAAATAGTCGATTCTTATGACATGCTTGTAAGGGAGGCAGTGGTGCTATCCCTCCTTCTCCACAACGGGACCCGGCAATTCAGAAGGGAAAACGACAAGATTAAAATCATACACAACAAGGAAATTCAGGTCATTTGCCGAATGTTAACAATACTCGTAGATATCAATATTACACAATGCTTCTTCACATAATCCGCTTAAGAACACCTAATGGGCTTAAGAGATGTGAATCTATAGATTAAAAATAAATGACTTAAAATTCCTTGGACAATCAAACCTCATAATAGTGCCTACCTTGGACAATCAAACCTCATAATAGTGCCTACCTTGGACAATCAAAACTCATAATAGTGCCTACCTTGGACAACCAAACTCATAATAGTGCCTACCTTGGACAATCAAAACTCATAATAGTGCCTACCTTGGACAATCAAAACTCATAATAGTGCCTACCTTGGACAATCAAAACTCATAATAGTGCCTACCTTGGACAATCAAAACTCATAATAGTGCCTAACTTGGACAATCAAAACTCATAATAGTGCCTACCTTGGACAATCAAAACTCATAATAGTGCCTACCTTGGACAATCAAAACTCATAATAGTGCCTACCTTGGTCATGGCAGTTAGGGCTGGCTCACAGGCTGTTTCTAGGTCCTGAACCAGAAGCTGAATGCAGTTTGAGATCACACTGAAATATCAAACCCACAAATGTTATGCACATTCTTTAATTCTCTCAATCCCAAGCTTGGTGGGCAGGTGATTCTATCTCCAGATTTCCTTTTACAGCATATTGTGTTCTTTCAACATTTAGTCAAAAAGATGCTAAAGAAATCTGGCTTTCCCACTGGTAAACACCACTTTGAAAGTAATGCATTGACAATTTTTATCATCAAGGTAATTTCTTTGCTTTGGCATCTCATGTGAAACCTTCTAGTGCCGAAAGAGTTAACAATCATCATTATCATCCCGCCGCACATAGTTTGTAGAATATTACTCCCATCACAGCAGGTCAGAATCTATCCTGTCCCTCGTCAATTTCCCCCAGTGTATTTGCATGGCCAAAGTGATTTCAATGTTCCCCATGTGGGTTCGGGGACTTCGTTTCAGAGAACAAAGAACAGACCCACTGACCCCCCCCCCAACAAGCTTGTTGCAGGAGGCGACTAATTAGGGGTGTTTCCTTCAATGTCAGAGTGCTTCTACCTCAGAGGCAAGGAACCAACAGTCTGCATAAAAATAAGCCAGAACTGTAAAATGGATATGCATGCAAACCTCAAGTTCTGGACCAAGATCTAATTCCAGGAGTGTATGAACAACCATCAGAACTTTCCACCAAAGTTAACAGATGGTAAACACTAATTTTAAAAAAGAAAATCTCTTATCAACCTTCCCCCACCCCCTGTACTGGTGGATTCTCATGGCTAAAGTGTTTCCAGTGTCCCATGCCCACTTTCATGCTGGCAGACAACCCTTCCTCTTCTTGCAGAAACCATACTTTCCATTGCTTTTTGTTGTTAACCATAGTATTGTTATTCCATATGGCCAATGTTAATGTGAAAGGTCAAGGTCAAGAGAATTGCCTTTATTTCCCCAGGTTAGCCAACTGATTTGATCCCTCTATACAGAATAGATAGCCACCGACCGAGAATGTCACATACACCACAAACTCCACAGGTTCAGGTTTGACCCCCAAGATTTCCGTAAAAACTGCACCCCTGAACTGAGCAACAGGTCGATAACATGAACCACTGGTCTTCAGAATACGAGGCCTATAGCCTGACCACTTCATTCCTCAATTTCATCATGGAGGATACCTCCCCCCACCTACCAATCTAAAATATTTCAATTTTCAAGACAATGTGCTGTTTTTGAACTATTACAAAAAAAAATGATATATTATAGAATGTTTCTTTTTTTTTTTTCAAAGGTCAGTGCTAACTTCAAGGTCAAGATGGGGGTATCATAACTTCTGTGGGATGGCTACAGCTTTAGGTCCTCTGCCCAATGTGCAGTAACATCAACCATGAAAACACAACAATGATTTACAAATCAACATCACAGCAAGCAAACCCAGTGATGCTCCCACAGCTAATGTCTTAAAATGTAGATGCTGATTGTTCCAGTAACACATTGGTTGTATACGTCATACTCCTCCTCTCACATAACCCTTTTCTGTCAAACCCAGGCTTAACCCCAAATTAACCTAACCTTCACTGATGTAGCTTCATAATGGAAACTGCATTACTATCTTACCATTGTGTAGCAGGACCTTCGCAGAACAATGCTCTTATTCTCTCATTATGGAACACAGGAGAGCCGCTCGGTCACCTGCCAACTTTCCCGTCTCACGAACTTGTATGCCTAGGGTGTCCATGAAAATCCTGTGTCTACCGTTGTGCTGGTCCACCCTGCCTTTTCTTCCAGGGAGCATGCCATCCACTACTTTTTCTTCTGGTCATATGGTGGACAGGTGTCGCGTGCGAATGTGCACCAGAACGCACCAGTACGGAGTGAGCAAATAAGACGTCAAAACAATACGTAACGTTGTTATGATAATGTTGTTGTAAAAAGCAGTTGATGTTTATAGTTCGAAGGAGACGGACGTGGGAATCCTTGAGGACGCTTTACCCCGGGATCCCACGGAAGCAGACGTTATATAAAGTTGGATCCTTGAGGACGTTTTACCCCGGGACTCCAAGACCTCAGCAGGAAGCTGGTGAGCACTACATTCTCGGCAGTATGCCGGTATACTTTCATTGCTTAATTCGGACTTGTCCGGGGAGAAAGTAAATCGTCTGGATCTCAAGGTCGGACTGCGACCTATCGTGAGGACATATCATTACATGGATGTACGAGCGAGCTTTGGTTGAACGAGTTGATTATTACTTGCATATTTCTCCTTGTATTGCTGATTGTATACATCAATACAACCGTTGGAACTTAACGCATAGCGTTCGAGCTCTACCTTTTGAAAGCATTGAAGTAACTACTGTTTTACCCCTACTTGGCCTAATTCATCTTGGTACCACACACATCAGTTTGAAGCGCCTCCGCACGTTACAACAGGTTAGTTTATGGTTTTTAGTCGTGACAATGTTTTGCTTCTGACAACAGTTAGCCGGAAAGGATAAAGTTCCATCACCCAGCTAATCAGCTAAGTGCTTGACATGATGCTGTGAGCTACAGATTTAATTTGGAATGCTTTATGACTGTGCCCAATGTGGTTTGTGTTGTGAATTGCAGATTAAGAAAACGGCAAGTGGCCTGTTACCACTGTTGGTGCCTTATGCGATTAATTTTGTGTGCAACTACTGATCTGTTGTAACTGCTGCTTCCACAGATGATGAATTTCACATATTTTTAATGTCAGATTGTTTAAACTGGCACTTCTGACGGTTGCCTGTTTGAATTGGCACTTCTGATGGCTGCCTGTTTGAATTGGCACTTCTAATGGCTTCCTGCTTGAGTTGCCACTTCTGATGGCTGCCTTATGTTTTTAATGTGTGTGTATGCTTCTGGATTTGCTGAGGCTGCAGCCTGTGTCAATTTTTTTCCCTTCACAGGGAACAGTAATGAAAATTTTGTGTGGCTTTCATTGGCACAGGAATGGAGCAACTAGAAGGTGTTTCATATGGCCGAAGTATTTCAGTACTGTTTAAGAGCCATCCACTCCAGTCCCCCTGATATTCAGATAATTAAGAATTACAGTAATTTTCTATTTTGAAAAACGTCATAAAACCATGGATGTAGTCACTTACGTGTGAAACATGTCCTGTTCTACACTAAGGTTGACCATTGACTTCAGTTCTGGATTGACTTTCTCCTTGAGCTTTTCCTCCAGCTGTTGGGTGGTGTCCATGCAGTACTCCGCTGTACAAAGGAGACTACAGATGCGACACTGCTCCTCCTCAGTAAACTTGGTGATCTCTCCTTCCTTCAGGATGCTCTGAATCAAGCCTGAGGCCGAGCTCATATTGACACTTTCTTTGCTTACTCTGAGGAATCACGAATGTTAAAGTAACGCATCTTTACACACATCTGTCCATCCATCCATCCATCCAACTACACAATTTCTAATTCGCCTAGGGGATTTAACATCCAACACAGTTTCAATAATATTTTTTTTTACTAACCACCCTTGCAGTTCGCAGCTTTTTTCTGCTAGTATTTATTTTGGTGGTCACGCACGTGTCGACTGGCCAGACAGATATGTGATTTCTCTCTGGGACACTTCAGATAAGTGATTTTTATGTATTCTTGTTCAGATTTATATTATTATCTGTACTGTGCTGAGGAAGACTCACCTGTTTGTGTTTGTGATAACGTGAAGTTGACTGGTTCTACTTTCTGTCTGGTTTGGTATCTTCACACAATACCCAGACAGATAGACAATGCCAGGATAGACAGACAGACATTACCCAGACAGACAGACCATAAATAGATAGACAGACAATACCCAGATAGACAGACAATACCCAGATATACAGACAATACCAGACAGACCTACAATATCCAGACAGACATACAGTACCAAGACAGACAGACAATACCCAGACAGACAGACAATGGCCAGATAGACAGACAGACAATACTCAGATAGACATATATACCCAGACAGACAATACCCAGATACACAGACAATACCCAGACAGACAATACCCAGATAGACAGACAATACCCAGACAGACAATACCCAGAAAGACAGACAATACCCAGATAGACAGACAATACCCAGATGGACAGACAATACCCAGAAAGACAGACAATACCCAGAAAGACAGACAATACCCAGATAGACAGACAATACCCAGATAGACAGACAATACCCATATATAAAGATATGCGAGTAAAGGACCCCCTTTGCCAGTGGCACAAGAGAGACATGTGTCAAACTATTTTTTCTTCTTCTTCTTCGCGTTCACCAGCTGTAAACTCTGGCAGAAGGTTCTGGTTGCTCGTCCACTACTGAACTGCAGTCCTGCTCCAGAACCTGAGTGTTGTGTGTGCATCAGTTTTACAGATCTCATTCTCTTGAATACAGACTGTTGGTTCCTTGCCTCTCCGGCAGATGAACTCTAACTTCAAAGGAAGCTCCCCAATTAGTCGACTTTTACGACATGCTTTTGGGGAGGCAGTGGGTCTATTCTTGTTTTCCCCACAATGGGGCCCCGGAACCCACACGGGGTTCTAATTATTTTTAATGACCATTCAGCGACCAGATGGGTGAGGTAACCAACATCATGCCAGCTGCCTATACTTCCCAGCACATTTCCTCCTCCCTTGTTTAGTGTGGGTCGATCTGGAAGCCCGGACCATTTGTAAAATTCTGTCTCAAAGCAGATTTGAACCCAAGACCTTTGGGCCAGGCACAACAAGAAGAGGCAAAAGAAGAAGAAGCACAAGAGGCAAAAGAAGAAGAAGAAGAAGAAGAAGAAGAAGAAGAAGAAGAAGAAGAAGAAGAAGAAGAAGAAGAAGAAGAAGAAGAAGAAGAAGAAGAAGAAGAAGAAGAAGAAGAAGAAGAGGCAAAAGAAGGAGGAGAAGAAAGATCAGTTTTACTTACTTAGGCAAGTTGGCCAGCAGTATTCTATGGGCATACTCCTTGAGGTACTTCTGAAATGTCTTGCTAAGATCGATCAGAGGTTGGCCTGTGCTCAGCTGAGAGCACTGAACCATACACTTTTTATAAAACACAAACAAATCTGCACAGCTGGGCAAAACGTTACTGTTTTCCTCTCCATCCATGCGAGGCGTTCCATGGGTGTGAATATCTTCTTGAAAGCGACTGATAAGCTCGGCCAGATTTCTGATGTGGTGAAAACAAATAACAGCAGAAAAATTACTTTTAATTTTTTTAATAAGATATCCAAGCAGTTGATGAGGGAATATTTGAGGCCGTAAATACCAGCGCCTACGCAGCATATATCAAGGTTCTCACCCGATGCCCCTTCAAAACTTGGTGCTGAAAGGCAGAACAAGATAAAGTTTTTTTTCTTTTTTTTTAAATTTAGAAAAAAAGGGACCCTTTTTACACCAATGGTAAATTAAGCATGTGATTTTAGGCTCACGTATCACACAGCAATCGGCACTCCGTGGGTGATGTGATCAAAATCCTGCCAGCCACCTTTACTTCCCAGGACATCACCTGATAACCAATTAACACTGTGTAGGGCTGGTGGAGCCAGTCAGTTTTAAATTTTTTTAAAACATACCACTTGATGTGGATTCGAACCCAACACATTCAGGACGGCGAGCGACAAACTAGCCGCTATGTTACCACATCTCCATCTCATTTTTGCCTAAATCACACATTAAAAAAAAAAAACGGTCACTTCTGTCTGCAGTCTGTATTCACCACTTTTTAGGGCAGTGTAGACTGATGGTCCAGTAACTGAGGATTTAGGGCCGCATGGCTAGTGCTGTCACCACGGACTGTACAGGTTAGGATGTTTCTTTCTGCCCCCAACAGACAAACCCCATCGCCTTACCGGGGGTTGAAAGCAGGTTTCCTGCATGACAGCCCAACGTTGTAACTAGTGACCAAACTATTCTCTACTAATGTCTCTTCTTATTCATTATTTCAGTGTCATGGGGATGACTAGGGTGTTGCCTTCGAAGTTGGAGAGCATATACCTGAAAGGGGAGGAACCAGCAGTCTGCACACACATCAGCCAGCCATGTAAATGCAAAATTCAAGTTCTGGAACAAGATCAAAATTCAGAGCCACCAGAACTTTTTGCAGGAGTTTATGGTTTCCGCTCTAGCTACACAGTCGTAAAACCTCAGGCTCAATATCCGCCCCCCCCCCCACGTCCCTAAAAAAAAATGGCTAATCACAGGCAGTAATGGTAGAGTCACAGTAACAAGTGACAACAAACCTGTCTTGGCTTTCAATATAGATATTGAGGTGGGGCTCAAAACACTGAGAAATGATCCCAGCAAAGGGACTTGCAATGTCAGCTGTATTCTACAATTTGAAGAAGAAAAAACACACAAATCATGACTGGTTTAATGAAGTTCAAACTCATGTTTAATAAACATCTTATCTACTACACATGTTAGAACCTGTGTGGCTTTTTGCATGTAAAAAAATATGGGCAAGATTTAAGACTAGTTGAAAAACATTCACTCGCGTCAGAGAGTTGGTTTATGAAAAGAATGCAAATAATATTATGGAAGGATAGAAAAACAAAATGAAGCAGTCCTCATCGCAATCAAAGTCAGAGACAGAGACAAATCAAAGTCATAAACTTACGTGAACAACTGGACGTAGATAGTCAATATTCTTTGAACATATTATGAGAAGGAATGGACTCAAGAACTTAGTAACAACTGGCAAGGTTGACAGAAAGGGCAAGATTGAAGGAAAGAGCAAGATTGACAGAAAGAGCAGATTGACGGAAAGGGCAAGATTGACGGAAAGGGCAAGATTGACGGAAAGAGCAAGATTCGATTCGATAATGATGACCCCTGCTCTCCGACTATTTTGGTTATATTGTGGTAACGTATCAGGTTATTGTTTCATCAGGCTTTGATTTGTGTTTTTGGTCTTCTACTGAATCTGTGGGTAATATTTTCTTGGGTTTTTTTAGAGGAAAGCCAAGAGATAAGTACCTGCGTGGATTGGCCAAATGTTTGGGGCGAGACAAAATCAATGAACTGATCATTGATTTTGATCATCACTGAGATCGTGAAGCATGACAGCCTATGCTTACCGCCATGGCACAGGATGATGATAATCTAATGACATACTGAAATAAGTAGCTTTTAAATCTTCTTCTCTTTTTCCAGATGCCTCATTGAAGTGTTGGGAGGAGATGCAAGGGTCTTCTCTCTGCTCACTCTAATGCGCTGTGTAAGCTGATCTTCATTTTTGTAGGCTGTTCTTGATGCCTCGTTTCATCTGATGTGTGGTCTTGCCCTTTGCTCTGTGTTCATTAAAAGCCTTCAGCATGGCTCTCGGTGGCACCAAAACATTCCTGTCAGATGGCCGAACCATCTCATCTGTTTCTCTTGAACTCTTTACAGACCGGACGCCACTTTAGTGGCTTTTGAATCCATTAGGCTGAAAACCAACTGCCTCCCTTACAAGCATGTCACAAGAGTCTCACTAATCAGGGGTTTCCTTCTGAGTCTGAGTGTATCTACCTGAGAGGCAAGGAACCAACAGTCTACATATAAATAAGCAGATACAATGCTCCTTAACAAGCATGTAGTAAAATGCTGAAATAAAATGTTAGATGCAGATATCACAGCCTATCTGTAAACTACAACACAGCGTACCAGCCACCTTCTTAAGGGTGAATGAAGAAGAAGAAGAGGAATCTGTAGTGACTGAAGGGTCTCAGTGAGATCTGAACAGATCAGGTTGGTTAACGTTTGGCACAAGAAGAAGACGAAGCAGATTTACCTTTGCCCCAGCCTGAGATTTATCCTCTCCTGGCTGCTCAAATGGATTAGTGGAAGATTCTTCAAATGGATTACCGGTCTCGGAAATGACTGCAGCCTTAGTAGTTGCAGCGGGAGCTGGGTTCACCTGTTGACATGTCAGGGGTACAATACAGATTAAGTCTCGTGGCATTATCACAGCAATATGGGAGGCTGCTACACTGGACTGTTCTGGATGTACATCCCTCAGGCAAGGTGTATCAGCCTGCCAGGCAGTGGAGGTTGCACAGGCACAGCAATGGAGGAGACTAGAAAGAACCACATCGCTAATCCTACACTTATTGTGGCTTACACCAATCATCCACACTGCCCAAGAACTTTCCAGCCTGCTTCGCACTCATAATCATTGATCATTACTACTTTGGATGAAAAGTCAGGTCCTTTATGAAACATCGCTGTCTTCACAGCATGCCTGAAAGTCTCTTTCTCCAGCCACTTTTCCCGCCCTATGTGTTCTGTATCTTGTATTCACCTTTCCTGAGCACATACTGCAGACCTTCCCACTCTACATACAATTTTGAAAAGACACCTGGCCTCAAGAGCAAAGTGTGCAGAGCAAGCTATGGGGAACCATGCAGGACCTGCAGCTGACAAGCGAGTTCATAGAGGCAACCCACCTGATGGTCTGATCTGAGCATACGAAACCGAACGCAAAGAAGTATTCACCTTCATGGAGTTTGGCCTCTGTCTCATTGCCCAAAAACTGTACCCTCCATCACCATTCTCTCTAAGACACTATGATGCTTAAAATGGCCGTAATACCTCTGCATTCAGGACAGGATGATGTTTATGAGCCAGTTCTCCTTGATGTTCAGACCATGTAGGCTGTCATTGTTTTTCTTCTTCTTGGTCCATGGTATTCTCAGAAATTTTCTTTGGTTCTAGTGCTCTTATTTTTCTTCTTGTAAGATTGAGTAAGCGTCCATGACTCACATCCATAAGTTGCCATGGGGAGGGTGCATGATCTCAGCATTTTTACTTCAGCTCACTTGCAAGTGCTGGGCCTCACCTCTCAATATTCCTATAGTTAACAGTGGACACATTGCAGTCAACCTACTTTGTGGAGACGGCACTACTTTTTATTTATTACTTTACTTGATATGTGTTGTTCGTCCATCACGAGTGATGAAAATCACTTTTCATCCAAAGTAGTAATGATCAATGATTATGAGTGCGAAGGTGGCTGGAAAGTTCTTGAGCAGTGTGGATGATTGGTGTAAGCCACAACACTATAGGAGAGAAGTACCTAAACTAATAATTTCAATCAATCAATCAATCAAATGGTTCGGCCATGTAACCTGACTGGCATCAGACAGGGCACCACAGAGAGCAAGTTATACAGATACAGCAGTAACAGAGCCAGAGGTCGACCACACAGAACATGGACTATAGAACTATCAGAGACACTAAAAAGTATTTTATATGAAGTGGACAGAAGGGCTAATTCCAGAGATCTCTTCCTGCCCTGATGTCAGGAACAGAGGAAAGAAGAAGAAGAAAAAGAAGAAGAAGAATCAATCAACATGCCCTTTACAGAATGTCACTCTCTTCACAGTACGCCTGAAAGTCTCTCTTTCTCTAGTCAAGTCCTCAGCCATATTTGCTTTGACAGTAAATATTCTCTTTACATTTAGAGCTTCAAAGGTTATATAATGTGTTAGTTCCCCCCATCCCCTGCTTTCCACATCCACATGACTAAGTATGAGCATCTCAACCTTCGCCATCTTTTAGACTGTCATGAGATGTGAGTACCTTGCTCTGTGATGCTACTGACAACAGCAGATATCACTGCAGAGTTAATCATTTGAACACAAGAGTTAATATAATGCCTATCTGTGACAGAAAACAAGAATATCGTATTATCTTTTGAACGACCAAGAAATTTTCAGTGAGTTGTTTAGTACTGAAAGAGTAAGAATGTTGCAGAATGACTGCTTTCAAATGGGGGGGAAATTCCCAGTCATGGTTTCAGGGCCCATTATGAATGGGAAAAATTGATCTACCGCCTCTCCCTGTGGGTTCTGGGGTCCCATTGTGGGGGTAAAAAGAACAGACTCACTACCTACCAAAAAAGCATGTCGTAAGAGTAGACTAATTGGGAGCTTCCTTTGAAGTAGGAGTGCATCTGCCTGCTAGGTCAGGAACCATCAGCCTGCAAATACATAAGTCAGATATGCAGTGCAGATTTGCACGTAACACTCAGGTTCTAGAACAGAATTAGAGTCCAGAAGTGGAAAAACAACCAGAACTTTCTGCAAGAGTTTACAGCCAGTAAATGTAAAGAAGGAGAAAAAAAAGAAGGAGAAAAAGAAGACGAAGAATCTACTGTCCTTTAACAAGTATAGTATAAAAGGCTATTAGTTCACTGAAATTGGGTGTGTTTGACTGAAAAGCACATATATCACAGCCTAGCTGTAAACCCAAACAAAGGTGCTAACTGCCCTTTTGAGGGTGACTGCAGAAGAAGAAGAAAATAAAAAAAAACTATTAAAAACTTACTGGAGGTTTCTGCATGGTAACACCTGTGAAGCGTTTGGCAATAAGCGCTTCAAAATTGCTCGTTCTCTGAATAGCAAACAGCAACAGTTTTACATCAATTTCTAGGCGTCGTCTCTGCATTACTTTTGACAGCTCTTTTCTGTGATAGTCAAAAAACAGCATGGGTCATAATTATATTTCACAAATAATGCTATCTAAGGAGACAGAGAATGAACAAAAAACGTGGGAAGCAGAGATCTAGAATAAAAACATCAGTATTAAGAGTGCATGCACACACAGAGACAGACAGACAGACAGACAGACAGACAGACAGACAGACAGACAGACAGACAGACAGACAGACAGACAGCCAGCCAACCAGCCAGCCAGCCAGACAGACAGACAGACAGACAGACAGACAGACAGACAGACAGAGAAAACACCTTTAAAAATGTAGCAGGCATGGAAAGCCTAAATACAAATTATGGAGATTTATCAACCTCGCAGTAGTCCAAGGACTACAGATAAGCAGCACCAGATTTCAAAGATAGAATATACATAAATAAACCTGGCAATCATGTGACAAGATAACTTATTATCGAATCAACCACAACAGGAAAATGATGATGGGAACAGATAAACAAATTTCATGTTGGAAAATGAACAGGCGGACAGACTGGCTGGCTCTGCACAACTTGGTGGAATACTGACACATGATAAGGCAGACGTGGTTAGTGCCTTGCGGGAGAGCGTGTACAGTTCGGAGGAGCAGATGGATCACCATATTCTGGTGAGATTGATGCAGTGGGGAGTGACGAGAAGTTCTGGCAGATGCTCGAGGCTCAGAGGAAAGGCAAGACGGACGTTCAATTAGAATACTACTGGCACGTTTAGTATTGGACCTCTTTGCATTCCTGCTGAAGATGGGGATGGAGCGCTTATGGGAATGCCCTAAGTGCTGTGATGTCGGTTCTGGAAACAAATCAAATCAAATTTCAGTGAATTAGGAGATGAGCAAAAGGCACATGCTAGATAGAAACACAATGAGAAAACCTGGGCATATTTTAAAAGAAGAAAATACGCGACAATGAAACAGCAACAACAAACAAAATTACCTGGTTATGTGACAAAACTCCACACACATCCTCTCACTAACTTCCCAGTCGGGAGGGAAAATGTGACCAAACTTCTCTTCAAAGTCCACAAGAGCTCGCTTAATCCATGCATACCTGCGGTCAATTTTATCAAGCCAGGATGCCTGTTGACAAAAATGTTAATAAAATGTTAACCCTTTTAGTTCCAGAGAACACATCATATGTTCATTGGTTCCCACCTAGAAGCCCAATGAATGCAAGATATGTCGATTTTATGTCTCTCTTGACTACCCCTTGGGCCTCTGATGCTAAACCCCCAGGATTCAACTCTAAATTCGTTTTGAGGTTTTGAACAACGGATCAAGATCAGGCACAAGGGTAGTAACCCAAAAGTACTCCGTTCTTCTTCTAACTCAAGTCTGAGTCCGTAGGAGCTCAGCACAGTGCACAGGCTCTGTAGCACTGGCGAGGATCCTGAAATACTTTGGGTAGATTTTTTACTCCAAATTTTTACCCGGGCAAAGAGACTTAGGGAAATTACTAGAAGTTCAAGACCACGTAAAGAAATCCCAGCCCTTACCGAGGACTAAACCCGGAACCTCTAGCTCTTAAGGCGGACACCTTGCCTCGAGACGACGCACCCCTCTAAATTCAAACTACCTTAAAAATAACACTATATTTTTTATAAAAATTATATTAAATATATATATATATAGGTTCCCCTTTGAATCGTTCCCCAAAATGGCGGCTTTAATGTGATGGCGTTCGAAAGAGAGCTAAATTGGCCAATTTCTGGCCATAAAATATCCAAAAATATCCGAATGCGGGTCAGTTCTATTAAAATATATGTGCCGGCTCCGGATAACGAAACAAATGCTCTGACAGGGTCTCGGCGATACGTTGCTTGCCAACCTGCTTCTGCGAGTGTGCCTCACCGCCGAGCGTATCCCCCGCGCCGCTACATGCGGCGCGGATGGGGGCTAAACTAGATGGCTAGGACTCATGAGCGACAGATACCGCATCTCCTGCAACGTCCTCCAATTACTGTACTCGTGAGTCTCAGGCACCTAGTTTAGCCCCCATCTGCGCCGCGCGTAGCGGCGAGGGGGATACGCTCGGCGATGAGTTTAATCGCGTTTCCAATCGGAAGAACACAGTATTGCTAATCGGCTTTCATCGTCTGTAATGTCTCGAAAGTGGTCAACGGTCGCTAATATCGTCTGCACAAACGCTCGAAATTGTTGTCAACGGTCGGCATTTATCGTCTGCTACTAGTACCGTGTGCAAATGTCGATATTGATTGTCAAGTAATCCTAGTTTTGCCCCGATTTGTTCCTTGGCAGAAAGTCCGTATTTTAGATATACGCGAACACCGTCGTTCGGATATTTTATGGCCAGAATGTGGCATGCCGCCATTTTGGGGAATGATTCAAAGGAGCGCCTATATATATATATATATATATATATATATATATATATATATATATTTACATAATAAGAATATACTGATAACTCACATCCTGGTCTTCAGCAAACAACACCACATACTCCGACAGCTGTAACTTGACAAACCAGTTCAAGAGGTCTCTCTTGACTTTCGGATCTAGAATGTTGACGACAAAGCAGGCATCGTGCAGCTGCTTCTGGTTACTTGGCCCGTACTGAAATTAAACGCACACAGAACTCAGTATAACACCATATAAGGCGTAGATATGATCCCCAGTAATCTAGCATCCTTCTAGCATCTCAATAACTCAGATGCAGCTGGGCGGCCATCGTGGTGTCACTGGCTAGACACTCGCCTGCGGATTGAAAGGTCGTGGGTTCAAATCCGAACAGAGCTGGGCTTTATGTTTCTTTAAAAATGACTTGGCTCCCAGGTTGACCTAGCCTTGTGTGGGTACCAGGGAAAGTCCTGGGAAGTAAAGGGGCCTGGCGTGATGCTGATCACATCACTCCCCGTTTGCCAACTAGTCTATAAATACAGTTCTAGCATTATAAGCCCAATTTGTGTGAAGGCTTGGAAGAATCTTCCTGACTCTTTCATTTCACAATCACCATTGTTTCAAGAGAGAGGACAATTACTAATTTAAAATGTAAATGGATTTTTTCCTGGCATTCAGTGACAGATTCAAGCACAAATCCTCTCTCAGTCTCTCAGTTCTCGTTATGCCTTGTGGCACATGAGGCTTCAGAGAGGACTTTCCATGCTTTCCTGTCCTGTGCAATCTTCAGTGCAGTTTTCCATGTCAAAGATGCCGCACTCAGGTCACTTTCCATCATTCGTCTCCATGTTGTTTTTGGGCGCCCCTGTTTTCTCTTTCCCTCTGGTGTCCATGATGTGAGAGCTGTTTTGGCAGGTATATCAGGATTCATTCTCATAACGTGGCCAAGCCATTTCCATCTTCTCTTGGTTATCATTCTATCTAAAGTTTCTTGCTTTGTGACTTAAAGTAGTTTAGTGTTTGAGATTGTATCTGGCCAGAAAATTTTGATAATTCTACGTAGACATGTGTGGTAAAAGGTGGACAGCTTGTGTGCATCCTTTTTGGTCATTCCCCAGCATTCCGCTCCATAAAGAAGAACTGGCAAAATGATGCTCTTGTAGAGTCGGAGTTTCGTTCCACTGCAGTAATTGTTGGATTTCCAAATTTGCCTCATTCTTCCAAAAGCAGCTCTAGCTTTGTTCAGATGTGACTGTATGTCTTCTTCGGTCCCTCCCGGCAGGGACACCACACTGCCAAGATATGTGAAATGTTCTACATTTTCAAGAGTTTGGTTAGCACAAATCCTAGAACTGTGCAAAAGTAAAGATCCTTTTCCCCCCAATGGCACATTGAGATTCCAGTGCTAGATCTACATTTGTACAAACCAGCTGGCTCTCGGTAGGTGAGGAGGTCGCCATTAGGATATTGACTTCCCAGAACACCAGCTAGTACCAATTTTAGGGCTAGGTTGACCTGGGAGCCAAGGTCAACTTTTGTCCCCTCTGCTGTTGTTATTAAACACGACTCACACCCATCCTTTTTTTTTTCAAAATATTTTGTAGCGTCATGTGTAGGTGTCTCGTATGTTGCCGCTGGCTTGATTATACACCTCACTCATTTAGTGGGTCATAACTAGTTTTATGGTCTCTGTCAGAATAGCCTGTGTCTTTCCTTTACCTATCCTGTCTTTGTAGTTCAGCGGGGAACTACTTACTTGTCCTAACTACCATTTCTTTTCGTGCCATTCATCCTGCTTTCCATTTTCTCTTCCTGCATTCTGTGAGTGATGTGGTCAGCATCACACCGGCCACCTTTGCTTAATCTGACTGTACCTGGTACCCAATTAAGGCTGTTTTTGTTTTTGCGTGATGATGATTTGAACAGTAAACCTTCGGGCTGGCAGATGAGCAACTTGGAAACTCAATATTGAAGTACAGCAGGGGGGAAAGAAGCCACTTTATAAATCTGAACCATGAACTTAAAGAAAAGCATTTGAAGAAAATAATAATTATTTGCTGGTTTAGCTATATTAAACTGTCTATGCTTACTGTGATATCTACTTTGGTTTTTCCCTCATCAGTACACTAGTACTGCCTATGCTTACTGTGATATCTACTTTGGTTTTTCCCTCATCAGTACACTGGTATTGTCTATGCTTACTGTGATATCTACTTTGGTTTTTCCCTCATCAGTACACTGGTATTGTCTATGCTTACTGTGATATCTACTTTGGGTTTTTCCCTCATCAGTACACTGGTATTGTCTATGCTTACTGTGATATCTACTTTGGTTTTTTCCCTCATCAGTACACTGGTATTGTCTATACTTACTGCACAGTCAACTTGTTTTTTTTTCTCTGTGCACTGGTACTGTCTATGATTGATGTGAAGTCTACTATGTTTTCCCCCTCTGTCCATTGGTACTGCCTATGACTGATGTGAAGTCTACTATGTTTTTCCCCACTGTCCATTGGTACTGTCTATGACTGATGTGAAGTCTACTATGTTTTTCCCCTCTGTCCACTGGTACTGTCTATGCTTACTGTGATATCTACACTGGTTTTTCCCCATTAGTACACTGGTACTGTCTATGCTTACTGTGATATCTACTTTGGTTTTTCCCTCATCAGTACACTGGTATTGTCTATACTTACTGTACAGTCGACTTGTTTTTTTCTCTGTGCACTGGTACTGTCTATGACTGATGTGAAGTCTACTATGTTTTTCCCCTCTGTCCATTGGTACTGTCTATGACTGATGTGAAGTCTACTATGTTTTTCCCCTCTGTCCACTGGTACTGTCTGTGCTTACTGTGATATCTACATTGGTTTTTTCCCCCACCAGTACACTGGTACTGTCTATGCTTACTGTGATTTCTACATTAGTTTTTTTCCCCATCAGTACACTGGTACTGCCTATGCTTAATGTAATATCTACATTGGTTTTTTTCCCCATCAGTACACTGGTACTGTCTATGCTTACTGTGATATCTACTTTGGTTTTTCCCCCATCAGTAATCTGGTAATCCAAGTTTCAGCTTCATAGCAAACGGGTCACCCCATAGTTGCTCCGCTCCTGTGCCAATAAAAAACACACGTAGCTCACAGTGTCACGCCATGCACTCAACTCAGAAGCTGGGTGACGAAACTATATCCTTCCAGTCTACAAATAGAGCAAAAATGCAACAGCCACCGTCTGGCAAAAAAAAAAAAGTCCCCCATCAGTACACTGGTATTGTCTATACTTACTGTAAAGTCGACTTGTTTTTTCCTCTGTGCACTGGTACTGTCTATGACTGATGTGAAGTCTACTATGTTTTTCCCCTCTGTCCATTGGTACTGTCAATGACTGATGTGAAGTCTACTATTGTTTTCCCCTGTCTACTGATACTATGATTACTGTGGAGTCTTCTATTGTTTTCCCCTCTGTCAACTGGTACTAACAGTCAGTATTAATAGTCAGTACAGTGTCACCAACTGGAAAGAGAAGGTCAGCCAGAGAGATGAGTGGAGGCAGGTGGTATCTACAGCAATGAACCTCAAGGGCTCAGATTACTGAAGAAGAAGAATGATGAGTAAAGTGGTAAACATCATTCTGGCATCTTTACTTTCCATGACATTTCCTGGTACCCAATTTAGGCTGGCTCGACCGGGGAGCTACAGTCATATCTGCACGATATGGGTTCAAACTTGAGACCTGCAGGCAAGGGTCTGACCATTATACTTTTACAACTCCCGTCTGTGCATAAAATCTAAAAATGTTTGTTATTAACTAACCTTAGCACCTGCTCCTTGGAATGCTTCCTCATAATCTGCAATAATCTGTGCTCCGAGTTCTGCCTGTATCTGTTTGACTCTAAAGAAAGTCAAAATGACTGAGTGTTACTGATAATTACACTTCACTTATTAAATACAGCAAGCAATAAAGACATCGGGCCTGCAGAGAGAATCCCAAAGATGGCAACGGCTGCACACATCTTTCACAGCCAACCTCCATTGTGAAAATAACACCAAAAGAACGAAGACTATTAACTGCTAATCCAAGAATTAATAATAAAGACTTGAAATACAGAACTAACATACATAAAATAGAGTGCTCTTAAAATAAGCTTCACAGGGAAGAAAGTTATGTTAACTAATTCAAGACACAAAGACTGGTTTGGTTTTGAACAACGAATCGACATCATGGCACAAGGGTAGTAACCCATAAGTGCTCCGTTCTACTTCCAATTCAGGCCTGAGTCCGAAGAATCCCTGCAGCACCAGCTAGGGTCCTGAACTACCTTTGGGCAGATTTTTAACTCCACATTTTGCCTGGGCAGCACTATTAGGCTACTCTTTTCAATTTCCAACAATACACAAGGGCGTCCGGTCATACTACCCAGAGACTAGGAGAAATTACTAGAATCCACGTGAAAAAATCCCAGCCTTCACCGGGGCCTGAACCTGGGACCTCCAGCCTTTGAGGTGGACACAAAGATACAATACAGAAACAACAGACGTGGCTAATATAGTTTAAGTTTTTCTGTGTGAGAAACATGGAGATATCAACCTGCAGTTTGCCACCTGAAAATGCTGAGCATGTACTCTGACACAGTAAACTGTATGTCACTAACAGACAAGCCTCCTGGCTAGTTCCAACTTACAGTATCTGCCATTCGAATAAGGGATGCATTTTTTAGTTATTTTGAAGCCCAGCCCTGGTTTTTGCCGGGGGTCCTAAATATAGCCAGGCCTTAAATATGGCATAACAGCTGAAAGGGGTTTCTGGGACCTCTCCACGGGTGATCCTCATCCGTATAGTGACACTTTGTGTCACTGGGTGTTTATCGCTTGTGTGATGCCTTGGTGGGGTACAACTTACATACCTACTTAGTTCCAGCTTCAATCAAGACTAAGCTGCATAAAAAATTAAACTAAAAGACCCTTTTCCACGCCTTTAGGCGTATAGGGCTAGACCTATATTTTTATAGACCAACTGGCACAAGATGGGTGATGTGGTCAGCATCACCGCCGGCCACCTTTACTTCCTGGGACTGCACCCGGTACCCACTCAAGGCTGGGTCGAGTTGAGGTCATTTTTGAAAAGAGTCAGGCTCTGCCAGAGAGTGAACCCACGAAGACTAAGCTGTATGGTAAACAGGAATATTTGGACTGCATGATAGCTTTCATAAAGGCTACTGGCTTCCTGGTATAAGTTTTCTGACAGAAGGATTGAAAAAGAAGCTTGAATTAATATCATATTGTGTTTTTGTTGTGTCTCTTTTACTTCCTCTACCCATCTCTTTCTTGGTCAGCCTCGTGCCTTGTAGCCTGCTGTTCTCCTGTAGTAGGCTCTAGCTGCTGGCTAATAATTTGGTTCCATTCTGACCAGATGACCAAACCATTTGATTCTTTAATGGTCTATGAAATCATTTACTGCTACTGTGTCTACCATTGCTCTTAGTTCTTCATTTGTGATTCTGTCTCTTCTACAAATACAAACATACAATAAACTAAACTGTCTCTTCTACAAATACAAACATACAATAAACTAAACTGTATTTTCTACAAATACAAACATACAATAAACTAAACTGTATTTTCTACAAATACAAACATACAATAAACTAAACTGTATTTTCTACAAATACAAACATACAATAATCTAAACCACTTAAATTATTAGTTACTGCCACAAACACAAGCTTTGCTATCAAACAAGATTTTAAATATGTACCTGTCTGCTAACTGTTTAATCTGTGGAATTTCCATGTACTTCTCAAAATGTTCCAGAACATTTAAAACTCCCTGTAAGAGATTAGACACTTCTCCGTACTGCCTCTTTCTGGTCAGGGCCCTGCATGGACAGTATATTCATGTTCACAGTTTTGTGCACGTCCATTAAAAACTTTTTTTTTTAAATCTTTAAAATATGTCAATTAACATGTTTAATTACATAAGCATTAGACATTAGAGAATCCATTGCAAAAAAAAAAAAGTAAAATTTGACAAATACTTGACATCTATAAAAGTATATTTATTGGTATCATTACAAAATAAGGGTACTTTAATTTTGCAAATAAAAACTCAAGATATGATGGGTAAATTTTGTTCTCCTATTTTCTTCCTTTTTTCTTCTTTATCATTTTGGAGCAGCGAGACAAGAAAACCATGTGGGACCCACCTGCCATTACATCAGCCAGAACAGACAGGGAGATGCTAGCCTAAAAACAGTTATAGAGACACAGGAAGAGATCGGAGCAGTTACGGTCATGTCCAATGTGCGATAAAGATGATCTTTAACTGAAAAATGAAATGTATCCTTTAATGCCCTCTAACTCAAGGGAGTTCATTCTATCCTTTTCTATCATATGCAGCCCACCCCCATGCATGTGTGCCGTAGGTTCCAGTATATGAAGATTCAAGTTAATTTCTTTTAATTAGGTTTTATCAGGTGTGTCTTATCTAGTGATAGCATCTTTCACACACATATAAGCAGATAACCCGGAACACTAAAGTGAATCTTACCGGATCTATTTTTGGGGCAATGCTATAAAGCCAGTCTTACAGGTCATCAAAGAATAACAAATGAAGTTGTTTGGACACCTAACAAAAATGCCCTGGTACTATCCGCCACAGCGAGCCAAACTAAAACATTACAACGGGTATAGAGCGAGTGGAAGACCTCGGAAAATATGGAGTGATGGCATTAAGAACAGCCTTACAGAAATGAACTATAGTGCTCTTGACAGAGCTTATCAATAAATGTTACTTCTCCCCCCCGACACTTTGATGAGGTACAAGGTGGAAGAGAGGAAGAAAAAGAAGAAGAAGCATCTTTCATCAACAATCAGCAGATCCTGTACAGAATGTAGCTCTCTTCACAGCATGCCTGAAGGTTTCTATTTCTCTAGCCAACTGCCCAGTCCTATATGCTTTTATAGCCAACGCATCTTCAATGTCTTCGCAGAGGTCAGTCTGCTTTGCTTTTGGAAACAGCACCCTCCATCGCTGATCTCTCCAGGCCAGAATGTCATTTCACATGGCCAAAATACCTCAGCTTTTGGGACATGATGCTGTTATGAGCCAGTTCTCGATGCTTAGATCATGTAGGACGTGTGTGTTCTGCTTGGTCCATTGGGAAGATACATCATCTCAAAATTATTACTTTAACTTTCCTGCATGTGATGTACCATAGTTCTTCATGTTGTTTAGCTTCTGCCATGCTAAAGCAAGTCTTTTCCTGACTTCTTTGGTGCAGCTGACATTGTTGTTTACTCATCATCATGTAGCAGGTCCTTTGCAAAACGTCGCTCTCATCACGGTCTGCCTGAAAGAAACTCTTGTTTCTCACCAGCTCTCCAGCCTCATGTACTTTCATACTCAAGAAGTCACTTATATCCAGTGCCCATCTTCGTGTTGGTCGGCCCCTGCCCCTACTTCCTGGTACCATGCCTTCTGCTATAATTTTTTCCAATCCGTCGTGGCGCTTGATACGACCAAAATATTTCAGCTTCCTGTTCTTCACTCATCATCATCATGTAGCAGGTCCTTTGCAGAACGTCGCTCTCATCACAGTCTGCCTGAAAGAAACTCGGTCTCTCGCCAGTTCTGCTGCTTCATGTACTTTCACACTCAAGGAGTCACTTATATCCTGTGCACAGTCTTCGTGTTGGTCGGCCCCTGCCCCCTCCTTCCTGGTACCATGCCTTCTGCTATAATTTTTTCCAATCCGTCGTGGCGCTTGATATAACCAAAATATTTCAGCTTTCGTGAAAGGATGCTGTTTATCAGCCAATCTTCCTTGATGTTCAGATCTTTTAAGATGTCAATATTTCTCATCTTCTTTGTCCAAGATATTCTGAGAATCTTTCTATAGCATTTCAGCTCAAAAGCCCCTATTCTCTTTCTTAAGGACTGAGAGATAGTCCACAACTCACATCCGTATGTAGCCACAGGGAAGATGCATGCTCTCAAAATTCTAATTTTGATCTCCTTGCCGGTGCTTAACTATAGACTTTTAAGGCTGTTACTTAGCCTAAATATTCCAAATCTATAGCATTTTCAATCTCATCATTATTTATTCTATTGGCTAGGGCCAGTTCTAGATGTTTTGGGGCCATTAAAAGCATCAGAAAGCCAGGAAACCCAGTCTTACCACGCTCTAAAATGTTGGACTATCCTGTGACATCATATGGGATAGGATATTATTAAAAAACCATATTAACAGATATCAATATTCAGAAAAGAAGACATCCCAGTTAGCTTTCCAGCCTTTTTTAACAGAAAAACTGTCATCCAAATAACACTTCTTTCCTGCAATATTATTTCAGCTAGTACACACAAGATGAGTCAAGTCAGATGTAGTGAGACAACTTACGCTAGAGAGTCGACTCCCCCTACCAACATATGTAGATGGTTCAGTGTTGTAATTGATGCTGTCAGATGTCTTTTAGCATGGTCTAGCTGCTTTATGTCTCTCGTAATTTCTTTCACCTTGTAAGGAAAGAACAAACACTAATTATTTTTAAGACGAGATTTTAAATACTGTATTTCCCCAAGTATAAGACAATCCCACATATAAGCCACATCTTAAGTTTGGAAATTTGTAGAAAACAAATCATACGATTAAAGTTATTTAACTCACAGAATCAAGAAAACTCATCACTGTCAAAACTCTCATCCATGTGATAGTGCTGTAACTCGTCCTCATATGTGTCTGATGATGATTCACTGTCTTCATATACTGCCTAATCTTCTGTTCCACCATCTGTGGCATTTAAGATGCACACATATTGGATAAGTTGACAGTGATCTTCATCTTCACATTATCCCAGGATCTTTTCACCAGGTACAAGCTTCTCCTGCAGTTGGCTTCTTCACAATACCTGCTGGTGTCAGACTATTCCAGGAAGACTTTATCCACTAGTTCCATCCGCCTATCTTGGCAATTTGAAGGGTTTGTTAATACTGAAATCAAGTGGCTGAATCTTAGTGGATACATGAATTCCTAATGTAATGTTCCCAAAAAAAAAGTGCAAAAACAATGAGCATGAAGACAAGTGCAAAAACTATTACGGCGGGAAATTTTATGTTGCCCCTAAACCGAGATTCCCAAATGAGGCCTTGTAGGCATATTTTGTAATAAATCATTTGCTAAAAATCTCCTATAAATAACTGTAGAAGACGCAACCTATTTTTAAACTCTTTATTTGTAGACAATAAGTGTGTCTTATATTTGGGGAAATGCAGTTCAAATGTGCACAAGTTAAAACTGTTCCACAGTGTTATTATATTGTATAGTTCTCACCATTTCTTCCGATTTCTCAGCTTTATCTTTGATGTCTTTGATCTTGCTAAACAAGTCCTGGATTGCTCTTTGAGCCTCTTCTAAGGCATGTCTGCCCTCTTCACCCACATTAGTTTGACCCCGAACAACAGTTCGAATCTCATCATCAAGGCGCCTGTTTAGATATAGAATTACAATAATTAGTTTATTTTAGTTTAATTGTGTAAAAGTGCATGGGAAATGCCACTTTTAACCTTCCTATTCTTCAGTAAACTCTGGTGTAAAAGTTCTGATTGTTCATCCATTTTGGACTTTAGTCTTGCCACTGAACTTGAGTTGTGCATGCACATCCGTTTTACACATCTGATTAATCTTATGCAGACTGTTGGTTCCTCTAATCTCGGGCAGATGCACTCTGGCTTTAAAGGATACACCCCTAATTAATCAACGTTTATGACATGCTTGTTAAGGGAGCAGTAGGCTCCCCCAGCCCCTCCCCCCAGCCCCTCCCCCCCCCCCTCCCCCCCCAGCCCCTCCCAATGGGTTCCCAGAACCCACAAAGGAAAATTTCAACCTGAAAAAAGGAAGAAAAAATACTAAAACTAAAATTCATCAAACGTCAAAGTCTGTGTTTTATTTAGTATTCCACTGACAAAGACTTTAGCCTAAATATTTGGCTGTATTTGTTCCCATCTTTTCCATTCCCTCCATTGAGTTTTCTAGTCACAGTTGTATTATTTAGCACTTTTTGTCATCAGCTTCACTGCAGTTATCTCTCATTTACTTCAAAGTTTTATATGTGCTGCTTTTGTTAAAGTCATCCACTCTTTGAATTATTAACTGCATGACTGCAAGATAATCTACGCCTCACACTCATATACTGCTACAGAAAACATGCATACCCTCAACATTTTTACCTTGATTTCCTCACTGGTGCCTAACCATAGACTCTTAAAGATGTTTAATGAAACAACAAAGACATCATGATAATCTTACCATATTTTCTGTCTAATTTTCCCTACAACCTCATCAATGTTTGAAAGAGACTGTTCAGTGGGAAACAATGTGTTGATGTAGTCAACAGGATTAAAGTCAGGTCTGTCTAATGGATCATTACTTGGAAGAACCTGTTCAAGATAAAGGTAAACATATTCAACACATTTAATTATACAATAATGAAGCAGGGTTCTTTATTTTATATTCACTTCACACATGGGGAATCCCAGAGTTCCTCGGAAAGTCTAATATTATAGGGATGTAAAGGTTTGAAATGAACACCGACTAATCCTAACCCTTCTAAAATATTGGATTTTCCAGGGAACTCTCAAATTCCCTGTGTTTGGGGTGAATAAAAAATAAAGAACCTTAATCAGCCCTGAACATATAAATACCACAGAATTGTGCTTAGATTTCACGTGACGTTCAGTCGGAGGGAAGTGGACGACAGTCAAGCGCAGACAGCCCAGTCGGACACAGCTCTCTCTCGCTCGCTCGATTTACCGCCCGATCAGCCACGTGTCTCTCGTCAGCTTGCCAACTATCCATTCGTAGCCAGATTATCAATAGCTAGATACTGGTCAGAACTCGCTTGACATTCGGCTGAGTTTTGGCTCGACTAGACTATTGTTATTCGTCTGCGGGTGGGTTATTGGCGGCCCGGGAGCACATCATTGTTGTAGAGCCAGTCACACCAGCCAGTGTTTTTTAACGATTGTCTCGAGAACTGCGGAGAAAAGCACGCTTGGGTGTCCTTTTTAGGATACTCTAACAAGCCTTGCCAGACTCTGCAGGGACCAAGCAATCAATTGCCGCCCGACTTACCAGCCTCAGCCACACGAAACCATGGCCCGTGGTAAGAAGAATCCGGTCCAGCGCCGGGACACCAGAGCATCCTCAGCCAAAAAGGAGGAAGCACCTGTCGCCGCACCAGAACTGACGATGCCAGAACCGGTCGACGACCCGGAGGAGACACCAGCCTCACACACCCAGACGCCGCCAGCCCTGGATGTGGGCCCTATCGAGGCACCTGTCTACCTAGAAGCCGCCCCAGTCGTGGCGCAGGAACCGAGCAACACCCGCCCACTCAGGCAGCAGCAGCAACGACCGGGAGCCTACACCACAGAAGTTTTGCAGTGCTCTCGCTGCAACAAGGCGTGGCACTCTGCCTCGTCATGCCGCAGCAGCCCATCGTGCAGGTACTGCTCCAAGCCGCACGACTTTAAGGAATGCCCCTTGGCCAAGATGGACACGGACTTCCGAAAGCCCAACGCCAGCCGGAGATGCTCCAACTGCGCAGGAGCGCACAGTGCGAGATACATGGGTTGCCCGTATCTAAAAGAATGAAGGAGAACTATGTTGACAAACACCACCAGCAGAGTAACCACCCACCCAGCAGCAAAAAAGAGATACGAGGCACCCATCTCAACCAGAAATCACGGAGAAACGAGACTAGTCGCCTCCACAGAAATAGTGAAGCTCCGGAGCGAGCTAGCAATGATGAAGACCGAGATCGAAGCCCTCAAGAAAGACAAAGCAGAGACCGACCGAAAAAGAACCGAGGAAAGAGACGAAATAACCACCCTCCGAGGCATCCTGCAAGAATTGCTAGAAAATCAGAAGCGACTGAAAGCAGGGGTGACCGACTTAACAGATTTCAAGGTAAACGCAATGGCCCTGCTAGCTGAAACCAAGAAGCAGAGCAAACAAAACGCAGCGGAGGAGACCAGACGCGCAGAACAGCAGAATACAATCACCTCAATCCTAGCCGATGTCGCCAATCTCAAGAAAGACTTAACAGAAACCGCAGAAAAGCTAACGAGATCAAACGACGAATGCGACAAACTGAGCGCCGCACTACAAGCCACCAACGAAGTGATAGATGCCAGAGAAACCGCAAGGAAAGAAGCGGAACGAAAAAGGCAATCAGTCCTAAACCGCAAAAAAGCACAGAGAGCAAAAATAAACACAGCAGAACTAGCAGACGAAGACCTCGAAGCAGCACTGGAGGAAGACAGAAAAGCGAAACAAATCGTGAAAGAAGAGTCAGACAGAATAGACGCAGAACTAGCCAAATACGCGGGTTCATACGAAGACAAACTGGCCAGAGATGAACTCGAGAAACTTCACCACGCCCTCCAGTCCAGCCGCCATGACAGTTGAACCAGCCCACCACCCAGCCCGGAGAACGCCCCACAAGCTCGCTACCAGCCAGGCATGATGTCTACCGCCCAACCCAATCCCTCCCACCCGTTCGAGACCATCCCGGCAAACTTTACTAGTCCTTCTCAGGGCTAGTAATCTTCCACATGGAAATACTATAGACGCAGTTCGTCACAATTGGAAAAAACTATTGGATACTCCAAACAAATAAACGCAGTCCCAAAATAACCGCCGCTCACCATTGGAGCTGGTTAGGGTGACATGAACTTTTGTTTTTTTTTCAAAAAAACCGGAACCGGAACCTTAGATTTCAATGTTGTCTGTTGTACAGTGCCCTTATCCACCTTAAGAGTAGTACTCTTTTTTTTCTAGAACATAGGCCCTAAGCTTCCTCATGCACGTTCTGAGGTCCCATTTTATGGGAGAAAGAGAACAGACTCACCACCCCTATGAGACATCTCGTAAAAGGCAACAAATTACTAATTTGCTAAAATCGTGGTGGAGTAGATCTGCCTGAGAGGCAAGGAACCAGGAGTCTGCATATAAATAAGCCAGATCTGTGAAACAGATATGCATGCAACACTCAGGTTCTGGAACAAGACTACAGTCCAGAAGTGGACAAACACCCAGAACTTTCAGTCACTGTTTGCAGCTGGTGAACGCAAAGAAAAAGATCATCGATCAGCACATCCTTTACAGAAAGCCACCCTCATCACAGCACACTGAAAGTCTCTCTTTCTCCAGTCCTTCAGCCCTATATGCTTTTATAGCCCATGCTTCATCAATATCTTGCATCCACGTTTATAGAGGTCTGCCTCTGACTTTTCCAAAACCTGAACTCTCCATTCTGTTCTCTTCAGGCCACCATGGTGATTAGTATAACAATTGTTTGCAAGAAGGCGGAAGCTCATGCAGGCAATGCTACCCTAGGAAGTGAGCCTAACATGGACAGAATGGTCATAATCTATCTATCTATCTTCTTATACCCTACCAGTACATCACACAAGCGATAAACACCCGATGACACAGAGTGCCACCATGTAGATGAGGATCACCTGTGGAGAGGTCCCAGAAACCGTGTTCAGCCATTAGACAATATTTATGGTTGGGCTATATTGAAGTCCCTGGCAAGAGCCAGAGTAGGGCTTCAAATAATGAAAAAATTGCATCTCACAAGTAAATGACTGGATTAATATGGTCATAATTAATTCTTCATGAAAGACAACCTGCGCTAAAGGCCTCAAATATAAGGATAATAATTAATGAATGAATCAGAACTGACATCACTGCACTCAGGACATTCCCACATATGCTCCATCCCCTTCTTCAGAAGCCAGCAAAGAGTCGACGTGTCAACAGTACCAGTTGTAACCTGTCAAAAAAAACCTCCGCCTATTCTTCCTGCTCGGTGTTCAATATCTTCCAGAACTTCCACTCAGACCCAGCAGAATTAGTCTTTCAATGTAAGGATACTGATTTTTCTCTGACTTGGACGTGAAGTATGTGTACACCAATTGGAGCAAAACAATGAGAAAACTATGCAATGGCTCACAGTCAGCCAATACAGAACAGGAGTCATTGGCATAAACACAACAAAAACATGCTGAGAAGAAGATCTGTACATTTATGGCCATGCCTACAGTACAATGAAGACTATTCTGAAATAAACAATGAACCATTCTTTGTTTTCCTTATGGAATCTCAGCAAGTATGACTTAGATATTGGAGTCGTGCTTCGTAATTATGAGGTGACCGAGGCTGCAGGCAATTTGGCAGCAGACCGCCCTGATTTAGTTTTGACAGTGGTATCAAGAGTTGACCGTTCACATCCAATGGCAAAGTACCAAACATTATGTGGTTCGTTCAGCAACGTACAGTAAAGTATAAGATCTAAGGTACTTTTAATTAATTAACTTTTATCTTTCAACACAGAGAGGTAATAGATTAAACTTCTAGTTGAAATTTTGTCTTACCAGTATGGAGCTGGGATAGAACCAGCCTCGCAAAATAGGCAAAGCAAAGTTGAGATTGAAATAGAAAAAACAGTGACACGATATGTAATTCATTTGCAAGAGGAATCTAGCAGACTACTCCGGGACAATGCTATTTTAATGACAATTTTGTGATAGATCGCTTAACTTTACAGAACTTTCAGTAAGATTAATATTACAGCTGTGAGTACAAAACAAGCAGATTTTAAAATGTAGAAAAAAAATATGATTTAGAAACCTGCTCAATCGCCTCCTGCACTTCGACAGGGAATGATAATAAGGACTCCAACTGATCGTCGACAAAATCGTCGTCCTCAACAGTTGCCATCTTGCACGACGACACTGCCAGATAATAACGGTTGTTATTGGCCAAGTTGTATCTTCGTGGCCGGTAAAAAATGAAAGAAATGAGACAATCTGTTACAATGCAGAACTTTATAACCAAAACTAATTGACAGACGTAAATATTTTATATTTTTTAAAAAGTCATATAAATGCCAATTATAACTTTGATGGATTCAACAGGATACCGTGATGACTATCGTCACAGCACTCCGGAAAGATCTATAGGTGCTCCGATCTCCTCAACAAAAGAAAAACGATTGATCACACCCGTTCTGTGTTGATTTATCAGACGTCTTGCACCTTTGATTAAAAAAAGTTCATGTCTGGCAGTCCCAGGCTGCACCAAGTGTCCACCAACCTGGACATGTTATGGCGATCTTCTTCGCGTTATGCATTTTGCATGGCATTAATGACTTCACACCTCTCCATTGCCGAACTAGTCTTCGTAACCACCTTATCCGCAAGATATTCTACACCTTCATTGCTTTAAACATTCGCAATGCAAGGCAAAAAAAAAAAAAAAAAAAAAAATTAAAAATTAAGGTTAGGCGAGTTATTCGTGCTGCATTTAATTAGAGAATACGTTCTTCTCTGAAGAAGCTGGTTTGGATTTTTTAAGCATATTCATTGAATCGCTCAGTATTGCACCATGTGTGAATTCTTGACTACCCAATCAGATCATTGCTCTTGTTGCAGGCATGGTCTCCAGTGTGAGGCTTTTGGATGTAACAGCAAAGGCATCACTCATTTGATTAATGGTGGTTTTTTATCCTTTGCGCTCACCGTGAACGCCAGTCCCAGTCGCTTGTCCTGGACGACCGATCTATACGTATAGACCACAGGATTATTGACATCTGTGTCCTCACCAATCGGCGTTTTGACTAACGTGTCAACTATGCCAGGGATCTGTTCTCCGCTGCTTCTGTCAACGGTGATGTCTACCCTAATGCTGACGCTGGAAGCAGTTGGCAAATGCACCCATTAATTTCTTAAATTGATGTCTGGAAGGCGACAAGTCTGCTGGATGGCAACCTCCTCCTGACCCACCCAAGACTTGCCTCGTTTCAGTCAGTTCTTTTTTTTTTTTTTTTTGGCTTGAATACCTTACTGGGAAGCGGGTGTCGCTGGTTTGGTTTTACATTGAGGAATGGGACTCATAACAATGACGAGGGTGACCAGCGAGATCAGTCTGTGATATGAAAATAAGAAGATCAATGCTGCTATTGACTGAAGTAGACGGTTTCCAACCATTCTCAGGTAACCCCCCCCCCCCCCCCCCACTTTTTCGAGTATATGGCACTATCCCACACCTTAGTATATGACAAGACCACCACACCCCCTCCCCACATAACAAAATGAGTCTTCCACTGTTTGTGGCGCTTTGCTGGGATCAGCTGGCACTTAATAATAGTTGATGTGAGTAATCCAGGAGTGTCGACACAATGAAAATGGAGAGATTGGGTGGGGGGGGGGGGGGAATCCTCAGCCTTTCGTACACATTTTATAGAGAGGATTTATCTCGAATGATGTGTCTTTTTGAATACTTAATATGAGTGACGTTTAACCTCATCAGGACTGCTCAACCAACGACTAACACCCGGCAGGACTGCACAACCTACGACTAACACCCGGTGACCCAAGGTGCCACGATTCGGATGAGAATCCCCCGTTTAAGCGTTAGGTTATATTTGGGCCCCGGCGACAGCTTCAAAGGAAGAGGTTTTTTTTAAAAAACTGTTATGCTCATTTTAAATTCAGTTACATATTCAAAATTTACATGATCTAATGAATGATACATCAAAGGTATTCTGTTTGCAGTGCATGCAGAATACACATCCTCCTCACTCTCTGTCCACTTCTTCTCTCCCCTTTTTCCCCTCAACTTTTATTTGAATAACAAATTCAGTTACAAATTATACAATTGCAGGATATAGTCCAATATTGGGGAGGAGCTATGGTATATATAAATAATAATATACTAAGAGGCAAAATTATGTAGTAGCGGCGTCCGTGGCTTAGACATTACGAGTCCGACTTGTAATTCCAACGTACCGAGATCGAAACCCACTGCCGGCTGTGTGGATTTGTATCATGGTATGGGGCGTCGCAAGTCGCTCAGCCTAAAATGGGTACCAGAATGTATGTCCTGGGGAAGTAAAGACGGCCTGCGTAATGCTGACCACATTTTCCACCTAGTGCCGATTGGTCTAGTTGCTCTTCCCAGAAGCCCGACTCGCCCAAGGCATGGAAATGAATCTTTACTTTACTTAACTTAAAATAATATAGTAATATGCTAAAAATAATATATAAAGTTAAAAACATTTGAAAATATAACTTCTACACAGGTTTAAAGAGGGTGCTAACATGTAACATAGAACCTGTACTGCTATATGGCAGCGAATCTTGGAATGTCGGTGAACAAATTAAGAAACATTTGGAAGCAACAGAGATTTGGTTTTTGAGACGTATGTTACGAAAACCTTGGACGGTGAGAGTAACCAACAACGATTGCTTGAAAGAAGCTAATGATAGTAGATCTTATATACAACAATAAGAAAGAGACTAGCACTGTTCTTTGGCCACACAGGGAGAAAAGAGACATTTGAGAACATCGTGACAACTGGAAAGATCAGTGGAAAAGGGGTAGAGACAGACCAAGAGAGATGATGCTGGATGAGCAGAAACGATGGCAAGGAGGGATATTATCAAGAGAGCTGGTCCAGGCAACCATGAGCTCCTACGCCAGTTGGAAGGGTACATGATGATGATGACATTAGTTTTGTTCGGGAGTAGGGGAGGGAAAGGAGCTTAACCTCCTTACAAATTTAAGGACCCTACAATCTATATGGGTAGCCTCAGTGTGCCTAAGCCCATACATCGACCGCCTTTACTTCCAAGGACATTTTGCGGGTATACATTCAAGCCTTGAGTGACCCCGGAAAGTTAAGGGAAAGCACTCCAAGAACTTGCCACGTGACTTCTCGCGAGATGTATCTCCTTTTGTCAACAGAAGTGAGCAGAGATGGTCGACGCCCAACGACTACAGGCCGGCTCATGCGACAGGGATTTGGGGAATACGGCATGATAGGTATAGAGAATGCTGGGATTTCTGAAGTAACACATGTTTCTGTGCCTCAACACCGATTTTTTCACAATTATAATTATCAAGGCAAAACTGTTGGCTAAGAGAATAAATATCGGTGCAAGTCAAACTTTAACTTTAAGTTTAAGTTTAAGGGTGAAGTGAATTTTTAAAAGATCCAAAGATAGTGAAGTTCATACTAGAGACTCACAACATTTCAGATATAGATAATTTATTTCAAGCGAACGGAAGAAGAAGACAATTATAATAGATCAAGTAAAGGAAATGAAAGTGAGACTGAACTCCGGAGGGAGTTAACAAAAATATAATTTTTGCTATTCACTAACTATCTAAATCTAGGTAGTGGCTTTGCTCATTAGGGTTTTCTCTGATACTGTTGACTCTGTGACTTCGAGTTTTCCTGCCGCATTTATCGTACATTCCATCGTATATGTTGTAATTTTGCGTTTGTGTTTTTCTAGGACTGTCAATGTCTGGCATTGATTGCACAAAGTTGGTGCAAATAGCAAATACATCAGTTGCTTTTCTTTGTGAATATTGATGTCTCAGAATTGGGGCGGTTTGGTTATTTATGTTGTTGGCCTTCAGTATTGTTTTCTTTGTGAACACACTGCCTAGGTATTTAAACTCCTGAGCTTGTTTCAACAGAGATAATTAGCTGGAGCCACCACGATGTAGTAGCTAGATGCTATCCTGCTGATCCAAAGGTCATGTCTGGTGCTGACAGAGCCAGACTTTTTTTCAGAAATTACCTTGACCCCCAGGACGACCCAACCAGGTAAATTGATACCAGGTAAAGTCCTGGGAAGTAAAAGTGGCTGGCATGGTGTTTACCACATCACCCACAGAGTGCCGATCTGCCTCTAAAATATAGTCTGGCTGTAGTGCAGCTCTCTTTTTTGTGTTTTTTTAATGTCACACCTAGGTTTGTCTTTTGGTTTGCTACAGGAGGAGTCAATTTAAAGAGAACAGACGAGGAGAAAGATGGTCGTGTCGATAGTGGTGATGATGATGATATCTTGCCAGTTGCATGCTTCTCATGTCACTCTGATGCTTGTATAAAAAATGTATTGAAACAACTCTTTTTTTCAATGTGCTGTCTTTATTGTCATCTCTAAATAACATCGGTGATATTTTGAAGGGCAGTTGTCTTCTCTCCATGATTACATACTCGTGAGGTCGTGTTGTGTTCTTCTCTAGTTACTTTGTTAACTGTTTCTTGTGTCTGTAACTGCCACCTGGCTTCTAGTGCTGTGTTGTACTAACAATTTGATCGTCGACTCTAAAATAATAATATTGTTTCTACTAAACGTGTCTCTGTTGAACATGGATCTATGTATCTTGTTTCCTATCTCTGTAGTTTGATGTCTCGTTTCATATCTCCTCTCTGGTGACTCTCTTTGAGGCTCAATATGTCTGGTTCTTTTCCTAGTCTTGAGCTGACATCTCCAACAACTGAAAATACTTGTCTGCGAAGTTCAATATTACTAGTCTCTCTTCTTCTGAGTCTCGACGACTAAAGAATGCTCAAGTGGTCTCTTACACACTATTTATACTAATATGCTGGTATGTGTGTAACATGTGTTTTCTACTCAGTAACTGCTTCTAGAAAGTTCTAGTAGCAAAGCAAGTGTTTCTGCAATCTCTTTGATAGGGCACATCACACAATTACCTCAAATGCTATTTATATAACAAGGTTCTTTGAAAGCAAAAGATGGAACTGTCAATAAACAAGTGATGGTTCTGCAAAGGGAAAATTAGGATTACCATGACTTATTGATTTAAAGTCCCTTCAACTAAAACGCAGTTTATGACGTGTTCCTGTTACATGGCCCTATGTGGCCATTATGCCCGACGGCGTGGAAGAGTCCTTTTTTACATTCTATTCTATGCAATTGTTTCAGTATCATGGGAGGAATCCAGACCAGCACCTATCGTGTTCTCGAGAAATTAAGACCTACCCCAAAAATAAGCCCTGGCCCTGAATGATGTTTTAATATAAGCCCTATCACAAAAAGTAGCCCTAGTTAAGACCGTGAGCTAAATGGAGAGACTTGTAATTGAATGGCCATTCGGAGTACAGATGCCACTGGAAATGGAATCGCAAGAAATTCAGGCTGGAATTTAGGATTTGGAAAGTTATGAAAGTGTTCCAGAAGAAGGTGGCATGACTGTATTTGAATAATGAATTTTTAATATAAATAAATGTCTGTTTTTGTATCTGGAAAGAAAAAATGAAGACATCCCCTAAAACACCCTAATGCATTTTTTGAAGGAAAAGGTAATATAAGACCCAGTCTAATTTTTGGAAAACATTATATTTGCCTACTTATTGCTATGACAGGTGACTACCTTGATAAAGAATACATACTGTTGTGATTTTACTTGATAAAAAAGAGAAAAATATTTTACTGAATATTTTTTTAAAATATAATTTGCAGTCTGCTTGAAGTAAGAGGTGATGGATATAAGCAGAAAGCTGCTCGTCCTATGGAGTCCTTTGATCTGACCTTTCATGAAGTGACCTCTGATGAAAGCCTAAATGAAGCATCCAGCTTTGACTCTTTTAGCAGTGTTGTTAACTATGAAACCTACTTTGACACATCTGATAAATCTCTGCCACAGAATGCCTACAATCTGAACACAGCCCAGTACAGCTGGAAAGGTATGGAAACTACAATTTCTGAACTAGATGTTAGTGAATCATCTTAAAGTTCACTGGCTTTAAGTTCTGGTGGAAAATTGTGGTTGTGCATCCATGTCTGGAGTTTAGACTTGTTCCATAATTTTTTTTTTTGCACATCTGTTTTACAGATCTGGCGTACTTATATACAGACTGTTGGTTTCTCACCTGTCAGGCATATGCTCTCCTACTTGAAATGAAAAATCCCTAATTGTTAGGGTTGTCATATCATCTTATTGTACAAGTATTTTCAATAGCAATAATAAATCCATTGCCAGCTTGCTAGGCCTGTCCTAGCTTCACCAGAGCTCCATTGAGCCATAAAGTTTCAGAGAAACTCTATATAACAACATGATATGCCTATGGTCGGGGCGGCCAGAAGAGCTAGAAGCAGGACCTTATATCTCTGTTGACAAATGAAATGGTAACAGGAAGTGAAGAAGAAGAAGACAACATCTGATGAATGAACAAACTTGATTTTCAGAGGGTCACAAATTGGGCACGCAGGTCCATCTTATAATCAGCCTTTCCAAACACTCATCTTTCATACTGCATTTGTATTTTTATCTTTAAACAACATTTAACAACACACATAAGTATTAAGTAAAATTCACAAAAAACTATGCTACCAGTGCCAGACTTAGACGTTATCAAAGGCTAACCTACGTAACATTAACACATGAGAAAAGCCGCCAATTTAACCATCCGAGACAAAATTAGAAATGATATTATCCGACAGACTGTAGGAATAACACCATGCAGCAAAATTCATTGGGAAACAGAAGATAAGATGGTTTGGTCATCTTGTAAGAATGCAACCAGAACAACTACCGATGCAGGCGCTACATATGAGAAGATCTGAAGTATAAGAAAGAGGCCGCCCTAGGTCAAAAAGGATCGATGACATTAAAGAGCTTCTACATAAACATGGAATGATGATAGCCATTGCTGCTCATCAAGCAGTGGATCGCAAACTGTTCCTCCCCACAACACTTAATGGCAGAAGTGTAAATTGATAATGATAATGATACATAAACATGGATGGTAAATGCTTACATTCAAATATACAGTCGTACCAGACATACATACATACATACATACATACATACACACACACTCATAGACACGTACACATGTATTTATACATATGTGTACACACATACACATCACTCAGGTCACTTTTAGATTTGTACACCCCACCCCCACCACATACACACATGCATGCATGCAAGCACACACACACTCTCTCTCTCTCTCTCTCTCTCTCTCTCTCTCTCTTTGCATAAGCATGTACAGATAAACTACACACATACACATGTCCCTGTTTAAAGCAGTAACCCCATCACCCTGAGAAGGCTAAATCTGATCACTTCTGGTTGTGATACAGCCCAATAAATGCTGATATGTTGCCATTTCTGCAGTGACCTGTTCTTGAAAGGCATATGGTTCTGTTATGCGCCTGTGTAGTGTTTAGCAGGCCCAGATGTGAATATATTGTTTAAAAAGTAGCATTTAGAGGGTTTTCCTTGAAAATCAAATAGCTTATTTAGAGCCACTGACTTAAAATGTTCCCGTAAGTCTTAGTGATAGAGGTCAGACAGTCACAGCTTTAGTCACCTAATGCGTGTTTGTTTTAGGCCCCAGAGAATACATTCCACTATTAGGGCTTCCGGTCAAAATGGACGCTAAGCAGGGGCACTGTTTGGGGCCGAGGCAATTTTTTTGCTTTGGTCAGACGGTGGCCGATGCATTTTTGCTCCATTTGTAGACTGGATATAGTTTCGTCGCCCAGCTTCTGAGTTGAATGCATGGCATGACACTGTGAGCTGTGGATTTCGTTTGGAATGTTTTTTTGATTGTGACCAACGTGGTGTGTCAGTTGTAGATTAAGAAAATGGCGCGATGCCGGTTGTTACAATGTTGGTGATGCCTGTATGTGATTAACATCGATCATGTGGGCAACTGCTGATCTGTTGGTGACTTCTGCTACCATTAATGATGAACTGCATTTCTAGTGTCTGACTGTTTGTGTTAGCATTTTGGATGGCTACATGCTTTAATGCGTGTGTATGCTAGATATGCTGAGAAAGCAGTCTGTCAATCTTTCCACAAGGGACTGAGATAAACATTCTGTGTGTTTTTCTATGGCACAGGAGCGGAGCAAAGATAGGGGGGGACACGTTTGCTATGAAGCTGCCAGACCAGACATTCCATTTAGTGCTTCACTCTCTTCTTGTTTCTTGATTACTGCTTTTATATATCTTCAGATATTTTGAAACAAACATTTAAACAAATGTAAATAAATACATTTTAAAACTATTTATGAGTTACCTTTGTAAAATAGTTGTTTTGTTAACTCTTTGAGTCCCAGGGAGTTATAGCATCAGAGGCCCAAGGGGTGGTGATGCAATTTTTTTATTTCACAAGTGTAACACATTAAAATAGACCATACTAATTCAATTGCTGTGCAACATACTCATATACATCAAAGTGACCAGGGATTGTTGAGGAATAATTATAGCCAACAGCTACAACAAATACAGTGGAACCTCGCATAACGAGCATAATTCGTTTCAGAATCATACTCATTAAGCGAAACACTCGTTTTGCGAAACAATTTTTCTCATATAAATTAAGGTAAAATACTATAATGCGTTCGCATTTTATTACTGGTCAGTGGTAGATTACAAACCTTCATTTGTCACGCGTCGATTGGGCCGCCCAGTTGTAACAAATTAAAGCGTGATGCGTTCCCTGGGACTCAAAGAGTTGGATTTTTTCTCTCTTTAAAAAACAAAAAAAAGCATTCATGGGGTAAAAGGGTTACATTGTTACACACGCATACACATACATATATGTAGATGTATACACACACACAAACATACATATTTATATGTGTGTGTGTATATACAAATGAGGACTTACCAACAAATGTAGGGCTTCTAACTTGAAAAAGGCTTCTTTATTATTCATGAATTTGTTTATTAAATCAGACTCTAAATCATGGTTGTGTAATTATTGAAACTGTGTTTTCTTTGTCCCCAGACTACACTTATCCCTCAACAGCCTCCATTCAGACTACTAATGGTGGGGTTCCCACTGGTCCTAATGCTAGTTCTGTTCAGCACCAGCCAGTTTGGAGTGACCCTTTGCACGGAAGTCCCCCACATCGATCATTTCTTGTCCATCCAGATGATTCTCTTAGTGAGTCAAAAGGTGTTCATGTAGACCCAGCATCTCCAACAGTAACTATTGCACAGCTGCAAGTTCTTGCACAGGTACTTTTAATTTGAGCAAAATGTATTGCCGTGACTTGTTATAATTTTCTGCGTAATGCTGACATTACCCACCTAGTGCTGATTGTTCTGTAAAAATATGGGTGCTCCTCCCATATGCCCATTGTGTGTAAAAGAGGGAAAAGGGATCTTTACTTACTTATTTTATAATCTTGACAGCTCGTCAGAATTTTTGTTTTAACTCTAGGAGTTCACAGACAGTAACTTATCTTCCAGCCAAAATGGCTGATAGCCAGTTGACGCTTTGAAAGTTGTTTGTTTCCAGCTAGTTTTCGCTGGTGCAAGTTTCCTTTTTCTGGACCAGGAGTCCAAAGATTCTTCTTTTTCTTTGCCTTCACTGACTGTAAACTCCAGCAGAAAGTTCTGGTTGTTTGTCCACCTCTGGACTTTAGTATTTTTCTAGAACCTGAATGTTGCATGCACATCCCTTTAACAGATCTGACTTAACTTTTTGTAGAATGTTGGTTCCTTGGAATGCTTACCATATCGAAGAGTCAGCTGATAAAACTCGAAGGCATACAGATTGTAGCCATGCGGGTAATTCTGGGATGTACAAGAGATACCCCGGTAGTATGTGTGCGATATATACTTGCACTGCCTACTATTGCAGATAGGCTCAAAGTTCTGCTGGCAAAGTCATATCTCAGAGTAACTGCAGACAAGAAGCACCTCCTGCATGAAGCCCTGTGTAGAGCTAAGGGTCACAGACTGAAAAGAGGATGGACTTGGATGAAGCAAGCCGAAGACACAATCAGACATGTGTGCATGCTTCGTGCAGAGAAGCAAGTATCACTTCAGAGGTTCCGAGGTAGTTAGCATCCTATAGATATTTTCTCCAGGGTATGTCGGTGTGTTGGGAAATGAGCAGGCAGATAGATTGGCTGGCTCTGCACCACGTGTCGGTAAATTGATGTATGACAAGTTAGATATTGTGAGAGCCCTTTTTCTTTGGGAGCGAGTAAACAGTGCGGAGGCACAGATAGATCATTGCGGTCTAAGGAGAATGGCGCTGCGAGGAGTTACCAGGTGATCTGGCCGACGCTCAACACTCAGGGGAAGGATGAGACGAATATATACAATCAGACGGTTACTGGTACCATCGGAATAAAAACTCTTCGCTTGCTGCTGAAGATGGGGGACTGAGCACTTATTTGAGTGTCCCAAGTGCTGTGATGTCGATTCTTAATTCAGCATTCACATTTATGGTTCCTTACCTCTCAGGCATCTTTTAAAATTGAACAGTCATCTAATTTTAAAGTTATTATCGTTACTTATAACTGGAAGAAACTTAAACAAGATTCTGTTGGAGTTCAGTTTCTCAGCTTTACTCATTAGATTTTGATAATGCAGTAAAACTTAGATTAACCATCACTCATTTAACCTCCAGTTTTTGTTACCCATAATCATCTTTAAAAAAAAATGGGATACGACATAAAGAATGATATTTTCAATGTTGCCACTGCCTGGGCTGGCTGATCTTACAGAGTCTAACCTAAAGAATGGTTAGATCAGACTGTTTAGGAAACTGAAGCAACTGGGACTGTTATTGTTAATGAAACTGTGGAATTGTGCAACAATGTAGGTCAAAAATACAGGAGATGACAGGTTTTATTAAAGTAACATAGGTTTATGGTATTAGAATACATTTATGAACATTACTTTCTGATACCATTGGAATTGGAACTCTTTGCTTGCTGCTGAAGATGGAGACTGAGCACTTATGGGAGTGTCCAGAGTGCTGTGATGTCTATTCTGAATTCAACATGCAACATTTCTGTACATTACTACTTTTATAATAAAGATTATATTGATCGTTTTGTAAAATTAAGTACAGTATATATGTATTATTCACTTTTAAAGGATTATATTTTCATTTTGGTCCCAAGCCCGCAATGACATCAGGTTACCGTACATATGTATTAGGCGATTTCTGTTATTCAGTTATCTGTCATAGCCCTAGTCCGGGCAGTGACGGGTAATTGAAGTTTTGCTGTAGTTTTATAAAATTAGAGATATTTGACTTCAGTGTCGAGTTTATATTTGTTTGGACTTAGGTGTCATCAAACACATCAGCTGTCACAAAAGGAGGCAGACGAACTCAAAGATTTGTAGCTCGGACAGTCACCTCACCATCAACTCCTATTCCTCCCACGGCACTCATGGCTCACCAGTCTGGAGCTTCACCTATTCCAGCTTCAGCCGCTGGAACCTCAAGTTCAGCACCGGTGCTGCAGGAGAATGCTGAAGAGAGTCCGGATGATAGTAGCTTTGAGACTGTGGCAGAAGCCTTGAGACTACAATGGTCTGTAATAGGTAAGAGTTTGTTAGATAAAAGTTTGTTAGATAAATAATAGCAATGAGTGCGGGTGACTGACATTTGTTGAGTTGAGTCAAGAATTGACATCACATCACTCGCAGCATTCCCATGTGTGTTTGGTCATCATCTTCAGTAACCAGCGCAGAGTTCCAATACTAATGGTACCAGTCACAATCTGGTTATAGGTCCTTCTCGCCTTTCCTCTGAGTGTAGCGAGTCTGCCAAACCCTCTGGTTACACCCAGGTGCCTCATTCTCTCCAGGCCATAATAATCTTATTTCTCTACTGATTCCATTGCTTGTTCCCAAAGGGGCCTTGCCATCTGTTGAGTGATTCTTATGTGTGTCATTTATTGTGGAATCCAAACATAAAAGTCAAAAGAAACAATGTAGTATCTCTCACTGAGTAGAACTGGGTTAAGAACACGGGAGCCAAGGTCATTTTTAGAGAAAAAAAAAATCTGGCTCCATCAGGACCTCAAGTTCAGCATCGGTGCTGCAGGAGAATGCTGAAGATAGTTCAGAGGATATTAGCTTTGAGACTGTGGCAGAAGCCTTGAGACTGCAATGGTCTGTAATAGGTAAGAGTTTGTTAGATTAATAATAGCAATGAGGAGAATTGTCTGGACTTTTTATCCGGGATACGCCTGTGTGTTAGGAAATGAACAGGTGGACAGACTGGCTGGCTCTGCAGAACTTGATGGAATACTGATGCACGATAAGGACGACATGGTTAGTGCCTTGTGGAAGAGCGTGTACAGTTCAGAGGAGCAGATGGATCACCACAGTCTGGCGAGATTGATGAAACTGGGAGTGACAAGAGGTTCTGGCAGATGCCCAAGGCTCAGGAAAGGCAAGACGGACATTTAATCAGAATGCTACTGGCTACATTTGTATCGGAACTCTACACTAGCTGCTGAAGATGGGGATGGAGCGCTTATGGGAATGCCCCGAGTGCTGTGATGTCGGTTCTTAAATCAACTCTAATAGCAATGAGATGGAGAAGTATGGGTGACTGACATTTGTTGAGTGATTTTTGTGTGTCATTTATTGTGGAATCAGAACATGAAAGTCAAAGAAACATTTTTGCATCTCTCACTGAGTAGAACTGGGTTAAGAACCCGCGAGCCAATCTCATTTTTGAAAAAAAAAAAAGTCTGGCTTCATCAGGACCTCAACCCACCACCTTCAGATCTGCAGGTGAGCGTCTAGCCCTACACCACAACAGCTGCCTCACTTCAGTGTACTAGATTTATTTAAAAAAAAAAAAAGGCTGCTTATCTTTCTAGACAAAACAACATTTCTTTCTGTACAGTAAGTATTGTGGCTACTTCAGACATCTATCAAATCCTCTTCTCGATTGAATTCTTTTGTTGACCAAATTGCTCCGATGTTAACCTGGGTCATAAAATGGGTACTAGCAAATATTCTGAAGGCTAGACATTCACATCTTCTGCCATATCTGGTCACAAAAATGTGAACCTTGCGTGACAAACTAAATACCCCACTTGGCATTTGAATAATTCTTTAATAGTTTACACGTAGCTCAAATGAGAACTAGATGCTTACCTGTGGATCTGAATGTTGAGGATTCTAATCTGAATGGAGCCAGACTTGAAAAAAAAAAAATTACTTTGATTCCTGTGTCAACCCAGCTTTAAATGGAAAAAGATGAAGTCCTGGTAAGTAAAAGCAGCTCCATGATGAAGACCAATTCACCCACCGATTGGTCTATAAAATATAGATCTAGCACTTAAAAGTCCAATACACTTGAATGTGTTTAAAAAAGAAAGGTCCCTTACATAGCTTTAATGTAGGTACTTTTGTATGGAGGCGAAACACAGAGAACTGAAACAGTTATGAATAAACTACAAGTCATTCGTTACCCGATGCATGCGCAGAATAAAGAGATTAACGCATTGTTTAATTTATTTTGTTAGGACACTTGGTATATATATATTACAAGTTTGAGCAGTTATGAAGAAGAATCCACAAGCCCCCCCCCATACCCCGCAAAAAAATGTGAATTAGAATAACACATTTTTCTTTTTTTAAAGCTCCACTAGAATCAACAAATTTGTTTTATAATTTCCATTTGAATCAACTTATTTCAAAATATATCTATATGTTTATATAGAATCTACTAATTTTTTACTCTAAAACTAATTTGAATAAACTTTTTAAAAATTCTTTAACTAACTTGAATGACCTGATTTATGTATTCTTAAATCCTTTCCATGCAGGTAACAAGTCTCTGACCCCAGCCTCCCCCGATGTAGTGGCTCAGATTGTTGCCGAGGCAGAAAGAAAGATGAAGGCTGGAAACGCTAGCCCCTTGCCACAAGCCTTCACACCAGCCACTTCTCCTACACCATTGACAAACGTATGTTGTGTTTGTGTAAGGTTTGAATCCCTGTAGAAGATTCTGTGCACCTGTTATTTATCTTCTAATATTTGTCTATTATATATCTGTTATGTATCTTCTTATATATAGATATCTTTTGTGTATATCTTCTTCCTCCTCCTCCTCCTCTTCTTCTTCTTCACATTCACCAGCTGTAAACTCCAGCAGAAACTTCTTATTGTTTGTTCATTTCCAGTCTTGTTCCAGAACCTGAGTTTTGCATACACATTCATTTTACAAATCTGGCTTATTTGTTTGCAGACTATTGGTCAATCGCCTCTGGGGCAGCTGCACTTTGACTTTGAAATAATAATCCCTAATTAGTTACCTTTTACTTACTGGGGGAGCAGTGGGTCTATTGTTTTTTCACCCCTAAAATTCAACCTTAGAACCTATACAGGGGTGTGTTCACCATTCATCATCATAAACCACTTCTGCCATTAAGCATCTTGGGTAGGAACAATTTGCGATCCAGCGCACGCTGGCTGCCACTGGCTATCGTCATGCTGCGAAGGCATAGTGTCTTTAATGTTGTCGATCCACATTTTCCACGACCATTCTTTTGCTCTTGTAGCTGATATTCTGAGATGTAATGCTTGTGATGGTATTTGATTTTGCTGCTTTCTAACAAGATGGCGTGTTCACCATTAAATGGGTATATTGTGTTGTGGTTTATAGATAGGTTGTGATACCTTCACCTTTCAGTTGAACACATCAACGCATCCAATTTCAGCACATTTTCAGTTAGTCATCTTTTACAACCATGCTTAGAAACATATCTGTATTTGTATGTGTGAGAGTATAAACACCCATGCACAGAATTAAAATAGTATTGAATTTAATCTATCTCAAAATGCAGCCACATACAGACACACATACAAGCATATATACACATGCACACATACAAGCATATATACACATGCACACATATATATTAACACACATATACAGTTGTCTGCAGCTTTAAAAAAAAAGTAATATTTTTTATATACTTTCCTTCAACAGCAGTCATCATCAACCCCAGTCAATGCTGCAGATGTAATTAGTTTATCCAGACCTCTACCCAGCGTCCTTCAGGAAGTACACAGAGACGACTGTCCCAGAGAACTGATGAGGATTATCCCAAAGGAAATCACCAAAGAAAAGTCACAAACTAACTCATGGTTTTCTTCTGGAGCCAAAAGTCCAGATCCGTCTGTGAATAGAACTAGCGGGATAAACAGTCCTGTGCCAAAGACAAGCAAAACTACAACTGCTACACCCTCAGTGGGACTCCCAGCTGGTACTGTTGTTTCACATAATCAAGAAGTGCATCAGAAGCTTCAAACAAATGATAATATTACATTTTTCTCAGCATCAGCTAGCAAAACTGCCTCAACTTTTGTGCCTGTGTCCACAGACTCCACACCCATGAGCCCAAAGGGGGATATCTCAGACACTTTCAGTGAAGCTAGTTATTCAAGTGAACTGGAAATGGAGAAATACCTTCAAGGAGCTGTAGCTTCGGTGGGGATTTCTACCAATTACCAGCTGGAATGTGAAGAATTTCTCAAGTCGTTGCCTCCAATTAAACCAATTAATTTGGAAGCTTATGCAGCGATTCCTTTACTGCCACCAAGATCTGAAAAATTATTGGGCAAGAAACAGAAATTGACTGCAGCTAAAGCACAGATTAGTAATGAGAAGACAACTCAGAGTGAGAGTGAACCAAGTACACCCACCAGGAAAGGCAGCAGTACCTCTCTGTATTCCGCAGAATCCCCAACACAGTCCACAAAAACCAACTCTACCTCTGGTACACCACTGTTGACAAGAATGGCAGATTTTTATACCCCAGATTCTAAAATAGACTTGCCATCACATCAGTTGTCCCCAGAATTTTCTACTGAAAACCGCGGAACCTCCACACCCAATCAAAGCCCTTACACCCACTCTACATCTCCTGGAGGGATTTCCTATCTCACCTCCTTCAGTAAGAAACATTTTGATGAACTGTTGAAAGAGAAGGCGAGACTTCACGGCCAGCTAGAAATATTGTCAGAAGAGTCGCAGATAATGCTGCAGGTAAGAATCGTTGACAGTTTTAGTTTTCTGCAAAGTTTTTATTTTAATTGTTTCTTATAAAATTATTGTTATAGCGGGTGTTCAGAAAGTAATGCACCACATTGTTTTTTCTCAGCTAGTAATGAAGCTTTTTCAGAATCAACCCTAGCACTTTCTGGCTGTTGTGGTTTTTCTAGGCAAATTAAATCCAGTAGTTTGAGTAATGAACATAGAAGCATGAAATTATGCACACTTTATGTATGGTCTGTGCCGATTGTGTGTACCACATTGCAAAGCATTTTGCTATCTGAGCAGGGAATTGTGATAGAATTTCTTGTTGCAGAGAAGGAAACTGTTGTGAACATTAACAAGCATATATGTGATGTGTATGGAAGTTTTGCAGTTGACAGGAATACGGTTGTTTGGTTCAGAGAATGAAAGGATCTAGAAGTGGAGACATGCAGCTGCTTGATTGGCTGCACTATGGACTATCTGCCACAACCACGAACGCTGAAAGGTCGAAATGCGCTGAGAGCATTATTCTTACTGTTAGGCCAATCACTGCTCAACAGTTGACCTTACAGATGTCATCCAGCAGTGGTAGTGCAAATGCGGTTATAAAAACTCTAAGATTTTCTAAAGTTTGCGCATGATACGCCTATTAATAAGAATAATGCCCTCAGCATTTTTTTCTTTTCTCTAAAGACCCACCCATACTAGACAGCCAGTTACTTTGTCACCTTAGGGTGCCATCATATGACTGTTTTATACTGTTGAACAATTAAGTGGCAAGACAAGATCACAAGCACTGAGGAAAGAGTAGGTATTGCAACAGTTTTCTCAATGCTCATAGTCTCTGAAGACGCAGGTGGCCGGATCATACCTGAAGAATGGAGAATAGTAGAGTCCCTAAAGACAACCTTTGTGATGAATAATTGATGGTTTAAGATGTTGAGGCGGGCCTCTACTTTGATATAAAAATGTGTGCAAGTGGAACATGAATGATACGGGTGTTGAGGTAGATTTGTGGGAACAAAATGCTATGTACCGTGTTGCACGGAGGGGGCCAATCAGAAATACAAGAAGAAAGGATTGCAGAAAGGATGAGAGCTGGACATCTAAGAAGAAAAACACTAAATACATATGATGACAGCAACGGTCTTGAAATCCCATGCTGTAAGTGTGGAAAACTTGTCTAAATGTGGGCGGGTCTTGCTAGTCACACAGGCCAATCACCATGAGTCCCATGCCTCTTCATAACACATTTAACACTATCGTCTGGACAGACCAAAAGGTGCCAGCAACAACATACTGATGAATAGGGTTTCAGGAATTTGCTGCTATAGGACGTATATCCGAATAGTGTCTCTTTGAGTCACTGGGTGTTAAATCTTTTAGGCTGCGATTCTGGAGCAGAACATAAAAAAACAATATTTAAAAAATAAACTTTCTGTTCCAGAATTACGATAATTTTTTTCTGTCTAGTTATCAGGTTAGGAGGTTTTTTCCTAAATGAACATGTAATTTTCTATTCTCTATTTTAATTTATAAATTGTTAGGTTTTCTCTGTATTCATAATACTTTTTAAAAATTTCACATGTTTGTTTTCATTCTTCGGTGCTTTATTATCTACCTCAAACGGGAAATCCACAGGTCATGGGACAGTCTAATATTTTAGGGGGTAGTAGATAGGCTGCATGCAGTCGTGGGACCAAGGCTGCCATATCTTGTGGGACATAGGTGGGTTGGGGTTAGGGCCAGTTCTAGATGTTTTGGGGTTGTTAAAAGCATCAGAAAGCCGGGAAACCCAGTCTTACCACCCTCTAAAATGTTGGACTGTCCTGTGGCGTCGTCTGGGGTAGGATATAATAAAGAACCCATTTTTCTTTTTTGATCATATTTATAGAATGTTTATATGCATTATGCGAAAGAGTAAAGCAATCTACATTTATTCTAATTAATTGTACTCACCAAATTTATCTTAATACTTGGCTATAGACAATATTTTTAGTCTGCTATAATCATCGCCGATGATAAAGGATCCATCGTCCTTGACGATCCAATATATCAATGTCCGAATGAAAAGCACTCATGAGTCAAATCCAACCCTGTGACTTCGAGCGATTGCCCTTGTACCTTATGTATTGTGATTGCAAATACAAGTTGCACAGAAAATTGCAATCATCTCAATGAAAACGGCAAGTCAGTTGGATTAAGCAGAATTCTTGTAACTAGGACATGGTCACCCTCAAATGGTCTAGTTAAAATAGTTGCTTCATGACATATGTATGTAATGCCTTCACTATACGTCTGGACCCATTGCTCAGCTTAGGTGGGTCCAAATTACGTAGCAACGTAACTGGGCTCCCAACTGTCAGCGCTAATCTATGCACAGAAAATCCCTGAATTCAAAAATTCAACTGGATAGCTTGTGGCTTCATAATCATTTAAGCACATATTTGTTGAGAAGTATGTTCTTGCTGCATGTGAAAGTGAATCTTGTATTGTGAAGTTGATGTCAACAACTCTCGCATTTCGAGGTGTTGAAATTGCACATTCCTGGAGCTATTTGTGGTTCTGGATATTTATGTGATTACTGGATATTTGATGTGATATCTGCATACAGATGATTAATAAAACTATAAGTATAGGGCAGATATTACAAAATTCATTGGAGAGCCTGATTTTCCTATTTTCACTTGTTGCTTCTTTCCCGTCACCAGTGTGAAGCAAATATTCTGAAAACTGTTGTGAGTTTTTGTAACTGAGTTGTTGCATTCACATGTTGGTAGTTAATGTAATAATTTTTATGTCTGTCCAAAGAGTTGAGGACTGTAAACAGGCTTTGATCTCATCGGCCATCGTGCCTCTTGGAATTACTGGTAGCGTTTGCCGGAAATCACCAGCAAGGATGACAGTCAGGCATCCCATTAGATCTTTGTTGCCTCCTGTTCACGGCTTCGAGACCATACTTGGGCATAATCGAAATCTCAACCCAGAATAGGACCTGAGCCTCCTGCAGCAATTTGGCTTTTGCACTGTCTTTCTTGATGTTGCAAACAGGCATGTTGTTTGGATTGAATCAGTTGGGATTTGTAACAATGGATGGGCAACCAGTCAATAATGTTGCTGCAATACCTGAAGTTGCTAAACGGAGTGCAGTATTCTTTCCTCCTGTAATTCTGGCAAGCAGTATATTGACAGGGAAGGTCTTTCCGGTTCCTCCTGGTGCATTGATACACATTACTCCATCTTCATATATTTTGTGGCACCATAAAACTTCTTGATAGCTTGTTGATCTGCATTTAACAAATGCTCCTTCCTATTACACCACAAAATTAAATATCAGTGTAGGATTAAAGACATTTCTCCTTCTTTTGGACATTTGTAAAAATAAACATATTTTAGAACTAAAGAAAACACATGTAATTGAACACTATACCCATATCTTCCTACCATTATTAAATAGACTGAAAGAAACATTTAATACATCACATAATTATGGAATATCATACCATACTGTAACATAATGTTTAAAAAAAATCACAACTATATAATTCATACAATGTATAATAATTGTATTGCATTCTATAAGTCCACAGTACATCCATATCTGCTTAGCCATCTTACCTAAATACTGTGTAGGGTTGAAGCACGTCCACTAAAACTTATAAAGTATATTTAAATTTTAATATCTGTGCAATATCAGTAGTGTAGCAAACTGTTGGCAGTTTAGTCCAGAGTGTTAAAGTACCCAAAGTGTAAATAAAATGATTTTCAAGAGACTTGTGGACTCTTGTCGCTGGAGTGGCTAGATTTAATGGCTGTCACCTCCATGTCGAGGACACCTTGGTGATCCTGGGAATTGAAGTGCAACGGTACTGGTTTCAGGGTACCATTCTGCACATTCCACATATGTTGTCTGAACCTGTCAGCCAGCCGTAGACCCGTTTCACCAATATATTTAATGTATTTTTAAGTTAGTCTAAGACATCCATTGTGAGATGAACAGAGTAACAATGAACTATACACTGTGTACATTTAGGCTAGAAAAAAACGCAAATTTCAGTGCTTCATTCTATGTTAACAAATAAATGAATGCATCAGGAATGGACATCCCTGCACTCCGGACATTCCTACATGTGCTCCATCTCTTTCCTCTATAGCCAACGGCAAAGAGTCGGTATGCCAGTGTTACCGGTTGCAATGTGATTAAAAGTCTGCTTATGTTTTCCCCTCAGTGTTGAATATCTGCAGGTCTCTCTGCTCCCCCACCCACTGAATTAGTCTGTCAGTGTATGGATACTCAGTCTGTTCTATTGCACTGTCCACTTGATCCCAGAGAGCTTTTACCACATCCGATTTATCATATAGTATAGCTCACCATCCAGAGGAGCGGCATCAGCTAATCTATCAGCTTGCTCATTACCCTGCACACCTGAATACTTTGGACAGAAAATCCATGACCTACATTTAAAAACTAATTGTGGCGCTCGGTGGTTGATGTGGTCAGCATCACACCAGCCGCATTTACTTCCCAGGACTTTACCTGGTCTAGATAGCTCTAAATTCTAATGCAGTAAACATTAATTTTGTTTTTTTCCCAGGAGAGGACAGAGCTGCAAGCACAGTTAGCTACCCTAAAATCCAAACTGGCAAGTTGGCAAAAGGAAGGTGGTTCAGCTGGTGATGGAAACTTGAGGAAAGAAGTTGAAAACTTGAGGCTGTCTAGAAAGCTGTTAGAACAGACCATTGTTGACGCTAACAGAATGCTTTGTGAAAAGGCTGAAGAAGTCAGGGCGTTTCAGGATGAGCTTCAAGTTGCCCAGGACACTGCAAATAGACTTCAGGTGAGTTTTTTAGTGTGCTATCATTAGATGTGTTTATGTTATATTATGTTATTTTATCACAGTGGACGTCACTGCATATTGGGTATTCCCCCATATGCTCAGTCCTCTGATGCAGCAGCCACTCCAAGGTGCCTCAGCTGAGTTATATTATGTTATTTTATCACAGTGGACGTCACTGCATATTGGGTATTCCCCCATATGCTCAGTCCTCTGATGCAGCAGCCACTCCAAGGCACCTCAGCTAAGTTATATTATGTTATGTTATCACAATCAGTGTCACTGCACATTGGGAATTCCCATGCGTGCTCAGTCCTCCGATGCAGCAGCCACTCCAAAGTACTTCTACTAAATGTTCCCATGAGAAGCTGGTTATATTGTCTCTTATCTCGGCCTCGAAGACGGCATAGACGTGCTTCACCATGCTTTACTCCCTTGTCATGCAATTGTGTTAGTGTCTGGTTTTCCTCATTATCCACTAGCCCAGTCCGTACAGCGTTGACGATATCTGCTCTGTCCATGCTTCTTCCCACATGCCTTGGTGCAATGTTTGCCAGTCGGTCCGCTCACTCATTTTCCTTTTCGCCAACATGACCAGGTGTGTAGATCCAGGTGAGGGAGGTTAAGTGCGATTTTCAAATGCTTTCTACCCAATCAAAGCGCATACCGCCTGTTGCTATCTTCTGAAGCATATTCATGGAGTCTGATATAATTACTGCCTGTGTGGTGGTTTGCTTGGATACCCATGCTAATGCTTTTGAGGCAGCAACCTCTACTAAGTGTTCTCATGAGGAGTTAGTTATGTCTTCTATCTCGGCCTTGAAGTTGGCATAGTTATGCTTTACCACACTTTACTCTAAGGCTATGCAGTCGTGTTAGTGTCAGAGATTTATCATTATCCACTAGCCCAGTCCGTACAGCACTGATGATGTCTGCTCTGTCCGTACTTTTTCCCACATGCATTTGTGCATTGCTTGTTAGCTGGTCCACTCGCTCATTGCCTGTCATGCCGGCATGACCGGGTGTGAAGATCCAGGTGGGGGAGGTTAATTGTGATTATTGAATGACTCAAATGCTGATGTAGGTGTGGATACTTCCAGATCTCTGCGTTGTGACTAAATTATTATGAAAAATTTCTGTGTCATTTTTTTAAGCTGATGGACGGCTTCATGAGGTTAAAGGTCATTTAAGTAAAACAACCCACCCCTCCCTCTTCTCCTGCTGTAGCTTTCCCAGTGAGAAATCAAAAGCTTCTTATGTAAATGAAGGATCATCTTCTTGCACAGATTTTATCCCACACTCTGTCCTCTCTTTTCCTCTCTCCCTCTCTCTGTCTCTCTCTCTCTGTCTCTCTCTCCCTCCCCTCTGTCTCACTGCTTTCCCCTCTCTCCCTATCACTCACCGCTATCTCTGTCTCGCTCGCTCCCCTCTACATAGTAGCCTTTTCCCCATACTGTAAGTGTTTCATAGAGCATGCAACTTCTCACCTCCTGTGGTGACAAGAGAGCTCTAAAAAAATGCATTTGCAAACAAAAAGATGGAATCTGAAACCAATTCTACAACACAGAGCACCAGGCAGACAGCTTTGTTATGGGAATACCTGATGGACCTGAAATATTGACTAATTTTTTTAAAGTTACTGTATTTATATCCTGGCCTATTAAACACAGCTCAGGTGCACATAGAACCAGCAGAATTTAGATTTGGTTTTCGAGAACAGGTAACCACAGTCAGGCAGAGATAACCAAATTTACTGAACTGTGTCAAACCGGAAATGACTAGTTGTTTAGCCATATACACATATATACACATACATATAGCTATAATATTTTTATTTGGTTTCCTAGGTTAGGAGTCAGGAGATGAGAGATGACATAAGAGCCAAGGATATGAATGTGCAGGCTTTAAAAAATAAAATTGGTAAGTCTTTTTTCAGTCTCCTTTTTTTTCATTCACTTGGAAGTTTGGCCATGTAACAAGATTGGCATCAGACTGGGCACCACAGAGAGCAGTATTATACAGATACAGCAGTAGCAGAGCCAGAGGCTGACCACGCAGAAACTGGACCGCAGAAGAGACGCTGAAAAGTAGTTTATACAAATACAAAGTGAACAGAAGGGCCTGTTCCAGAGATGTCTTCCCGCCCCATGCCGCTAGGCATTCCAGGAGTAGAGAAAAGAAGAAGAAATAATTGTCTCTATCTGCAGTGTTATGTTTGTATGAATTTCCTTTCCTCAATCCTTTCATCCAGATTTTGTCTATTGCTGTTGCTTTCCTCCTGTTTTAGTTTTAGAATTATATCTGCTAATGATATTTGTGCATAATTCTGAACCCCCCCCCCCCCCCCCACCTTTTTTTTATAGCCGAGTTATATGTGGAGGTTCAGACCAGTATCCAGGCTAAAATGGAGGCCGAAACAGAAGCCAGAACCTCGAGAAATGACCTCATGTCACTAGTGAAAGCAAAAGAGTGGTACCAAGAACAATTACAGTTAGCTCATGATGTTCGGGCAAAATTGCAAAGAGAGTTAACGATCCTTCAGGTACTGCCACCACCATTGTCATCATCATCATCACTTTAATCATTGGCACTGTTGCTGCATGTGTCGCCACCTGTTGGGCTCCTTTGAGAGCATTTAACTGTCACCAGCACTTTTTTTTTCTGATAGAATGCAGTACTAGCACCTTTTTTTCAGCACTACTATAATAGACACTTTATGTGAAGTACTGGTACCTCGTGTACACACTTTATGGTGAGTACCGGTACCTCGTGTATACACTTTATGATGAGTACCGGCACCTATTTTTCTAAAACAAAAGGCCCTAGCTGTCATGCTGTTGTTTCCTTGTCACAATTATTGTTCCTGTTGTTAGCATTCTCCAGTTCAAAACTCTGGCAAAAAATCCTGGTTAACCAGTGTCTTAGATTTTTTGGGTTTTTGGTGGGGGGCTTGTTTCAGGACTTGAGTGTTGTATGCACATCTGTTTTACAGATCTGGCTTATTGTGTGCAGACTGTTGGTTCCTCACCTTTCAGGCAGAGGCATTCTAATTTTGCAGGAAATGTTGATCCAGCTACATTGACTAATCCACTGGTAGGGAATCTGTTTCTAGGAAGTGTGAATAGATCTTGACCTGTGTAACCCCTGGTGCTGGTGACCCTTGGAATCCCTTTCTTTGCAATAAATCTGATAAATCTGTGGTAAATCATCACCATCATCTTCAGATGCCACCATGTGGATTGGCATGTTGTTAACATTATTATGTGATACTCCATTGCCCTCCACTTAATTGAAAGTTTTAGGTGAGGGGGATCAACTGGCATTGAGCTAAATCTCATCTGACTCAGCCTGTCAGTGCAGAACAGCTTCACCTGCTGGATGCATTCAGCAGTAGGACTTTGCTGCATCAGGAAGAAGCGACATAATGAACTGGTGTATACCAAAGTTCAGGAGTGGATGAACAACCAGAACTTTCTGCTAGAGGTTGCAGCTGGTAAACATGAAGAAGACGATGAAGAACTGGTGTATTCTGTTGAAGGATGGTAACTATGGAGAGTTTGCAGAAGCAAAAAAAAAAATAGTAACACTGTAGCCTCCCTTGCATGCCATAAGGGGCATTAAGGAAGGTTGGCATAAGAGTGGCTACTTTATCCTGCAGAAGAAAACTGAATCTCAAAATCCCAACCACGAAGAAAGTCTAAAGGTTAAATGGTGCAACCAGTCAGGAGCAAAATCAAAAGGTTAAAGTCGCAACCTTTCATGTACAATTCTAACAGTCAGAAGGTTAAATTCAAGAGGATCAATTTCGTTGCACCAGGTTTTATTCCATATGGCTCAATCTCTCTCCACAGAATGGCTAGCCCCTTGCCGAGAGTGTCACATAAAGCAAGAACACCGTAGCTCTGATGACAATTTCTAAGGGTCTCCGTAAAATGATGTGAAACGAACCTGCGAGGTAAACGGCTTAAACACTTCACCACAGAGACCCTCAGAAAAAGTCTAAAAAGAGCTTAGCTGGGGTTATTTGTGGGTTTATGCTCTTTAGAAGATGCAAAGTAGAAGAAGAAAATCTTCTTCATTTTAGCATTCATCAGCTGTAAACTCTGGCAGAAGATTCTAGTTGTTCGTCGACTGCTGGACTTTGGACTTTAGTTTTGATTGCACATCTCTTTTACAGATCTATTGGTTGCTTGCCTCCCAGACTGATGCACTGTTGACCAAGGAAAACACCCCTAATTAGTCCGGGAATGCAGACAGGGAACAGAGTGAACAAGTGCATCGGTTTTATAGTATAGGAGAAATATATATTGTAACTGTTGTTATTTCTGAAAATCTCAGGCTCAAGCAATGTCCCATGGCACGATTGTAGAGAGGCTGAAGTCTGAATCAGCTCGGCTAAGGCATCAGTTGTCTGAGACCCAACAGCGAGCTCTGCAGGACAAGGAGCTGCTGGCAAGGCACTTGGAAGGAATACAGTCTGACATGATGGAGCGGGAGTCAGCTTTCTTAGAGATACAGCGTGAAAGAAAACTCTATGAAGACACTTTTAATTATCAGGTATGGTCTTTTATTGTACACTTAAAAGTAACAATTTAGTTTGTATGATTAATTGTTGCAGACATCTGAGAACAGACTTACGACGATTCTTTGGACCCACCAGATATGCAGAGGGAAAACAACAACGAAATGCATAATCTGTTTAAATAAGCACTAGATACAGGCACCACGAGGGTTAATAGAATGCAGTAGTTGCGACAGATAGAAATTTGGCAGATACCAAACAAAGAGACTAAACTAGCATACGCACAAGAGCAGAATGACTGTAGACCACAAGGCAGACCAAGAAGACAGTAGAGAGATAATATACAAAAAGTCTACAAATTTTTGGAGTCGCCAACTAGAAAGAGAAAGCTAACCACAGAGATGAATGGAACAGGTTATATCTGAGCGATAAACCTCAAAGCTTGGAATGCTATAGAGAGGAAATTAATTTTTAGACAAGCAAGTTATTGACCGTTACAACCTATTAAATATGTTAAATTAAAACTGAAAAGGTTTGTGAAGATCCTGTGGGGAAATAATAAATATTCAAATGCAGTGCCACAAAGGCCCAGTGGAAATTGCAGTGACACTGATACCATATTAAAAATAAACATAACAGACAGTTTCAAAGAAAAAGTAAGAGAAAACTGCTATCTTCCGGATAACGGAATTATTGGGGCGAAAAATATACCCTAACCGGGCCTCAGACACTTGTCGATTGCGCACTTCCGGGGACTATAACGCCACCGCCGAATTGCAAACTTTCGGCAGCCGCCGCCGAGAGTGTCTCCCGCGCCGCTAACGCGGTTTGGATTGAGGCTAAACTAGATGGCTAGGACTCACGAGCAAATAAAATGAAGGAAGCTGCAGGAGATGCGGTAGTTGCTGCTCGTGAGTCCTAGCCATCTAGTTTAGCCCCAATCCACGCCACGTGAGCGGCGTGGGGGACAATCTCGGTGGTGGTGGAGGTTGCCAAAAGTTCACAATTCGGCGGCGGCGGAAATCGCCGGAAGCTCGCATTTTCAAAACGATGGAACTGCGCAATCGACACGTGACTGAGGCCCTGTTAGGGTATATTCTCCGCCCAGATAATTTTTGATTTAGTGTAATGTAAAGTTAGTTGCGAATCCTTTACAGGACATTGCAGAACCAACATCAGCATTTGTGAGTTGTTATGGTTTTTCTAGGCAAATTTACGTCTAATAGTTTGCCATTGCTTTCTAGATAATCGGCTTCTTGATACCACTGTTGAAACCAACTGAAGGTGCAAGGCCAGCAGCCGGGATCGAACCCGGCATTACGAAGCGTGTTCGCAATGCCTAGGCCACAGACGCCGACATAGTGTAATGACAGCATCTAAATATTTCATGAGTTGTTATTGAATTATAACCAGAGCACTTTATACCATACATAGTGTGATGGCTACTGCCGAGCATTTCACAAGATTTACTTAATTCCGACATGGGAAATTGCCATTCATAGTGTAATGGCTGCCGCCAAATATTTCTTGAGTTTTTAACTTGATTCTGACAGTGGGACCCACTGTACATAAGTTAAGGCTGTGGCCAAAAATTTCATGAGTTTTTACTTTATTCTGAAATGGGACCCACCATACATAGGTTAAGGCTGCGGCCGAACATTTCATGAATTTTTAACTTGATTCTGGCAGTAGGACCCACCGTACATAAGTTAAATCCAAACTGACTATTTTATTCAAAATTGTTGAATGTTACTTTTTTTTTACACTACATGAAAGGGTATTCATTTCTGCAAATAATAATGCATGTCTTGTTGCAAAATTTAACCTGTAAGTAATTTTAATTAATTTTTTACAATGGCATGGTAACTGTTAATTTACTCAATTATATAGGCAAAATATTCAAACTGTCCGTGTAAAATAATTATAATTATCTATATCTTGTCTTGGTAGTACACTCTCTCAGACTGCTGTTTGTCCGTCTCTTGATTTTGTCCTTCCACTTGTATCGTTGTCTATCTCTTCCACTCTTTGACATTTCCCTCCACCATGGTTTTTAAAAGAGTATTATGTCTTTTAATGTTCAGTTGTCTTTTTTTTTTATTTCTTTCAGTAATTCTCTTTTCATTCGCTATAGTCATTAACATTTGTAAAATTTCAGATTAAAAGATCAGTTTCTCTTGTCCTATTTAGGTAACCACAGCAGAAGAAGAGAAATCTCGATTGGCTATCCTGCAGCAGGCAACCAATGAACTGGAGGCTCAACTAGATCGGGCCCATACGGAGGCAAAGAGACGACATGAGCAGTTAATCTCCATGGAGACAGGGCAGATGGATGTCATGAAGAGACTGGCTGTTGCAGAGGAGACTCTTGCAGACAAGGAGAAATCTTTAGAGGAGATGGAACAAAGAATGATTCAGGTTAATATGACTGGTTTTTTTCTTTCTTCTCCTTCTGTCCTATAATTCTTTCTGTGAGTTTTGGGGATGCCATGATGTATGTGTTTATAGTTAACGCTTTCAGTCCCAAGGAACGTATCATATGTTCATAGGTTCTGACCTAGTTGAGTTGAGTTGAGTCAAGAATTGACATCGCAGTACTTGGGGCATGCCCATGCATGCTCCGTCCTCATCTTCTGCAGCCATCGCAGAGTTCCAGTACTGATAGTACCGGTCACAATCTGGTTATTTGTCTGTTTTGCCTTTCCTCTGAGTGTAGTGAGTCGGCAGGACCCTCTGGTTACACCCAGATGCCTCATTCTCTCCAGGCCATAATAATCTTCTATATCTACTGATTCTGTTGCTTTTTCCCAAAAGGTCTTGATCACATCTGCCTTGTCATGCATCAATTCACCACCCAGTGGTGCAGATCCAGCTTGTGTTCCGACCTAGAAGCCAAGTGAACCCAAGATGCACTGATTTTACGTCTCTCTTTACTACCCCTTGTACCTTTGATGCTAAACCTCCTGGGACTGAAAGGGTTTAGTGAAAGTAAGAAAAAAAGGAACCCTGTTTACACCCATGACGAATCAGGCATATGATGCTAGTTATATTTTATAGACCAGTCATCACTAGGTGTTTGATGTGGTAAACATCATACCGGCTGCCTTTGCTTTCCAGAGCTTTGCCTGATACCTATTTTAGGGTGGGTTGGCCTGGTAGTCAAGGTCATGTTTGACTGCATGGTGGGTGCCATAGCAGCTTACTTCTGAAATGACAACGTATTGAACGAATGAACAAACTTTATTTACAAAGGGTTACAAACTGGGCACGCTGGCCTGTCTTACATTGGGCTCTTCCAAGCATTCACCTTTCAGACTGCAGTTGCATTTTATATATCAATCATATTATTGTGCTAATGGGAAGAAGAAAAGGAAAAACATGGAAGTAGGAGGATAAAGAAAATTGTGATTAGGACAAAAAGTAATGGTTCCCCGCTGAACAGCAAAAATAGGAAATTAAAGAAAAGACAAGGGTTCTTCTGCGCAGGGACCATGAAATCAAATGTTCTTGGCCCAGATAAAGGATATTTGTATAGTGAGTTACATAACAATAACCTAACTACATGACTACATTCAACAAGGCAAACTACGTGCATGAACGAATTCAATCTTGAATCAAGCAACTGGAACAATAATTTATCACATTGAACCTCTGTTTATTTTACTAAATTGAACACAAAACTAAGCGCTGTTCACGAATAACAAAACATCAATCATCAACGTGCCAAGCACTTCATTAAAAAAAATGAACTGTCTTCAAGCTATGATACACACTGTTATGTCTTTACACAGTCTAATTACTAGAGACAAATTCAGGGCTAACTATAGAAAACGTCCTTAAGCGCCTGCGGGTTCAGTCCGGATAGCCAAAATGAGACCGGTCCCGGGTGCTTTGGCCTTTTTATGCTCAGTGGCCAGACTTTTGGCTAGCTTTAAGCCTGTAAAGGTCTATCGATGCCTTATGATGCAATAAGAAGAAAACTTCCAAGCCTGCTGACTAGAGGAGTACTGCTCCTTCGTGACAATGCCAGACCACATATGGCTCAGTTAATTCAGGAGAAAATTAACCATCTAGGGTGGGAACTTTTGGAACATTCACCTTACAGCCCCAACTTAGCCACTAGCGAATTCCACTTTTTTTGGTTCACTGAAAACCCACCTTAGCAGGAGACATTTAGCGAATGACGCAGAAGTTGAATGTGAAGTGAAAATGTGGTTAAGAAAACAGAGCACGCAGTTCTGTGCAGCAGGTTTGGGAGGACTGATAAAACGATTGGACAAGTGCATCAATGTAGGTGGAAATTATGTTAAAAATAAAGAAACACTGTATGTGTAAAAATAAAGTTTTCAAATTGTTGTGATCTTAAGTTTTTTTTTTAAACAATCATTTGTTACTTACTTATTGAATTCCCCTTGTATATTATAGCATAAATTGTGGATTGTGTAATACAGAGTATTGTAATAATTCAATTACATTTGTGTGCAGAAAGGTGACTTACTTATTGACTTCCCCTTGTACATTATAGTACAACATTGTGGATATTGTATTATAGATAAGAGTATTGTAATAACTCAATTACATTTGTGTGCAGAAAGGTGACTTACTTATTGACTTCCCCTTGTACATTATAGTACAACATTGTGGATATTGTATTATAGATAAGAGTATTGTAATAACTCAATTACATTTCTGTGCAGATGGAATCCCAGCTGCAGGCTGTTATGTCAGATCTGACAAAGAAAGACCAAGAAATCCTTAGTCTGAAGGAGGAGAAAGCCAACACTGAGATTGCTCTCAGGTCTGCCCTTCAAGAAAAGGCCTCTGTGGATAAGGCTCTAGAGATCCTGAAATCTGATATGGGCAGGGTAATTATCCGTGTCTTTGTGGCTCTTCGTCGTCATCATCATTCTCATCATCATCATCAAGTGCCCTGGCATGGGCAGTCATGCCTTTCCACAACTTGTGATCTCCAACAGCTTGTACCAGTTTTTAGCCTTAGAACTCCTGGGTAAGTTTGATGGAATTTTACATTACACATTTGCACGTGCACAAAGATAAAGAAATTAGTTCATGATTTAGTAGCTTGAGACTTCTGTGTCCCTTAGGTTGAAAAAAGTTTCAAGCAGATGAAACAAGAATTGAACCAGAGACTAGCAGAGCTTGAGCTGGCCAGATTGGAGAAGGAAAAACTGCAGGTATTTATATGAGTCATTGCCTGACATTTGACGTCTGCTTGTATGGGTTGTTTTATGGTGTTGGTGTTGTCGCTGTGTGTATAATTTATGTTTGCTGGTGATTTGTGCTGCTGTTACACTGTTAGCTGTGAGGGCCCTTTGGGAGCGAATGAACAATGCGGAGGCACAAATAGATCACTATGGTCTGAGGAGAATGGTGCTGCAGGAAGCATTCAGGGGATCTGGCCTACGCTATCCCTCGTGAGAAAGGTGAGAGTGATATACAATCAAACAGTTACTGGTGCCATCGGAATTGGAACTCTTGGCTTGCTGCTGAAGATGGGGGTGATGCAGCACTTATGGGAGTGTCCCGAGTGCTATGATGTGTATTCTTAATTCAACATTCGACATTCCACTGGTGTAGAGCTTTAGAAGAGAACTAAACAAATTCCAGTGAATCAAGAGGTGAAGAAAAGAGGTTGCCATTGCCTAGGACACACTTTGAGAAAACCTAATAACTGTATATAATGTGCTTGCACTGGAACCAGTAGGGCCAAAGAAATAAAGACAGACCAAGAAAACACACAGAAAAGGGAATTGCAGAAGGAATCAGATGAGGAGGGCACAGAATGAGCTGCATGCAATAGCAAAATCGGCCTGAGTTGGTAAGGGCCTGTGCTGTATAGGGGAACAAAAGGCGGAAGAGGAAGAGACTGTGGCTGCGGAGGATGAGCCTTGGAGCAGGCTGAAATTCTGAATGCTCTGAGAAAAGTAAGACATTTGTGAGAATCAAGTGATAACTGTGAATGTGCAAACATGAACAGACTGCAAGAATAGCAAGTTGTAAGGGATGTGGACAGACAAGAGCACTATGCAGGAAGCCAAAGAAGAATAAGAAAAAAAAAAAAATGTGTCATCTGTGACTGTGGAGCAGACCTGATTGTTGCAGTCCTGATTGTTGCAGTCTTAGAGCAGACCTACACAGAATAGGCATAAACAAATGTGTCATCTGTGACTGTGGAGCAGACCTGATTGTTGCAGTCTTAGAGCAGACCTACACAGAATAGGCATAAACAAATGTGTAATCTGTGACTGTGGAGCAGACCTGATTATTGCAATCTTAGAGCAGATTTACACAGAACAGGCATTCAAGAATTTGTCGACTGCAGACGAACTCCCCAACATGTACTGCTGGACTGCCAGTCTGCTGCCTGTATTCTTCGATAAATGTCCACTGGCTGGCATCCTTCAAAGAAGAGAAACTGAAGTAGCTCTCTAGTAAAATTGTGGATCAACTCGGCCATTTTTCTGCACTGAGAAAAAGAACCTTTGCATCATGGGATGATAAGGATCTGCTCTTTTATTCATTGGTCAGTACTTATCACATGACTGTGACATGATAATGTTCAGCGCACACAGTTACCTGTAGTATGACATAAATAGGTTTCATATTAATGCTTCTAATACATAGCAAATCAGGCTGACTGAGGGAAACTGGCAGTGTCCATAGATGCAGCATCTTGTCTGTGACTAAGATGGGCTTAATATTTAGCATGACTGATGTTGAAGGCGGAGATAGAAGAAGAAGACTTGATTGTGTTTGAGAAATAAAATTGTTATATAGGCAAGATGTAATTTGTTGAGTCTGTTGCAGGAAGAAGTGGACCGCACACAACATGAGCTGGAGTTGAAGTCTCGAAGTATGGACACCCTGTCTCGTGATGTCACCGGACGCTCTGCAGCTCAGCATGGACTTGAGGCTGAAAAGGCCAAACTGGAGGAGGATCTGCATGAACTTCAGCTGAAGGTATTGGTTTGTGTTTCACATAAGTGTCTGCCTGAAGTCACTTTTCAGCAGTATAGTATTTATTAGTAAATACACAGAAGTACTTGTCTCCACAGTGAAGTTTTGCAGCAAGGCATCTCCAGCACATTCTCTTTGTCTTGTCTTGGCTGTAGTCTTTGGAACTATTGCTCACACATCTCTTGATGTTATCTTCTTGTTGATTTTGGTGGGGCAGGGTGTAATGAGTTTGGTTGGAGAGTATAGTTAGAAGTTAGAGAGTAGAAACCGATGTCAGAGGGGTTTCCCAATTACTTATAGGTGAAAGGCCAGCAAGGAAACCTTTCACCAAATTTTCATTTGCTCGCTCTATCTGGTTACAGGTTTCCTTGCCGGCTTTTTATTTATAACTTGTGTTAATTGGGAAACCCCTCAACATCAGCTTTTACTCTCTAACTTCTGCGCTGATACTCTGTTCATGTTTACCAAGCTCATTACAATAACATTTTCTTCATCTCCTCTTCCTCCACCTAATCTAGTCCTATTTTGCATTTCAGCGTGAAGTTTTGAAGAGATATCTGGTACTAGCCTTTGTGTGTGCTACCTAGATACTGGAATTCACAGTCTCTGATGTATATTTAATTTTTTCATCACTTGTATGGGTGATTTCTAGTTAGTTCTATTTCCACCAGTTAGAGTGATAGGGGGTCTCTGTGGTGAAGTGATCAAGCCGTTTGCCTCGTGCTCTAAAGGTTGTGGGTTCGCTTCACGGCTATGTTGTTCTCTTTACAAGTGCAATTTTTACTGAGATCCTTGGAAGTCATTACCGAAGCTATGGAGTTCGTGCTTTTTATATTGCTCTCTGCAGGTAGCTAGCTGTTCTGCGGAGAGAGAGACTGAGCCTTATGGGATAAAACCTGGTGCAATCAAGTCGATCCTCTCAACTTTAACCTTTAACCTTTTGGAGTGATAGGGCTGTCTGTGATGTACTGTCCTATGGCAGCTTATCACATGTCCAGACAAAAGCAAACAGTATTAGAAAGAGGCACTTGAGTATCAGGAAATGACATCATAAATTGTTGAACAACCACATTCGAATACTGCCACCATTATAGAACACATACTGAACCAAAAAATACTCTTTCTTCAATAATTGAAGCTAAGATCAGTTACTAAAACACCGGTATATAGCAGTGATATTCTAAGCTAACGGTTACATGGCGCTTGAAACGTGATGTAAAACACAAATTTAATTAAGGTGTGTAAGTAATTTATTTCACAAAGTCTACAGTCATTAATAATTTGGAAGCAACAGAGATGTGGTTTCTGAGATAAAGGTTACGAATACCTTCGACAGCCAGTGTAACTAACAACGATTGCATGAAAGAAGCTAATGAAAGTAGATCTCTATAAACAACATTAATAAAGAGACAAACACTTCTTTGGCCACATAATGAGAAGAGAGACATCGGAGAACATCGTGACAACTAGAAAGATCAGTGGAAAAATCAGATAGAGGCAGGCCAAGAGAGATGATGCTGGATGGGCTGAAATGATGGCATGGAGGGATATCATCAAGAGAGCTGTTCCAGGCAACCAGGAATCGGGATCTGTGGAGACGCATGAATGCCTGCGCCAGTTGGCAGGTCACATGATGATGATAACAGTCATTAAACATGCACTCTATCACCTTACCAAGGATCAGGTCCGGGCTTCTGCACTATTTCAATTTCTTTCTATACCAGTCATCGATATCACTGGAAATCATCTTTATTTAAAACATGTGATCCATATGTTCACTTTACCTTTTGCAGATGCAACACTTGGAATACATGCTGACCCAGAAAGAGCAGTCACTTGTAGCAGAAACAGGCAAAGTTGTAAGTAAGGTTAAATGCATGACTGATGACTGACTGATCTATAAGTGAAGTTAAATACATAATTAGCGACTGACTGATCTGTAAGGTAAAGTTAAATAAATGACTAGTGACTGACTCATCTGTAGGTAAAGTTAAAAAATTACATGTGACTGATTTATCTGTAAGTAAAGTTGAATACATTATTTGAGACTGACTCTTTAAGTAAAGTTAATTACATCACTTGTGACTGAATGACAGATCTGTAAGTAAATTTAATTTGTCACTTGTGACTGATTGATAGGTCTGTAAGTAAGGTTAAATACATCATCTGTGACTGACTGATAGGTCTGTAAGTAAGGTTAAATACATCATCTGTGACTGACTGATGTGTAAGTAAAGTTAAATACATCATTTGTGATTTATTGATATGTAAGTATAGTTAAATACCTCACTTGTGATTTACTGATCTGTAAATAAAAGTTAAATACATCATTTGTGATTGACCGATGTGTAAGTAAAATGCATCATGTGTGATTGACTGATGTGTAAGTAAAGTTAATTACATCATTTGTAATTTATTGATTTCTAAGTAAAGTTTATAATATAACTTGTGATTGACTAATGTGTAAGTAAAGTTTTTTTTACATCACTTATGACTGACTGACTTGTAATGAAAGTTAAATATATAATTTGTGATTAACCAGTCTGTAATAAAAGTTAAATACATCATTTATGATTTACCGATGTGTAAGTAAAGTTAAATGCATCATGTGTGATTGGCTGTTGTGTAAGCAAAGTTAAATTCATCATTTGTGATAAGCTAATGTGTAAGTAAAGTTAAAAACATAATTTATGATTGGCTAGTGTGTAAGTAAAGTTAAATGCATAATCTTCCCCCATTGTTGGGGAAAACAAGAACAGACCCACTGCCTACCCAAAAGCATGTCGTAAGAGTCGACTAATTGGGAGCTTCCTTCAAAGTCTGAGTACATCTGCCTGAGAGGCAAGGAACCAACAGTCTGCATGCAAATAACTCAGAGATGTGAAACTCATGTACACGCACCACTCAGTTTTTAGAACAGGTCTAGAGTCCAGAAGTGGATGAACAACCAGAACTTTTCTGCCAGAGTTTACAGCCAGCGAAGGAGAAGAAGGAGATAATTTATGATTAGTTGTTGCGAAAATAAAATTAAAAACATCATTTAGGATTGGCTGATGTGTAAGTAAAGTAAAATACATCAATTGTGATTAGCTGGTGTGTAAGTAAAGTTAAATACATCACTTGTGATTAGCTAGTGTGTAAGTAAAGTAAAATACATCAATTGTGATTGGCTGATGTGTAAGTAAAGTTAAATACATCACTTGTGATTAGCTGGTATGTAAGTAAAGTAAAATACATCACTTGTGATTAGCTGGTGTGTAAGTAAAGTTAAATACATCACTTGTGATTAGCTAGTGTGTAAGTAAAGTAAAATACATCAATTGTGATTGGCTGATATGTAAGTAAAGTTAAATACATCACTTGTGATTAGCTAGTGTGTAAGTAAAGTAAAATACATCAATTGTGATTGGCTGATGTGTAAGTAAAGTTAAATACATCACTTGTGATTAGCTGGTATGTAAGTAAAGTAAAATACATCACTTGTGATTAGCTGGTGTGTAAGTAAAGTAAAATACATCAATTGTAATTGGCTGATGTGTAAGTAAAGTTAAATACATCACTTGTGATTAGCTGGTATGTAAGTAAAGTAAAATACATCACTTGTGATTAGCTGGTGTGTAAGTAAAGTTAAATACATCACTTGTGATTAGCTAGTGTGTAAGTAAAGTAAAATACATCAATTGTGATTGGCTGATGTGTAAGTAAAGTTAAATACATCACTTGTGATTAGCTAGTGTGTAAGTAAAGTAAAATACATCACTTGTGATTAGCTGGTGTGTAAGTAAAGTAAAATATATTAAAGTTAAATACATCATTTGGTCTCACTTGTGAGTGACCAATCTGTAAGTAAAGTTATCACTTATCTATCTTTTCCAGAACCAGTTGTCAGCAAAGGTCACTGATCTAGAAGCAAAACTGGAGATAGCCAAGGACAGCGTACCAGTGGATAAAGTTAGAATTTATGAGAATGAGATTGAACTTCTGAGATTACGAATCCGTGCCCTAGAAGAAACAGAGATTGAAGAAGCTAGTGCTTTGGAGAAAGAGAAAGAGAAAATGCAGGCAGAAATAACCAGATTGAAGGAGGAACTTCTCCAGAGGCAAAAAGCTTATGATGAGAATCTGGATGTTTTAGACAGGAAGTTGAAGGAGGTGAGAAGTTTATTTTCAGTGTTGTATTTTAGTCCACTGAGATTACTTCTTCTTTTCATTAGTCCTGTCTTTCTTTAGTCTTTTCTTTAGTCCTGTCTTTCTTTAGTCCTGTCTTTCTTTAGTCTTTTCTTTAGTCCTGTCTTTCTTTAGTCTTTTCTTTAGTCCTGTCTTTCTTTAGTCCTGTCTTTCTTTAGTCCTGTTCTGTCTTTAGTCCTGTCATTCTTTAGTCTTTTCTTTCTTTAGTCCTGTCTTTCTTTAGTCTTTTCTTTAGTGCTGTCTTTCTTTAGTCTTTTCTTTAGTCCGGTCTTTCTTTAGTCTTTTCTTTAGTCCTGTCTTTCTTTAGTCTTTTCTTTAGTCCTGTCTTTCATTAGTCTTTTCTTTAGTCCTGTCTTTTCTTTAGTCCTGTCTTTCTTTAGTCCTGTCTCTCTTTAGTCCTGTCTTGTCTTTCTTTAGTCCTGTCTTTCTTTAGTCCTGTCTTTCTTTAGTCCTGTCTTTCTTTAGTCCTGTCTTTCTTTAGTCCTGTCTTTCTTTAGTCCTGTTCTGTCTTTAGTCCTGTCTTTCTTTAGTCCTGTCTTTCTTTAGTCCTGTCTTTCTTTAGTTCTGTCTTTCTTTAGTCCTGTTCTGTCTTTAGTCCTGTTCTGTCTTTAGTCCTGTCTTTCTTTAGTCCTGTCTTTCTTTAGTCCTGTCTTTCTTTAGTCCTGTTCTGTCTTTAGTCCTGTTCTGTCTTTAGTCCTGTCTTTCTTTAGTCCTGTCTTTCTTTAGTCCTGTCTTTCTTTAGTCCTGTCTTTCTTTAGTCCTGTCTTTCTTTAGTCCTGTTCTGTCTTTAGTCCTGTTTTGTCTTTAGTCCTGTCTTTCTTTAGTCCTGTTCTGTCTTTAGTCCTGTTCTGTCTTTAGTCCTGTCTTTCTTTAGTCCTGTTCTGTCTTTAGTCCTGTCTTTCTTTAGTCCTGTCTTTCTTTAGTCCTGTTCTGTCTTTAGTCCTGTATTTCTTTAGTCCTGCCTTTCTTTAGTCCTGTCTTTCTTTAGTCCTGTCTTTCTTTAGTCCTGTCTTTCTTTAGTCCTGTCTTTCTTTAGTCCTGTCTTTCTTTAGTCCTGTCTTTCTTTAGTCCTGTTCTGTCTTTAGTCCTGTTTTGTCTTTAGTCCTGTCTTTCTTTAGTCCTGTCTTTCTTTAGTCCTGTCTTTCTTTAGTCCTGTCTTTCTTTAGTCCTGTTCTGTCTTTAGTCCTGTTTTGTCTTTAGTCCTGTTCTGTCTTTAGTCCTGTCTTTCTTTAGTCCTGTCTTTCTTTAGTCCTGTCTTTCTTTAGTCCTGTTTTGTCTTTAGTCCTGTATTTCTTTAGTCCTGCCTTTCTTTAGTCCTGTCTTTCTTTAGTCCTGTCTTTCTTTAGTCCTGTCTTTCTTTAGTCCTGTCTTTCTTTAGTCCTGTCTTTCTTTAGTCCTGTTCTGTCTTTAGTCCTGTTTTGTCTTTAGTCCTGTTCTGTCTTTAGTCCTGTCTTTCTTTAGTCCTGTCTTTCTTTAGTCCTGTCTTTCTTTAGTCCTGTCTTTCTTTAGTCCTGTCTTTCTTTAGTCCTGTCTTTCTTTAGTCCTGTCTTTCTTTAGTCCTGTCTTTCTTTAGTCCTGTTCTGTCTTTCAGCGCTAGGGGGGTAAAGATGCCGTAGGAGACCCAACAACAAATGCCGTTGAGAGAGGCCAGATTTGACTGGGACAAAATAAATAGAGCAATGGATCAGTCAGTTTGTTCCCTCTAAGCTACTTTCTGAAGGTAGACCATACCATCCTGAAATTTGAAAATGTCAGTATATGGATGGCAGATCAAGAAGGAAGATACCGGACACCTCGTTCAGCCTCCAAAGAGGTTATATAATTAAGTCACCCATCAGAGTTACACCAGCCAGATGTGACCTACGGTCCTGTGTGGGTAAGGATGAAAATCAAAACAGTGCAGGCCATTTAAGACAATCTCAGATGTGGCAAATTTATGTTGTGAAAAAAAGTTTGTTTGACCCCCGGCTATCGTTCTTGCTCTGAAAATTTATCCGGATAAAAGGAATTTCTGATAACCATGAGAATTTCTAATAAGAAGAACCATAGAAATTTCTGATAAGAAGAACCATTTCTTGGATCCCAGTTGCGTTCTCCTTATCAGGTCTGCACTATAGAATATTCTTGCTGTCTTGTTTTATACTGACCTTTTATGCCTGAATTATTAGTTTAACTACATCTTTCTGACGATGTCTTTGTTGAACTTCAGTTGCAAGTCCATACTAGAGACAATATTGCAGATATAGATAATCTATTTCAAGCAAACAAAAGAAGAAGAAGTTGCAAGTATGTACTGCCTTTGAGCTCAACGCCATACAATAGAATGTGTTAGGTAACAGTTGTCTGGGACTGAAACAGTTAATAATATGAAACGGGCAATGAAATTTAAACATAAATAAGAAAGTTGTCTTCGTGTTGATTTTTTCATATGAATTCTGAATGTCACTAAATTCCTAATTGTCATAGGTTGTACTTCCTTATAAAAGAGTTACACAGTGATAAAGTGGTTAGGCTGTTTGCCTTATACTGTGAAGGTCCTGGGTTTAGTTTAGGACCCTGTGTTTTGGTTATCTTGTGCAGATGCTTCTGAGACCTCTGATGGTTGTAATCAGAGCGATGGAGTTCAGTATTCAATGCTCTCTGTCATTTTATACAGAGAGGCCAGGCCATTAACCCTTCTACCATTTTATACAGAGAGGTCCGGCCATTAACCCTTCTACCATTTTATACATAGAGGCCTGGCCATTAACCCTTCTGCCTTTTTATACAGAGAGGCCAGGCCATAAACCCTTCTGCCATTTTATTCAGAGAGGTCCGGTCATTAACCCTTCTACCATTTTATACAGAGGCCAGGCCATTAACCCTTCTGCCATTTTATACAGAGAGGTCCGGCCATAAACCCTTCTACCATTGTATACAGAGAGGCCAGTCCATTAACCTTTCTGATCCGAGAAGCCACACAACTGACATTTTAAGTTGGGTCCTATTTCACGTAAATGTCACTTTTCCGACTTATCTGTGGTGAACTTCTTATAGTTAATGCTGTTAGCTGTTTTCACGTCTGCACAAAAGTTTTGGAGGTCTTGATTTGACTGCATTAATAAAAATAGCATTTAAGGGTTTTTCTTTTAAGCCAAATAGTGTTTTTTTTAAAGCCGTTGACATCCAGTATTCCCCGCAGCCTCAATAATAGAGGTCAGGGGGGTCATGGCATGAGTCACCCAATACGTATGTTTGTTTTAGGACTCCATGGAATGTATTCCATTAAATGATTCACCCCGTTTATGTGTATGGAATACTCCCTTCATATGTCTTTATATATTTTAAACAGTTTCTTTAAAAAAAAATGTAGATTAATACATTTTAAAATGAATTTGTTGGTGACCTTTGTAAATTTGCTCTTTATTTTAGGATTTTAAAAATGGAATTCCAAAGAGGTCACAACCCATTTTTTTGTTAACGTTATCAGAACAAAAGATATTTAAAAAAAAATGTCTTAACTGCCTGTATTTTTAACCTTTAGGGACAGGGGATACCGAGCCTGAGGTTTTAAAATCCCGTTGTGAGTGCAGTCACCATGAACTGTTGGAAGTTAGGATTTTAATTTCTGCCCCCAAACTTGGGTTAAATACTAGAGAAACAATCATCTTGCCAATACACAACTTTCAGCTGTGAACAGCTTTTGTTCATATAACAAGCCTTCCACAGCCTGCCGCAAAGACTGAAGAAATGCATTGCTAAAATATTTGCAAAAATGACACAAATCAAGCAATAATCACTTCCTCCACAGCTGACAGACGACAAGCAACAACTGGAAACTGAACTTGGAATAGCTCAAAGATCTGAAGAATTGTCTCAGCTGGAAGAGAGAGACAGTGTTAGAGAGGAGATTCAGGTTAGAAACGTCACAGTCACATAACACTGTGTATCTTTGGTCACCAGTTGTTGACTGTCTGATCAGTTCCCTCTACCTCTGTTGGTCTGATACCATGGACTTAAATGTTTGCATGTTTAAGACCTGTCTCTTCAACCAAATTCTATTTTCAGGTCCTACTTGGTACGCCTTTTCTTCTCTTCGCTTTTGAAAAGGCCGATAGATCTTCTGCATGTCTGTTTCTCCACCCCCATCTTTTCAACTTAAAAAAAAAAAAGATTCATAGTTTTCACAGTGTTCAGTGATGATATAGCGAACCTCCTCATGCGTAATGTAGTCTCTGCATGATATACCTAACATCTGTTGAAAATATCTCATTTCCAGTGCTTGTATTTATCTTTCAAGTTTGGATCTTAATGTCGAGGAGACAGCCTGTGTGAATGTGCTGATAGCTAGTCCTGGGAGCAGCCATATTAACACATTTTGTTTACATACAATGTAAAAAAAAAAGTAGAGGTCCTTTTCCCATGCCTTTAGGCGTATAGGGCCAGACCTATATTTTTACAGACCAATCAGCACAAGATGGGTGATGTGGTCAGCATCACACAGGCCATGTTTACTTCCTTGGACTGCACCTGGTACCCACTCAAGACTGGGTTGACCTTGGAGTAAAAATCATTTTTGAAAAAAGTCCGGCTCCACCAGGGAGCAAACCCATGACTTTCTGATCTTCATGCAAGCGTCTAGCCGCTTCACCATGGCGACTCCCACATACAATGAGGTGTCATAGATTTATTCTAGAGAAAACAGTGACTGACTGCTCACTTGTTACAAATACTGTAGCTTTGAAACAAAAAAAACAGGTGAATTCAGAGAGCATCAATTTGTAGTTTACTCATTCTACTACTTTTATGCCTGTGGGTCTGAAGGTCGTGGGTTCAGGTCCTTTTTTTTTAAATGACCTTGGCTCCCAGGTCAGCCTGGCCTTAATTAGTAGCAGGTAAAGTCCTGGGAAGTAATGGTGGCCCCCATGTTGCTGACTGCATCACCCACCAAGAGCTGATCGGTTTATCAAATATAGGTCTAGCCCTATGTGCCTGATGGCATGGAAAAGGGTCCTTTACTTTACTTGACTTACATTTTACAGTCAGCTGCTTTTTTCATTTCAGTATTAATTTCTTTGCTAATGTACACCATGTATGTTTAATTCTAAAGAAATGTGACAATATTGGTTTGTCTTCTTCTTCTTCTTCACGTTCACCAGCTGTACACTCTGGCGGAAAGTTCTGGTTGTTCGTCCACTACTGAACTGCAGTCCTGCTCCAGAACCTGAGTGTTGCATGTGCATCAGTTTTACAAATCTCATTCTCTTGAATACAGACTGTTGGTTCCTTGCCTCTCCGGCAGATGCACTCCGACTTCAAAGGAAGCTCCCCAATTAGTCGACTCTTACGACATGCTTTTGGGTAGGCAGTGGGTCTATTCTTGTTTTCCCCTACAATGGGGCCCCGGAACCCACACGGGGGATATTGGTTTGTGTTGTATTTTCTGACTGTGGTCTTCCCTCTACAGTTAAAACTTGAGAGTGAGAGAGCTAATGAATTGGATAGGGGACAGAGAGGAAAGAATATTTATAATGTCTCTTTAGAACTGTTATATCAGACATACCTGGATCAGGAATATTGGGAGCTTTCTTTTTAGCTGACCACAAATGATGTCACGGGACAGTCCAGTATTTTTGTGGGTGGTAAGAGCTGGTTTTCCGTGTTTTCTGCGTTTTAGCACATTTTTTCCAAGGCCAAGGTTTTCGTGTGTTTACTTAACACAAACCCTAACCCAACCTATACGCGTAATCTACCACCCCCTGAAATATTTGACTGTCCCGTTACCTGTTGATTTTCCCTGTTTGTGGTTGGCTGATAAGAAAGTACCAAATATCATTCAAATTTGTTGACAGGATAAAAAAAGAAGTTTTGTGTGTGGGCTGACTTTGCCTTTACCTCTTCATGTCATTGTTGACACATAAGGCAATCTCAGGGTGATCTCCATTGCTGAAGGGAAGTGGGTGATATCTGCAGCAGTGAACTTCAAGGTCTTGAAATGCTGAAGTACAAGGAGGAGGAGAAGAAGAAGAAGAAGGAGATGAAAATGTTTAATAGCTGCCTCCAGATGTAAAACAAGAAACTGTTGATGACACACATTTGATGCCAGCATATTTTAGTGATTCTTGAAATCTTTGTGTTTGTAGAGTCTGACAAATGAGCTGAGGTCAGAGAGACAAGGGAAGCATGAACTGGAGCAAAGGCTGCTATCATTACAAGCAAGCAAAGCTGCAGAAATTGAAGCCCTGCAGAAAAAACTGGACATTCAGTCGGAGACTCTTCAGGCTCTTCAGTCCCAGCAGACCTTGCTTGCTGACCTTCAGTTGTCCAGTCAGAATCTGGAGCTGGAGCTTGAAAAGGAGAAAGGAAGAGTTCTAGGTATTTTTATAATTTGTTGAGAAAAAAAATTCTTGTTTGTTTTTTACTTTGTACTCAGCGGCTGCAAATGCTGGTGGAAAGTTCTGGTTACCCTTCTGCTTCTGGACTTTAGTCTTGTTCCAGAACCTGAGTGTTGCATGTACACCTGTTTTACAGATTCGGCTTATTTGCATGCAAACTGTTGGTTCCTTGCTTCTGAGGCAGATGCACTCCGACTTCAAAGGAAGCCCCCCCCCCCCCCCCCCCCCACCCCCCAATTAGTCAACTCCTTCCCTCGAAGTTGGAGTACATCTGCCTGTGAGGCAGGGAACGGCAAAAGCCAGTAAAACGGTTGTACACGCAAAACTCAGGTCCAGGTAAAAAGCCAAAAGTTCAAGCGGACGGTTAACCGGGACCTTTTGCCGGAATTCACAGCTGGTAAATGAAGAAGAAGAAGAAGTCAGTAGGTCTGACCTTGTTTCCCCCACAGTGGGAACCTAGAACCCACTTAGGGAAAGAAAAGAATGAAAGCTGTAGATATGTAGTTTATGTCTTTAAAAATTACATTGACTTCTTTGTCTGTGTTGTTTTAATTTCTCTTTGTTTGTTTGTTTGTTTCTTTGTTTGTTTGTTTGTTTGTTTCTTTCTTTCTTTCTTTCTTTCTTTCTTTCTTTCTTTCTTTCTTTCTTTCTTTCTTTCTTTCTTTCTTTCTTTCTTTCTTTCTTTCTTTCTTTCTTTCTTTCTTTCTTTCTTTCTTTCTTTCTATTTGTTGTCCCTGACTTGCCCCAGATAAATACCTGCAGCCTGAGAGCTGTTTATTTATTGCTGAAAGTTCTATTGGCCTATTAGTTAGGACAGTGGTCCTTATATAGAGTGGAACATTATGTTTTTGTGTACAGCTAGGCTACAATATTTATCAGCTCAAACATATTGAACTTCAGCAAATCTTCAGTCGCCTTTTACCACGTGATTGTTAACAAAAACTTGGTCTACACCCCCCAAATGGGGCTCTGAAACCCACAATTGGAGTGCCACTGTTTGATATGGATAGCACTTTGTGGCCTGATACATGTAGAATTGTTGGCCAGATGGATGTTTTGCTTGAAAACTTTACCACAAACCAGATAGTTAATTCTGTTCACGTTTGAAAGTACTGTATTGTATGTGTTAGCATGAGTTACTTTCCTGCCAGTATGTAATACAGTGTGTTGTAACTGCATAATTACTGAACCAGTACCAGAACTTGGTGAGTCTGTCATCAAGTGGAAAGTGGAGTACCAAATATTAGAAGGGGTACCGTCTTCTTCCTAATGTTCATCTGCTGTAAACTCTGGTGGAAAGTTCTGGTTGTTCGTCCACTTCTGGACTTTGGTCTTGTTCCAGGACTTGTTTTGTGTGCACATCAATTTTTATAGATTTGACTTTTTTGTATGCAGACTGTTGGTTCCTCACCTCTCAAGCAGATGATGCACTCCAACTTGGAAGTAAATGCCCCTAATTAGTTGTGTTTTACGACATGCTTGTTAGGGAGGCAGTGGGTCTGTTCTCCCCCCCCCCACCCCCACCCCTAATGGGGCCCCGGAACCCAGATTGAGAAAGGATACTATGGAATTATTCAAATCGGAGGCTCAGTTTATATGGTGGTTTTAAAATGCTTTAGGCCTAGGCCTAACTCAAAATTTTGAGCTCAAAGAAAAAAAAAACGAGGATTGTCTTGTACTCCACAATTGATGGTAGGTAGAGTGCAGACCTCATAAGGCTCACCGGAGACCCAAGAAATAGTTCTTCATATGAGAAATTCTGGTTCTTTGTTAATATCCTACCCCAGATGATGTCACAGGACAGTCCAACATTTTAGAGGGTGGTAAGAGTGGGTTTCCCATCTTTCTGATGCTTTTAACGACCCCAAAACATCTAGAACTGGCCCTAACCCCAACCCACCTTAGTCCAACAAGAGAATGCAGCCTAGGTCCCACGACTGCATGCAGCCTATCTACCACCCCCTGATATATTAGACTGTCCCGTGACCTGTGAATTTCCCCTGTTTGTGGTAGGATAATAATAGAGCACCAAAATTCTTCTTATCCATATAATTATTCCAGCAGGAAAAATGGCTGGGGATAAACAAATTGTTCTTTTCAACAGAAATTCACCACATCCGAGATCGCCTTCAGTGTTTCAGTAATGCAGCTCTTATTTTTTTTAAAAATTTTGTAACAGAAAATCTTACTGCAGATATTTCACTTATGTTGTGAGTTAACCAAATTAACACATTTTAGAAAAGTATACCTTATAACAACTAGGGTTGAGCCAGACAAATGCAGAACTGAAAGAGCACAGTCACCAACTGGAGGCAGCTCTGGCACAAAGAGAGTCTGCCCTTGAATCTTTGAAAAGGTCAGTTGAAGAGTCGACTCGTGACCTTGACCAGAGAGATCAGAAGTTCCTGGACAGAATATCCAGCCTGGAAGAAGCTGTGGAGAAAGAGTTTGAAGTCCAGCGAGAGCTGCGGAAACAGGTAAAACAGTTGTTTATTAAAGCCTGATTTCTTCTTCTTCAGCAGTCACCTTTAAGGGGGAGGGGCTGGCACGTTGTGGTTTACAGCTAGGTTGCGATATATGTGCCTTTTGGCTGTACACATCAGATTTCAGCAAACCACAGTGCACATGTGGATTGGCACCTGAGACAACAGATCAGGTCTTCCAAGACTGTCCCAAATACAACGTATCAAGGCAACTTTTGTCCAAGAGAAACACTGATGCAAGCCAAACTTGATGGGTCGCTAAATGAATTACAAAAGACGGTGAAGTTCTTACTAGAGGCAACATTGCAGAAATAGATTATTTATTTTAAGCGAACGAAAGAAGAAGAAACAAACCACTAACTGGTCGTCGTTTACCTGTACTTGTTAAGTGCAGTGGGCTTGTTCTTTATTTCTGGGTAATGGATAATACTCAGTTTCATTTCTTAGTATTTGTGTGTGTGTGTTATAATCAAGAAATCACTCATCATCATCATTGCCTTGTTGTGCCATTATATGTCACATATGGCTTGCAGTCTGTTCCTCCATTCTCTTCTGTCTTGTGCGATCACTTTGATATCATCGATGGAAACCACTCCAGTACTGCTGGTATCTCTCATCAACATTTGTTTTAAGGTTTTGTTTGGATGTCCTCACTTCCTCAAACACTTGATTTCTTGTTTTTTAGTCCCTTCTTGGTGATTCTCTGCTCGTTTCTTTTGGGGATGTGTCCAGTATAAGGCCATCCTCATTGTCTTATAACTTTTTACTAATGCTACCCAGGCATTTGTTTTATTTCTTCACGTCTCTTGAATTCAAGAAGCTTCCAGAATATTCCACTGCTGCTTGAACATCCTCTTTTCCAATCCAGAGGATCTTTGGTGAGAACACAGATATGTAGACTAGACACCAATCTAAAAGAAATTGTCGGAAGCAGACACCCTTGTTTACTTATTAGAATATTATTGCTAATTGATGCTGACTAATTTTCTATTGCCAGATGGGAACAAAGATCATGGAAAATAAACGATTGAAGAAACAGAATGATAGCATCAAGATGGAGCTGGAGCAGCTACGCCAGGATCTGGCCATCAGTCAGCAGACGGCTGTGGAAGCTATGGCTGAGCTAGAAACAGCCAATAAACAATCACAGAGCCAGCTGACGGAGGCCAGAGAAAACTCTGCACTGGTTAAATCTCTGGAAGCCGAACTAGACAGAGTGAAACGGGACTTGAATGACAATCTGGCCAGACAGCCAGTTCTCCTGGAACAAATACAGGTTAGTTTGATTTATAGTGAGATATCTTTTGATGGTGAGATATTTATTGTTAGATGATGAGATATCTGTTGATAGTTGATTGATGATAGATTATGAGATATCTGTTAATAGAGGATTAGATTTGTTGATAAATGAGGTATATGTTAATAGATAAAGAGATATATGTTGATATGTGATGAGATATATGTTATAGATAAAGAGATATATGTTGATAAATGATGATATATATGTTGATAGATAAAGAGATATATGTTAATAGATGATGAGATATATGTTGATAGGTAAAGAGATATATGTTGATAGATAAAGAGATATCTATTGATAAATAAAGAGATATATGTTGATAGATAAAGAAATATCTGTTGATAGATAAAGAGATATCTGTTGATAAAGAGATTTATGTTGATAGATGATGAGATATCTGTTCATAGATGATGAGATATCTGTTGATAGATAAAGAGATATCTGTTGATAGACAAAATATATGTTGATAGATGATGAGAAATATCACAGCCCACCTGAAAGAAACTTGGTCACTAACCAGATCTCTTTCCTACCCAAGGTGTCACTTATATCCTGTGCCCGTCTTCCTGTTGATTGGCCCCTGCCCCTTTTTTCCTGGCACCATGCCTTCTACTGTTCCTTCCAATCTGCTGTGGGACCTGTTGGAGCCAAAGTATTTTAGTTTCCAAGACAAGATGCTGTTTACTAGCCAATCTTCTTTCATGTTCAGATCTTTTAGTATGCCATTATTTTTTTTCTTCTTGGTCAGTGGTGCTCTGAGAATCTTTCTATAGCATTTCAATTCAGAAGTACCTTTTTTCTTCCTTAATGACTGCAAGATAGTCAGCGCTACACCTAAGTAAATATGATATCAGAGCAAGATGCAATCCAAGAAGAATATGGATTGATGACATTAAAGACCTTGTTCACTCACAGGGACTGATGAAAACTAGTGTCACCCTTCGAGTGCTGAATCAATGAAGATTGATAAGACGAAAGTGGAAACAGAACCTATTCCACACTTTTAGGCCTAATAGGTGTTAGACCTATATTTGTAGACAAACTGGCACTCGCTGATTGATGTGGTCAACATCACGCCAGCTGCTTTACTTCCTAGGACTTTACCTGGTACCTATTTGAGGCTGGGTTGACCTGGGAGCCAAAGTCATTTTTTAAAAATAAGAATATTGTTCTTGATGCAGATTTGAGCCCACCACCTTCAGATCCACAGGTAGGCATCTGGAAGATGATGATAATTATTTACAGTTATGAATGGTTGCAATACCTGTCAGCAACTGTGACCCCTATATCAGATGATACTTGCCAGATTTTCCTGCAGTTTTGTACTGAATGTTCTCACAGAGCCTGCAGTGGGAGTGTGCCCAGAAGGTCCATGAAGTTGAGGCAGCCAAGGAACAAATCAAGATTGCTGAGGAGAGAGCTCAAGGAGAAATAGGTGCAGCAAAAGCATCGCTGCAGGTCAGTGACATTTTAACATATGCACCTACATGGTGTGAACAGTGTAGACCTGCTAAAGACGATCTTGGAGGTGACAAATTTCTGTTGTGAAGTACAATTTGTTAATCCCCTGCAATTTTTCTTTCTTTGAATTCTTATGTTCTGTCTGAATAAGAAGACTTTCTGACAAGAACCATTTCTGGGGACCTCGGTGAATTCTCCTTATCAGGTCTGCACTGTAGTAACTCATTCATTTTCAAGTAATGTATGATGTGCCCTTTTCATCTCATGATGTGTTTGCCTTCTTTATGTATATTTAGTCAGGGTATTCTTAAGAAATCTGGCTTTTATATTAGCCATTTCCACTAAGGATTCATCTTTGAAATTATTGATTCTTATCATGATGTTAACGGCTGCTACCTTTGCCCTTTCACCTTTCAAAATTTGCTATGAAGTTTTCTGAGACTAAAAGAGTTTAGACAAAATATGTTCATCACATAATATAGGAAACTGCCAAAGCAAGTAACCTAAAGTAAGAGTAACCCAAAGGAAGAATAACATAAAGTAAGAATAACCCAAAGGAAGAATAACATAAAGTAAGAATAACCCAAAGTAAGAATCGACAGTAAGGTAAAGATGATACCTATCTGTTAATCTGGTGGGTTACCATATTTTTTCTGTGTGTAAGGCGTCCCGATGTATAAGACAACGCCTGTTGTTTTAGCCCAGAGTTGAGAAATAAATGTTTTCAAAATCCTCCATAATTAGAACCCCCCCCCCCCCCCCCCCCCCCCCCCTTTCTCCTCTCCATTTCGACACACAATTGTAAACTTAAAGAAAAACAAATTGGAAAACATATCATTTTCTACATACAAAAATATGGTAATTTTATACTTGAATGTTGCCCCTCTTTAGTTAATTGTCCATTTTCCAGTTTTCTGCTTCAGTTTTTATGTATAATTGTTTTTTGTTTGACTAATCACAGACTGTTGGATTATGGCAGTGATGATAATACACATTCTAACATAATTTTCTTTAGCTATTTTACCCAGGTAACACTAAAACAAAATAGGTCACAACCCTGTGGGAATTCTCAAAAGAAATCCTTTAAAAGTAATTGTACACAGGTCACTAAAAAGTAAAGTAAAGATCCCTTTTCAAGCCTTTAGGCGCATCGGGCATTTGGGAAGAGTACCGATATTTTTACAGACCATCAGCACTAGGTGGGTAATGTGGTCAGCATTACACCGGCCGTTGTTACTTCCCCAGGACAAACATCCTGGTACAAATTTAAGGCTGGGTCAACCTGCGACGCGTCATACAGTGATAAAAATCCACGCAGCCAGCAGTGAGTTTCGATCGCGGTACGTTAGATCACTAATACATTTGTTTAAATATTGTGGTAACATTTTAAAATTATTTTGCTTTGAAATATATAACAGGAGTAATAAATTAACATAAACTGTGAAGCATTAAATTGAATATATTCCATAGGACATACAAATATATATATCCCTTAATCCCATGACTCTGTCACTGAGCATTACGGGAAAATTGTGCGTCAACTAGGCTTTAATAAAATCAACAACATTTCAAGGAAGACCTCCGAAATGCTGTTTTAGTTAAAATCCTGATCTCATAAGTGTTTTCGCAGGGGTGAACATAGCCAGTAGCATGAACTTATACATCTCATAAACAGATCAAGTCAGAAAAGTGACATTTGTGGGGTAGTGTCAGTTTTGCAGCTTCTTGGGGCAACAGGGTTGAGGAAAGAAAGAAGATGTCTAACCTCATTTACTATTACCAAGCATATGCGTAAATGTAACACTTTTTCCCCCCTGTTCTGTAAGTACGAACAAACTTGATTTTTAAAGTGAAATAAATTTGGCATGGGAGTTGCCCTGGTGGAGCGGCTAGATGCTCGCCGCAGATCAGAAGGTCGTGGGTTTGCTCACTGGCAGAGCTGGAATTTTTTTCAAAAATGACCTTGTCTCCCGGGTAGACCCAGTCTTGAGTGGGTACCAGGTGCAGTCCTGGGAAGTAAAGACGGCCGGTGTGATGCTGACCACATCACTCACCTTGTGCCGATTGGTCTATAAAATATAAGTCTAGCCCTATATGCCTAAAGGCGTGGAAAAGGATCCTTGACTTTTTAAAAAAACACATTTTGCATGTAGGCCCCCCCCTTACATGCGAGCATTCCAGACAGCCATCTTTCACACAGCAGTTGTGTTTTATCAATACAGCATGTTATGTTCATATAATAATATGCATATTATTGAATATCAGGAAATAATACATAGGTGGTAAACAGCATTCATACACTCGTGTGTGCACATACACACACATACACCCATATACACATGCCCACCCACTCACTCGCTCACACACACATCACATACATACATACACATAAACACACATTCACACACACACACATCTACAGACATACAAACACATTCACAAACACACACGCACAGAGGGAGAGATATGCGTACATACATTTGTACATAAGTAGCCATTGTCAGCATATGTGCTTAAGGGGCTACACAGTTTCATAATTGGGTTCAGTTCAGCGGCAGGAAATTTGAAAGCAGACAGCTTTGCTCTGTTTGATTTCTACAATGGTATGATCATTGATCGTTCAGAAGGTAATGGGAAATAACTAAAACATAGTTGCGTCACCACAGACGGCCAGCAAACACTAGGGGGTGGTTTGCTTGTCTTGTAAAGGATATGCAACTGACTTTGATAAAGTCACCATAATTTCCTGTGATCATTCATAAATGTATTGATAGATATCTTTTATAATGTAACCATCATTCCATGTGGTCATTCATAAATGTATTGATGGATATCTTTTATAATGTAACCATCATTCCATGTGATCATTCATAAATGTATTGATGGATATCTTTTATAAAGTAACCATCATTCCATGTGGTCATTCATAAATGTATTGATAGATATCTTTTATAATGTAACCATCATTCCATGTGATCATTCATAAATGTATTGATGGATATCTTTTATAAAGTAACCATCATTTCATGTGGTCATTCATTGATGGATGTCATTTATAAAATAGCTGTCATTTTATGTGGTCATCCTAAAATTTATTGATAGAAGTTTTTGATTTAGAACAATGTAATTTTATTTTTAAAAACAAAAGACTGATAGAGTTCTTGAATTGTTTGTAGGAAAAGCAGTCGGAGATCGACCGTCTGCAAGCAGAACTGGCTTCTTTAAGGCAAGAGAAGAAACATCAGCGTTCTCAGGTGAACGAGTTGAGGGGTGCCTTGAAAGCATCGGTGCAACATCATAAGGTAAGCAGGTGCCCCTGGACATCCAGCCCTCCTTACCCAGATAGGACTGCAGGTTTCATGTGGGTGGTGTAACCGTTAGGGGGGCCCCTAATTTTAATTTATTGGGAGGTTGAACGGGGTATCTTGGATTTGCCTTGTTATTTTGCCGTCCAGATTTAGATTTTGTTTTTGCCCCAGGATGTAATTTGGGAGCTGCCGTGGTTTAGCGGCTAGATGCTCGCCTACGGATCAGAAGGTCTTGGGTTTAGTTCCTGATGAGGGCCGGATTTTTTTCAAAAATGACTTTGGCTCCCAGGTTGACCCAGTCTTGAGTGGGTACTAGGTACAGTCCTGGGAAGTAAAGATGGCCGGCGTGATGCTGACATCACCCACCAAGTGCCTTTTGGTCTATACAATATAGGTCTACTCCAATATACCCAATACGCCTGAAAGGCATGAAAAAGGGGACCTTTACTTTACTAGGATCTAATATGAAACCTCTAGGTGGCAGCCTGCCCCCTGATCGACCAATCAGGTGTCAGAAAACCAGACAGAATACGGGGAGGAATTTGTTGCTTCTTGCATCTTTACCATGTGGAATAGTGGTCCGTGATTAGTTTATTGAATGGTACTTGTGGGAAGCAAGTTAAAGAATTTAAATATCTAAGAAGTATGTTCTTGCAGGATGGGAGAATAGATCGTGAAAAAGAAAGTCGGGAGAGGTAAAAGGTGAAGTGGGGAGATGTAAACCAGCATAATTGCACATGGTTATAAACCAGTACGGACAGCTAATAAAGAAACTGTACACCTGTGTCGCCGTCCGCACGCAACACCGTAGCTACAGCGACGTTCCTCCATTTACCACAGAATGTTAAATCAGGTACCCATTTCCTAGAGGCTGGGTGAACCACGGGAACCGCTGGGTTTCTAACACCGGCTGTCGGCTGCAGCGAGTCGCTGTTGGATTTGAAATCAAATCTCCTATTGACTGCGCTAATGCGACCAAGAAACACATTATAAACAACATATTCATACCAGCACTGTGCTACCAATGCCAGACTTGGACATTATCAAAGGCTTACCTACGTAAAATTAACACCTATGAAATGAGATGCCTGAGAAAAGCCGTCAACTTAACCATCCGAGACAGTTAGAAATGATATTATCAGACAGGCTGTTGGAATAACACCATGCAGCAAATTCACTGAGAAACAGAAGATCAAATGGTTTGGTCATTGAGTAAGAACGTAGTCAGAATAACTACCAACACAGGCACTACACATGAAAGGATCTGAAGTGAAAGTGAGAGGCCGCCCTAGGAGAAGATGGATTGATGACATTAAATAGTTACAATACATCAACATGGAAGTGATAGCAAGAGGCCGCCCTAGGAGAAGATGGATTGATGACATTAAATAGTTACAATACATCAACATGGAAGTGATATCAAGAGGCGGCCCTAGGAGAAGATGGATTGATGACATTAAATAGTTACAATACATCAACATGGAAGTGATAGCAAGAGGCGGCCCTAGGAGAAGATGGATTGATGACATTAAATAGTTACAATACATCAACATGGAAGTGATATCAAGAGGCGGCCCTAGGAGAAGATGGATTGATGAAATTAAATAGTTACAATACATCAACATGGAAGTGATATCAAGAGGCCGTCCTAGGAGAAGATGGATTAATGACATTAAATAGTTACAATACATCAACATGGAAGTGATATCAAGAGGCGGCCCTAGGAGAAGATGGATTAATGACATTAAATAGTTACAATACATCAACATGGAAGTGATATCAAGAGGCGGCCCTAGGAGAAGATGGATTAATGACATTAAATAGTTACAATACATCAACATGGAAGTGATATCAAGAGGCGGCCCTAGGAGAAGATGGATTAATGACATTAAATAGTTACAATACATCAACATGGAAGTGATATCAAGAGGCGGCCCTAGGAGAAGATGGATTAATGACATTAAATAGTTACAATACATCAACATGGAAGTGATATCAAGAGGCCGTCCTAGGAGAAGATGGATTAATGACATTAAATAGTTACAATACATCAACATGGAAGTGATATCAAGAGGCCGCCCTAGGAGAAGATGGATTAATGACATTAAATAGTTACAATACATCAACATGGAAGTGATATCAAGAGGCGGCCCTAGGAGAAGATGGATTAATGACATTAAATAGTTACAATACATCAACATGGAAGTGATATCAAGAGGCGGCCCTAGGAGAAGATGGATTAATGACATTAAATAGTTACAATACATCAACATGGAAGTGATATCAAGAGGCGGCCCTAGGAGAAGATGGATTAATGACATTAAATAGTTACAATACATCAACATGGAAGTGATATCAAGAGGCGGCCCTAGGAGAAGATGGATTGATGAAATTAAATAGTTACAATACATCAACATGGAAGTGATATCAAGAGGCCGTCCTAGGAGAAGATGGATTAATGACATTAAATAGTTACAATACATCAACATGGAAGTGATATCAAGAGGCCGCCCTAGGAGAAGATGGATTAATGACATTAAATAGTTACAATACATCAACATGGAAGTGATATCAAGAGGCCGCCCTAGGAGAAGATGGATTAATGACATTAAATAGTTACAATACATCAACATGGAAGTGATATCAAGAGGCGGCCCTAGGAGAAGATGGATTAATGACATTAAATAGTTACAATACATCAACATGGAAGTGATATCAAGAGGCGGCCCTAGGAGAAGATGGATTAATGACATTAAATAGTTACAATACATCAACATGGAAGTGATATCAAGAGGCCGCCCTAGGAGAAGATGGATTAATGACATTAAATAGTTACAATACATCAACATGGAAGTGATATCAAGAGGCCGCCCTAGGAGAAGATGGATTAATGACATTAAATAGTTACAATACATCAACATGGAAGTGATATCAAGAGGCGGCCCTAGGAGAAGATGGATTGATGACATTAAATAGTTACAATACATCAACATGGAAGTGATATCAAGAGGCCGCCCTAGGAGAAGATGGATTAATGACATTAAATAGTTACAATACATCAACATGGAAGTGATATCAAGAGGCCGCCCTAGGAGAAGATGGATTGATGACATTAAATAGTTACAATACATCAACATGGAAGTGATATCAAGAGGCCGCCCTAGGAGAAGATGGATTGATGAAATTAAATAGTTACAATACATCAACATGGAAGTGATATCAAGAGGCCGTCCTAGGAGAAGATGGATTGATGAAATTAAATAGTTACAATACATCAACATGGAAGTGATATCAAGAGGCCGCCCTAGGAGAAGATGGATTGATGAAATTAAATAGTTACAATACATCAACATGGAAGTGATATCAAGAGGCCGCCCTAGGAGAAGATGGATTGATGAAATTAAATAGTTACAATACATCAACATGGAAGTGATATCAAGAGGCCGCCCTAGGAGAAGATGGATTGATGACATTAAATAGTTACAATACATCAACATGGAAGTGATATCAAGAGGCCGCCCTAGGAGAAGATGGATTAATGACATTAAATAGTTACAATACATCAACATGGAAGTGATAGCAAGAGGCTGCCCTAGGAGAAGATGGATTGATGACATTAAATAGTTACAATACATCAACATGGAAGTGATATCAAGAGGCCGCCCTAGGAGAAGATGGATTAATGACATTAAATAGTTACAATACATCAACATGGAAGTGATAGCAAGAGGCCGCCCTAGGAGAAGATGGATTGATGAAATTAAATAGTTACAATACATCAACATGGAAGTGATAGCAAGAGGCCGCCCTAGGAGAATATGGATTGATGAAATTAAATAGTTACAATACATCAACATGGAAGTGATAGCAAGAGGCCGCCCTAGGAGAATATGGATTGATGACATTAAATAGTTACAATACATCAACATGGAATGACCACAGCCATTGCTGCCCATCAAGCAATGGGTCTCAAACTATTCCTCCCCACAATGCTTAATGGCAGAAGTGGAAATTGAAGATGATGATGATTGTTAAGCATGCTAGGCATAGAGTGAGCCTTCCATCTGAATGATTCATGATGGTTTTAGAATGGGGATGGCTGGTAGCTGTAATTGCCTTAATTAGTCATTGTTCACCATACTAGGTGCTTGTAAAATCTGTGAATTGTTTTATCCCTACATTCAGCTGACCAAACGTTTAAATGAGAATGACACACTTGACAAAGGTGTCCAGGCGAACATAGAAAGGAAGGTGGTTATCCCCCCTCTACCGTTTGATCTTGCAGTGGTGGAGCAGCTTATACAAGACACCAGAGTGACCCCCCTTGATAGCAAGTAAGTACTGCCCCTTTAATTTGTGAAGTCCTTTTTTTAAAAGTAATTTTTATTTGTATTTTATTTGACTGTTTAAATATTATGAGTTGCAGTTGATCATTTTGGTTTATGTAATATATGCTGAGTATGCAGGCTGGCTGTTTTAGTTTTTGCAAGATATCTGCTTCTAGCTGTGATTAGTTGTTGCATTTTCTCCCATATTTAGACTCAAAGTATATAGTTCCATTGTCCAGATGCTAAGCTGAGTGTGTGGCACAACACTGTCATTCCTTTTTTTTTTTAAACTGTGCCCACCGTGGTTTGTATTGTAAACTTACAAATAAAATAGTGGGTGGCCTGTTGGATCAGAAATGGGTTTGCCTGTACAACTGCTTTGTGTTGGCACTTCTGATGGCTGCCTCATGTTTTTCTCCACAGATGTTTAACACCGTTTTGTTTCCATGTTATTAGTCTGTATTACTTGATCCCACTTGTACCTTTGATTTCTAACATTTACCCTCCACATTGCCCGACTTGGACAATGACAGAAAAAGAGAAAATAAAAATTACAATGGAAAGGAGATTCGTGCGAAGGGCTCTCAGTATAACAAGAAGAGATAAGATCAGAAACTATGAAATCTGAAGGAAAATAGGGGTACCAGCAGCTGTGGATTGCATTAGAAGACAACAGGTAAAATGGTTTGGCCATACAATACGGATGTCAGGAGACAGTATACCACAGCAAGCAATGATGTACAGACCAGGATGGAAGTGAAGAAAGGCCGACCATGCAAGCTATGGACCGAGGGAATCACAGAGTCCCAGGAAATCCCCATTTACAAAGCACACAAACGGCCGCTTTTCCATGTTGGCGATAGTGCCTCTTGTAATCTTTGGCAGAATGTATTAGTTCATGACACTGCTAGATGCCATAACAAAAGGTTGTCATAATCGTCTCGTGTTGTCTTCCTCTGTCTCATTTTCACAAATCTTTCCAGTGGTCACATATTCCAATTTCTTTCTTCTCATAATGTGACCCTCCCCCCCAAAAAAATGAGACCTGTCTCTTTGTTTTGTTTGCATTGGTTGTCTTCAAACCCTCACCTCTTTCAAAACGTTTTGGTTGCTCTTTTTTGGCTGTTTTAGTAATTCTAAGGACACTCCCCCCCCCCTTTTCCCGGACAAAAAAAACCCCACTAATTCCAACTTTATAGCAGATTTGAACCCTGGCCTACTGCATGAGAGCCTTGCATTCTATCTTTTCAGCCAGTTGCTCCTCTATCCGGTTGATTGGTGTATAGAAGCAATACTTCTCTGATTGATTGATGTATAGGAACCATACTTCTCTGATTGACAGATGTATAGAAACCATACTTTTCTGAATGATTGATGAATAGAAAACAATGCTTCTCTGACTGATTGATGTATAGAAACCATACTTCAGTTTGCTGACAACAGTTTCTGCTTGTTGTCACAGACCACTGGACCAACTGTCTGTCTGCCTGTCCTCCCTGAGAGCTGAAATCAATGGCCTCCAGAAGCAGATGGACCGCCATACCACGGCGGTGCACACATCCAGTCAGTCTTGGAAGTAAGTGTTTAGTAATGCTGTTGTTGAAATTTAATTTAAACCTTCACCCCATTGACCAGAACAAAACCAAGCTCCGGTAATTTCAATTTTTGAAATATTCCCGGAAAAAAAATCCTTAGAAAAAGCAGCTCAACCATTTTACACGCGTCACACATAAATCAAATCGCAAAAACTCAGTTTATCATCCAAAAAACTTTAAAAAAGATTAAAAGTGTCGAAAATAGGAGTGACCGCACTGAGAAAGGCACTGGCTAAAATGTCAGTTTGTGTTTTTTGAGTTGAGTCAAGAATTGACATCACAGCACTCGGGGCATTCCCATGTGTGCTCTGTCCTCATCTTCAGCAGCCAACGCAGAGTTCTAATACTGATGGTACCGGTCACAATCAGGTTATATGTCCGTATTGCCTTTCCTTTGAGTGTAGTGAGCCGGCCAAACCCTCTGGTTACACCCAGGTGCCATATTCTCTCCAGGCCATAATAATCTTGTTTCGCTACTGATTCCATTGCTTGTTCCCAAAGTGCCTTGACTACAAATTCATTGTGTTTTTTGTGTATGTTATCCTGCTTCCCCATTTCATATAGCTTTTTAGTCACAAATTACTGGATTAATTTATAAGCAATTACTATATAGAGTAAGGGGAGTAATCAGCATACATGAATGCAGCATTGAGTTAACTGGCTTACATCTCTTGTGGCTTGTAAACTTGCCTGTCAACTAGCAAAAAATTTTGTTGTCTACCTCAAGGGGGAGTATTGTCACCAACATTGTTCTTAGCATATATAACTGATATTACAAGTAATTTTCCAACCAGAGTACACACTCATTCTTTGCAGATGACTTAGCTATATGGACTAGCGAATAACATATTAGTGTAGCCAACAATAGAATGCAGCAAGCCTTGTTAGAGGAATGGTCAAAAACATGGCTAGTGAATATCAGTGAAGAGAAAACAACATGCACTGTGTTCTCCCTCTCAAATAAAAAACAGCCAGTTAAGCTAGTGGTAAATGGAAAAATACTGCTTCAAGAGAACAATCCAAAATATCTAGGTGTCTCATTTGATTGCCGCCTGACATGGAAGACACAGGTAGAAGCAAGTCGAACAAGAGCAAGGCAAAGAATGGCAATCATGAAAAAACTTGCTGGCACAACATGGGGAGCTGATGAGAAAGTTCTCAAGAAACTATACACTGGACGAGTAAGGCCAGTCCTTGAAATGGTATTGCAGCTTGGGCAACAGTAGCAAAGTCAAACTTTATCAAAATAAGTAGAGTCCAAAATCAAGGAATGTGGATTATAATTGGGGCCATGAAAACAAGGCCTTTTAATGAACTAGAAAAGGTCACAGGTCTGCAACCAATGGAGGATAGGAGAGACAGCAGAGCCCAGCAACAAGCAGAAAAATTTAGAAGGCTGACAGATCACCCCATGTATCAAATGTTTAATCATCTGGGAAGGGGAAGACTAAAGCGAAAAAAACTTTGTAGAGACTGCAAAAACTAAAATCAGGGAAGATCCTGTACTTATCAGTATCCAAACCCGTACACATTACATATACGCTCCCTGCTTGGAGACAGCAGCATCTGCCTGAATTGATAGAAAATATTCCTGGTATTGAGAAAAAGAACACTCAGAATGAAACATAAAGAAGGAAAATCACATTACATAGAAGAATATTACCCAAGTAACACCTGGACTCGTGCATATACAGACGAATGAGCAAAAAATTCAACAGAAAATGGAGGTGGGGGAATCGTCCTGAATCTAAAAAAATTGATCAAAGAAAACACAGTCGATTGCAACCGGAAAGTTCTCAAGTAATTTTAGAGCAGAGTCAGAGGCCCTGAGAACTGCAGCAGAAATGCTTCTGTCAGAGAAAACTAAAGAGGAATACATAGATATCTTCACAGATGCAAAGTCAGTTGTCTCAGCACTGAAGAGCAAAAATGATACAGAACTAGCAGACCTTAGAGCTGCACTCCATGGACTGAGTCAGAAATCAAAAAGGGTCATAATACAATGGATTCCATCCCATTGCAACATACCTGGAAATGAAGAGGCTGACAGATTGGCAAAGGAAGGTGGAAGACTACCACAGCCTGAAATAGACATAACATATGATGAGGCCAAGAGGTTTATAAGAAGCACATATAGAATCAAATGGGATTCTGAACATCCAGGCTACAAGAAGGATAATGCATACTACCAACTTGGCTGAAGAGAACAAGTAGTGATCTTTAGACTCCGCACAGGACATAAGAGGCGCAAACACCATTTGTTCAATAAACAAAAGATAGGAGACAATGATGATTGTAACTGTGGAAAGGGTAAAATGACGGCTAAACACTTGCTGCAAGAGTGTCCAACATATGCAGAACAGAGAAAATCATTCTTGCTAACACCCGCAACTTTTGAGGATAAACTGTGTGGAGATGTCAACAACCTCAAGTTGACTGCTGATTTCTTCAAATATATCCACACTGACATCTAAAGGTATAAGAAGAATAAAACTCCGGGATTCTCTGAGCTAATAGTCCCTAGAGATGCAGAGCTCGTAACCCACGCAAAACTATAGTGGATGAGGGAGTCCACTGCAGTAAAAGTCTAACATGCAAAAGAAGCAAAGTACTCATTTTGTGGTGTAGGTAAATTAAATCCTAGGTCTGCAGGCTGCATACTGTTGGCTACAAAAGAGAAAGCCCATTATGTATGAGATGTTCAATATATGGAAGTGGGGTTAAACAGTCATGAGCAGGACGTGACGATTCCTTGGGTGAGCTTAGTACCAGAGCACCATATATTAGCTCTGCATTTGTGGAAGCCTCCTTGGATGGCGGGGAATGCTCATGTTCTGCCCCTGCCTTCTCTTGAGGGCTAATCATCATTATGTGGCTTCTCTGGACCAGCCTGATTGGGGCACCACCTGTGACCTGGGAAATAAAGATGACCACACAACAATGAGACTGCCATGTCCTAACCGAGAAGGCTAACCCGGTCAACAAATGCCCGCAGAAGTTGGATGTGTTGGCCGAAAGGTGCAAATATCACAGCCATGCTGTAAACGGACACAACGCAATTACATCTTCGGATGAACGCAGAAGAAGAAGAAACTTGCCTGTAGATCGGAAGGTCGTGGATTTGGTCCTGATGGAGCTAAACTTTTTTTTTTAAAAATGACCTTGGCCTTCCCTAACCCAATGTCCATCTCTCTACCTGCCTCAAACTCTGGTGTTTTACTCTGTCTGTCCCACTCTGTCTCAGATCTGTTGCCCCCCTCCCCCCCACCCTTTTTTTCAGCGACTAGGTCTAGAGAAGACAGAACTTCAGTTAGGTCATTCTCTGCCAAAAGATAGAAAAACATTATATTTGTGCCCACAAATGAAGTACCGCATATGCCTGGTACACACTCTTGCTGAACAAAGCGAAAATTCCTTGAAAAACAAAAGGTGATGAATTTGGCTACAGACCCTCGCTTGTATAATAAGTAAGACCATTTTGCACACCATTGATCAGGCATATGGTGCTCAACCCATATTTGTGTAGACTAGCTGGCCGTCTCAATGGATGATGATGATGTACTAGACCCATACTTGTATAGACCAGCTGTGGTCAGCATCATGTTGGCCGCCTTTACTTTCAGTACTTTAACTGGTACCCATTTTAGGCTTGATCCACCTGGGAACCAGTGTCAGTAGAAAAAAAAATTGGTTCATTTTTACGTTCTGGCCCAGAAAGAGAGTGACTTCCCTTGCCATTCATGCCTCATCGGGCCGAGGACCTCTTCTACATTGCTGAAGTGGCATTTTTTTCCTTGTTGTCAATGCCTTAACCAGTTCCTTTTTTCTCACCGCTCGTTTGCGTGATTAATTTCATGTTCTCCTACCTGTGCAATGGTTAAGGAAAATTTCTATTCATACTTCCTTGTCATTTCTTTCTTTATTTCGGGAAAAAGGGGGTGGGGGGCACCACCAGCTAGTGGAGAAATACAAAAGCATCTCAGTTTCGACACTCAAGAATCGTCGTGCAGTGCTTTCCCCTGCTGTATTTCTTACTTGTACACAGCCACCTATAGCACCTGAAATATACTCACGACAATAGAATCTCCCACAAACATTATATATGCTCAGCGAAAGCCAAACCAAGCCATATCATAACACCCCTGCAACCTGAAGAGGCATGAATGGCAAGGAAAGGTCACTCAAAAAATGTTAAATCAAGCAATTTAAAAAAAAAAATCCACTTTGTGCTAGCAGGGGAGCACTTTACCACCACAATCCAGCGGCTCCCAGCTTTCATAATAAATTGATATACATCCTCTTCTGTTTTGCAGGACTGTTCAGAAAGGCGTCAGTGATCTGAATGAAGTAATGAAAACCATTGCTAACACAATCATCGCAGCCAACAGCACACCAACCACCACAGTAACCTCTGCCTCTGACAGAGAACGCACAGACATTTTACACGTGTAAACAGATGGTGCCATGCCAGTGGTTTCTGTGGTCCCTCACTAGATGTATTATATTGTGAATACAAGTGAATCTAGCCCCACTGCTGAGTTAGAATCATGGGCCAATCTTATCATTTTGGTTGGCTCGTTTGTAGGGTGACCTTAAGTCAGGGTTTCACCAGGACAGTTCAGTTTTTTTTTAGGCAGACCCACACCGTCCCACCCATACTGAACGCCATTTGGAACATTGCAATATTTTTTGTGTGCATCGACCCGACGATCTGGGCCCACCTAGATCGATACTGTCCCAACAGTAACAATATGGTGGTCACCCTACTCGTTCGTCTCTCGCGCAAAACTTTATTTTATGACTGCTATATATAGGTTTTATTAACGTATTGTGGCAATGACAACAGCTCACAGAAACCAGCTACAAGCCTAAGAAGTGGGCTGTATGAGAAAGGTGGTCCAAGGGACAAAGTTTGCAACCAGACAATACATCATGATCTTGAAACCCAGACCTTTTAAAATAGAGTTGATCAGTCAGATTTATAATGGTTTAGACATGTATGCAGAATGGGAGAGGATTAGCCACCACGCCAGGCATGGGAGGCTGGGAACCAGACCACAAGGGCAATTTAGATTTCTTTGGGAAGACATATGACAGAGGACTGGAATAGAACAAAGCAAAAAAGAAAACTGCTTATAGAGGGGTCTGGTGATCTCTCTGGCAAAAGTCTACACCTCATGGTAGAAAAGTAAGAAGTACTAGCTGTCGTCTGTAGCTTAGGGATTGTGAACGCAGTTGGATATTTTAGACTTACAGGGTACGAACGAACGAACAAACTTTATTTTCAAAGGGTCACAAATTGGGCACGCAGGCCCGTCTTACATTCGGCCCTTCCAGTCAACCATCTTTCACACAGCAATTGTATTTTACTAATAAAGCATGTTATGATCATATGATGATATGCATATTATGAATATTATAAAAGAACACAAAAGCATGAGTTGTAAAGTGCATGCAAAAACCCGCGCATGCATACATACACACGCTCACCCACTCACTTACACACACATACATGCATACATTCACACATACACACAAACATACATACAAAGATACAAACATACAGGCATACATTCATAATACAGGCATACACACATACAGTCATAAATACAGTCATGCATGGAGACACACACATGCACACACTGACACTCCCACAGAGACACACACACTCAGACAAAAATACAGATACACACACAGACACTTACATGTAAACACACACAGCACACATATTTACATTCGTGCTCACACACTGACACACACACACCACACATACATACAGCCACATAGACACACACACAGACAAACCCATACTGACACCCACAGAGACAAACATGCAGAAGTGCATACACATGCAAACACATAGAAATACACACGCAGACACATATATTCAGCACGCACAGACATATACTCTGACATGCAGACACATACAGACAACAAAGGGGCACACAGAGAAACACACATAGACATGCACAGACAGACAGACACATGCTGATACATACACTCGCGCAGACAGACAGACACCCACACACAGAGATACATACATACAGCCTCATAGACACACCCGCAGACAAAACACACACAGGCAAACACATATGGGGACACACACAGACACAAACAAAGATATACACAGTCACATCAAATATGCACACACAAAAACACCGAGACGCATACACATGCAAACAAACACAGAGAGAGACACACACACAGCTACATGTATCCAATCGCACACACATACATAGCAGAGAGGCACACTTAAACACACACACAGACCAATTCACACTGAAACATATACGTGGACATACGCGCGAACACGCACACATACACAAGGGTGGGGAATTAAGCAACAGACCAGTATTCATTTATTGTGACAATAGTATTATACAATGTTGTGACATTCCACAAGCAACAGCAAACATAAAATTGCCTACAAAAACCAATAAATGCTGAGGTTTGTTTGCTATTTCCTGAAAAGAAAATTGCTTTCAAGTACCAGTTTATATCAGAAGTATTGACATAATAAGTTGAATACAGTAATCCTTTCATGGGGGCTGCGTGGTCTCGAGTACTGGAGGCTCCTGGTACAAAACCCTGGTGAAGGCAGGGATTTTTTTTTTTTACGTGAGCGTCTAGTAATTTCCCCCCATGTCTCTTGGTAGTAAGATCGGACACCAGTGTGTATTGCTGCGTACGTTAAAAAAATTCCTTGGCAGTTGGAAATAAAAAAGAGTAGCCTAATGGCGCTGCCCGAGCAAAATTTGGAGTTTAAAATCTACCTAAATTATTTCAGGATCCTCGCTGGTGCTACAGAGTTTGTGCACTGCGCTGAGATTCTTCAGACTTACACTTGAGTTAGAAGTAGAACGGAGCACTTATGGGTTACTACTACCCTTGTGCCATGATGACATTGATCTGTCACCTAAACCTTTCGTGGGTTCCGGAGCCCCATTGTGGGAGAAAAAAAAAAAATTTACAAGCATGTCGTAAATGTCGACTAATTAGAGGTGCTTCTTTTTCAGTCAGAATGCATCTCTTCCTGAGAGGTGACAAGTCTGTAGACAAAAAATAGCCAGATCTGGAATAACAAATGTGCATGTAGATCTCAAGTTCTGGAACTAGAACAAAGTCCATATGTGGACAAACAACCAGGATTTTCCTCCACAGAGTTTATAGCTAGTGAGCGCACAGAATAATAATAATAATACCCTGACTTTTTGGGACTCTGCTGTGTTCAAAAAGTAGTACAGTAGGCTCTGCTACATTCAGAAAGTAGTACTTTTCTCTGCTACGTTTAGAAAGTAGTACAGTAGGCTCTGCTACATTCAGAAAGAAGTACAGTAGGCTCTGTTGCATTCAGAAAGTAGTGCACTATTCTGTGCTGTGTTCAGAAAGTAGTGCAGTATTTTCATTAATTGTAAAATGTATAAGATGCAAGCAATAAAGCTAATCAAGTCTTAGGCCAAAAGACACCAAACGCCAGTCTTGTCACATGCCCAAACTATGCTTGGTGATTAGAAAGGATTATCATCACAGCACTCCGGACAGATCCATAGCTGCTCCGATCTCCTCCTCAAAAGCTCCACAAGTGTAAAACAACTGATGACGCCTGTTCTGTCTTGGTTAATGACACATCTTGTCCTTTTAGTGAAATGTTCATTTCCTGCAGCTCCAGGCTGCACCCCCATGTCCATCAGTCTAGACAGGGATACAGAGTCATGTCCTTTGGTGTGCTCCTCGGTACGGTAGTGCAGCGCATAGCATTGATAACATCACTTCTGTCCAGTACTGGACCAGCCACAGCAACTGCAGTGTCAGTAAGATAGTCTGCACGTCGTTCCCTTGAACACCCTCATGACCTGGCACAAAGATGAAGGTTAGGGCAGATATTCGTAAAGTGCTTAGTGTTTCAATCCATTCTTGTCTGATAAATCCAGCTTGGATTTTTTTAAGCATATTCGTCGAGTCACTAAGAAAGCATACATGTGTGAACTTTTGAGTACCAAGCCATGCTAAAGCCCTTGTTACAGACATATTTTCCATTGTAAGGCTACTAGTTGTAACAGCAAAGGCACCATTCATCTCCTTGATGGTTTTCCCCTTTGAGCTAGGTGTAACGAAGAAAGATCAACTTAGGAACGTTGATATCAGAAGAGTCGAAACAGAACCAATACTGGACTATAGGTAGACAACGAATCAAATGGTTTGGCCATGTAACAAGATTGGCATCAGACAGGGCACCACAGACAGCAATGTTATACAGATACAGCGGCAATTGAGCTAGAGGTCAACTGCACAAAAGATACACCTCAGAAATATCAGAGACACTGAAGAGTACTTTATACGAAGTGAACAGAAGGGCCCGTTCCAGAGATCTCTTCCTGCCCTGACACCACAAGGCATTCCAGGAGTAGTGGAAAGAAGAAGTAAAATGTATTAAATCTATTTATACAAAGTTGTTGAGTTGCTTTGTCAAGTTACTGTGTGCAAAGTTTGAAATACTTCCTTTTTTTTTTTAAATCAAGTAAAATTACTGTTCAGAATTTGTGACGCTGTGTTTATAAACTGTTTAGTTAATTTAACAGGACTCCACAGTTAATTTTTAGTTAACATGGTCTAATGTTTAGTGAAAAGTTAACCTTTGGTTGACTTAACATGTTTTAATATTTTTAAGCCGTTAACTTTTAGTAGATGTGACATGATCTCATATTTTGAAGCTGTTAACATTTAATTAGTTTTATATGATTTGTTGTTAATATTTAGTTGACTTACATGATCTATTATTTACTCATCTGTTTGAATTTGGTTATTTAAAAGACCTAATATTTATTTGATTGTTAACTTGTTTTTAAAGTATTTTTGTTTGCATAATGAGATTTATGGGCATAAAAGCTTTAATTAAACTATTGAGAATTGGTGTGGGTAAGTAGCACAGGACCCTTTTCCATGCATTTAAGCTTATAGGGCACATAGGGATAGACCTATATTTATTTAGACCAATCGGCACAAGATGGAGATGTGGTCAACATCACGCTGGCCGCCTTTACTTTCCAGGACTGCACCTGGTACCTACCTGGGAGCCAAGGTCATTTTTGGAAAAAGTCCGGCTCCGCCCTGGAGCACAGTCCGCAGTGAAGCGTCTAGCCGCTACACCACGGCGACTTCTTGTTGTGTGTGTAAAGACGGTTGTGGAGCAGGGTGAGGCCAGGGTTTATGTTAAGCTGATGACAAGAAGTTTGAACAACGGATCAACATCATGGCACACAGGTAGTAACCCATAAGTGCCCTATTCTACTTGTAACTCAAGCCTGAGTCTGAAGGAGCTCAGCAGTGCACAGGCTCCGGGGTACCGGCGAGGATCCTGAAATATTTTGGGTAGATTTTCAACTCCAAATTTTGCCCGGGTAGCGCTGTTAGGCTACTCTTTTCAATTTCCAACTGCCAAAGGATTTTTTAAT